AATTTAGCAGGCAGAATGCCCTTTAAGAGACAGTAGCCTTTCTGTTGATTGAACATTACAGATACAATCTGTAATGCAGTGAAGTCCATCAATTAGTGATTCAGAGAATTCCTTCCATTTTTTTTAAAAGCCTCAATATTCGAGAAACATAGAACACTTAAAACATGATTTTCATCTTAGGTTGAATGAAAAATTCTCAGCCAGAGTGTAAAATATTTTCTTTGTGAGTTTTTTGTTTAACAGTTAATTATATCTGGTACCGCAATCCAAAGCCCTGTCTGATCGAGAAGAGCCAGGTTTAAACTCGGTTTGTAATATTTTGTTCTTGTGTTCAATGAAATTATATAATTTGGTCCTAGCTTCCAGCTAGTTTACGATGGTATTTTTTATATTGCTGGAATTCTCTGAATTGCTAACTGATGTACTTCACAGCATGTATGGGATTGCAACTGGCTAGATTTTGCAAACTGCTGCTTAATATGGCAGCGTTAGTTTTTAAGAGAACTGTGTTGAAGATGGGATACCTGCTAGCTTGTGGAGGAGCAAACCCAATGATCTTACTGTCAGTAAACAGGCAGTTCTACAAAGTTTTTCTTGAAAGTCTTTCAAACATCTAAAGGATTTAAATGAACCATTAAAGGGAAACTAGAATATATCCCACAGAGTTATTTTGACAGTATATATTGCTCTCCCATTCACCATCACAATGTTCTTTTTTTTAGGTCAGATGGGTGTCTGACACATGCGGAAACCCATCACCTTGCTTAACAGTATTGTGATAGGTTTCCACATGTATCAGACACCCAGCTGATGTGCTTTCTACACAGCCGAAGGAGGAGACAGGCATGTGTTTGAAGAGCTAGTGGCTTTTCCATGAGTTTTGGGAATTCAGTTTGTAGTCAATGAGCCATATATTTGCTGCAAGGCAAAATGGTTTACTTTTCCCTAAAATAGGCTGGCCCTTTGTTAATATTAATGTAGGTGGTTAACCAAAAGAGCTAAGACAGACTTTATTGCATGTTTTGTGGATTGACATCTCAGTCGATACTGCAACTTTTAACATGTAACCACAAGGCTATGAAGCATGTAATTTGATGCCAGTTTCATTTTGTTGCCTAATTCATGAATGTCATACTGTTTTAAAACTACTTATGTGTTTGCTCCCCCCCCCACACACACAAAAGTAAAGATATTTAAATATCAGAACACCAAGATGAACCAGAACAAAATCCTGTTTCTGTGCAAGTGTAAATAATTCAGAAATTTGCACAGAAACTAGGATTGAGTTGATCAAGAGGCACCGTGGGCATATCCTGTATTACTCTACAACAAAGCAGTGCAAGATGGGATTCATGGTTCAATATTTGTTTGATTTGATTTATTAAGAAAAAGATGAAAATCAATACATCTGGAAAATTCCAATTTATAGACCACATGCTATAGGGCCACACGCTATAACTGCACTAGCTGCCTGTCCGCCAATACCCATCTCCGAAAGCCGCTGAAACCCTAGTCCATGCCTTTGTCACCTCTCGGCTGGACTATTCTGACGCCCTCCTCGCCGGTCTCCCATCCACTACCATCCACAAAATCCAGATCATTCAAAACTCTGCTGCCTGCATTCTCACCCGCACCAAACTCCGCTCCCCAATCACCCCATTCCTTGCCAGACTGCACTGGCTGCCTATCCCAGAGAGGATCGACTTCAAGATCCTCACCCTTGTCTTCAAATTCCTCCACTCCTCTGCACCCCCCGACCTCTCTGACCTCTCTTCTCAAACCAGTACCCGTTGCCTTTGTTCCTCCCAGTCTGGCCTCCTCCTCGTCCCCCGAGTCCTCCGCTCCACCCTCGGCGGCCGTGCCTTCAGCCACTATGGCTCTGGAACTCCCTTCCTCACTCCCTTCGCCTCACTCCCTCTCTTCCCATTTTCAGATCTCTGCTGAAGACCTTTCTCTTTGATTGCGCCTTTGGTCACCTTCCTCCCCCTCCCCCTCCCCCTGGCTCGGCACCGGGATCCGTTACTGTGAAGCGCTCTGAGATGCCGTCAAGGCGTGGAGGGCGCTATATAAATCCAAGATGTTGTTGTAAAGCAAATGGAAACTGGTGAATGCAAATAAATGCAGAGTAATGCATTGCATTTATGATAAAATAGAGCTTTGACTAGCTATTCTTGTACTGAGATGGTTATGCCTCAGTTCCTCACATCTAAGCAGTGAAATATTTCTCTAGTTCTATCTGGGTGTTTGACCAGAGTTTATATTAACATTCCTCTTCAATTTAATTTGCCAGGGAACAAGTGCCTGATTGGGCCGAGTGGCCTGTTTCCGTATTGTACATTCTTTGTAAGTGCTACTCTACTGTAACTTGATACAGACAAATATCCTTTTTATAATTTAGTTAGAATTTGAGCCTTCAGATGAAGCATTATTATCCATTAACATTTTTATCAATAGTTTTAAATGTTCACAGCATTTTAACACATTGGTCAAATCGTGACCAGACAGAAAAAAAAAAGCTTTGCTGTGCCTTAAAGACTTTATTGATAATTCTACAGAAATGCAGAGTGCCCATTCAGTTAAGGTTTTCGTATTATTATGAAAATGTCATTTATGTTTTGAATCTTATTTTTAACACTAGCTGTATTTTCTCATAATAAGGAGGTAAATATGGTCATTTTACCATAGAATTCAATTACTATTTCTACTACAAGTTTGCCTTTAAATGGCAGAGTCAATTAGTGAATCACGTTTTACAACTTCAAATGTACCTTAATGGACCGTACATTTTGCCACAGTAATAACATGTTGTTACCTTGAAAGACTTTTGCTGTGCCTATTTACACACCATCTGTACAGAGTCCTAGTGCCCAACGCTGGAATCAAAAGGCAAGATGTGGATTTTGCTTGTCAAGTTACAGTAAAAGATAGTACTTTATTTGAAGTCTCAATGGATTGAAGGCATTGGCAAATTCCCATTGAAATGCCTTACAAGTAAAACATCAATAAGATGAGTGGTTCTTTTTGGCAGTTCTGCACAGAAAGGGGTTTGGGCTTTTTGCAAACATTTTTTCAAAATGCTCTAATTGGTATTAAAGTTAAATGACTATGGCATTTCAGTTCTAGTATTGGAACATGGGATTTCAATGCTAAGCTCAAATGATCTTCTGACCATTTCTGCTCTTGCTCACTGAATTCTGCCTGTTCTTGGCTGGTCTATAGGATGTCACCCATCACTGTGGAGGGTAGAGCTGTCAAGAACAATTTTGAAAGAGAAATTCTTCCCTCCCACTTTGGCTTGTTACAGAGCAGCATTAAGAACCCTCCAGAAACTTGCAGAAGATCTCTTACCACTCCAGCCACTGAACGAGTTGGATGGAAACGCCAAATAATTCAAGAGAGTAAACCCTATTTCTAAAGACTAGCCCCCTCCCCGCTCACAGACACGAATGGAAATCGAAATGAAAGTGATGTTTAAGATTATGCAGTAATTGTTACACGATTGCATAGTTTGAGAGCATTGACGACAATCAGGGTTTAAAAGCCCGATATATTGAATCATTCCTGCATCTAACCTTCGCGCACTTTCCACATGAGTTGCTGGCTTCACTTAGCCAGAAAGGAAACAAAGGTAGCACTTATGATATCACAATTATTCAATGTAAATCTAATGGTGCCAGATTAATGCGATTAAGATGATGCCAAATTCAGGAGTTTGAACAATAAAACAACTTAAATGCCTTAGCAATTTGATAAATGACACAGGATCCGTGACCACTTTTAGTGAAATGCGAAAGAGCATGTTGCAGCTGTAATAAACGCGTCGAAAAGTTCCTGGATGCTGTTCTCAAAACGAGAATTTGAATAATTTGCTCCTAAATTCAGTTCTGTGCCCAAAATATTTGACATTCTGTGTTACTATGGAGAAATCCATTTTTCCACCAGCGTGGATGAGGGATTTTTGGCTTATCATGCAGGTTATTCTGCAGAGGGCTTTGCATGGAAAATCTTCTTCTGGTTATTTTCTAGTTTTTAAAAAACAATTGTAAATGATAACAGTTTGTAGCCCTAATTATGCTTTTGCTTAGATTTATCCTGGATGAAATGTTTGTGGGACACAGTTTTAAGATGTAGCAATGTACCCCCATGATACCATTCCATTTCAGGAAGAGATGAATTGGGATCCCAGAGGTGAAACATTACAGTCGATGAACTGAAATTCTAATCAAGACACACCACACGAGAGTGTGATCATAAACGATTGAAATTTATCACTTTGAATAGGTTGTCGTTTCAATAATTTCAAGAAGTTCCTTCTGTCCAAATTGAACAAAAAATTCTTCTTTTGTAAATCATTTTTAGCATCGTGTCTGAATTAAATTACTAGAAGTCTATATATCCGCAGAGATATCGAATATTGGGTCCCAGAGAGTTTATTTTTAAGCAATGTAATATCATGAACTTAAAAAAGCTTTGTTCAAAGTCGCAATAGCAATAAGTGGACTTGTAGATGACTTTAATTTTGCGCAAACCTTTTGAAAACGCAGGACTTTGGCAAACGTGTGCTACAGGGTTACATTTCCTTAGTTGTGAAATGCAACTAGAACATTTTTATCTGGTTGACTTACGAGAGTCTTGCTATGTATTTCTTGATGTATACATTTGCCACTGAATGCATTTGTCACTATGGCTGTTGACTTTTAGCACAGAAACAAAAATGTTTAGAATTATAAGTGGTTCCATACTAATTACTTTTTTCTTCTTCTGTAACAACGCAGGCAGACATGGAATATCCAGCCAGTTCAATGCTGTTGGTGTTCCCCCAGGACTTATAACTGCTGTCTGATGCAAATACAGGCTGACTGCTTTCTGGCAATTGTCTGCGTACCACAGCTTACAGCTGCTACCTGCTTGCTAACTTACAGGACGCATGCAGCTTATTGCTTTTATTTTAAGGCTGAAAAAAAAGATGCTCATGTTTAAATGCTTGCAGTTCTCATGGTCAAACTTAACGCTGGTATTTGCTAGGAATTGGTGATACCTATTTCTTCCCCCCATGGTTTCTTCCCTTTTGAAAAATCTCCTCGAGTCCTACATCTTAAAACTTTACAAAGGAATGTTTGCTAAGAAACAAGCAAACACAACGAGAAAGAAAGAGAGCAACCTAGACAAAAAGGCACCAAAGCATACACAGCAGGCCAATCCAGTTCGGAATCAGAAATTTTCAACAAATCTAAAAAGCACAGTCAAGAGAATAGCAAAATGCCAATCTGCCCGCAATCTATCTGTTGAGGAAGAGGAAGGGAAGACCGAGTACTCGCTTTCTCCCACGTTGAGTTACAGGGTGGCGATAGCTAATGGACTGCAGAAGAGTGTGATTTCATCCAATAATGACGGCTTATGCCCAGAGGTATGGTCTGTTGATAGCGGCACCTCTGAATCATTGAACGAAGTAAGCATTTTGCATAAAGGGAAGGAGCGTCGATCCCGGACGATGCCAGTGAGGAGGAACAGGAAGAGCGTCAGTAGCCTGGCTCCGTCTGATGGTAGCTCAGATGGGGAACGTACTTTGCTGAGACTGGGTGCACTGCGCAAACTTCGAAAGTGGAAAAAAAGTCAAGAATGCATCTCCTCGGAGACGGAAATGAGCAGCTGGAAGAAAACCCTTGGTTTTAGGAGCAAGTCTCTGGACAGAACAGGTCGAGTGCAACAAAAGAGCACAATGGAGCCTTCGTTCAGTTCCACTGGCTGCATCAGTCAAACCCATGATGTCATGGAAATGATCTTTAAAGAACTCCAAGGAATAAGTCAAATAGAAACTGAGCTGTCTGAACTACGAGGGCATGTTAATTCTCTTAAACAGTCGATCGATGAAATCTCCAGCAGTGTGGAAGTGGTTCAAAGTGAGATTGAGCAACTGCGCTCGGGATTTGTTCAGTCCAGAAGGGAAACCCGAGATATACATGACTACATTAGACAAATTAGCTATCAAGGAAGCAAAGTGAGCCTACGATTCATGAACGTTCCTGAGGAATTCCATGAGAATACGGAAAACGTAATTTATGGAATCGTAGAAGAAAAGTTAGGGCTTACAGATGCTCGAAAAACTGTTAGACTGGAACTTGTTCACAGATTAGGGCAACTGAGAGACTGTGCCAATGCTAAGCCCCGTCCTATTCTTGTATATTTTGACAGTCCGCAGAATAGAGATTTAATTCTCAAAAAGTGTTATAAACTGAAAGGTTCTGGCATTGGAATCTCTACAGAAATCTTTAACGACCTCCACAATAGAAAAGAGTATTCACTTCCCCCCAAATCTCAGACATACGAAAGTATGAATATGAAATCTACAACTGCCGAAGAGGAGTTCAGAAGGAATCAGTGGGGATCACCAGATTCTAGCGATAAGGAGGTAGAGGAAGACTTTAATAGCCACAGTTTTGAAATTAGTTCCAAAACGTTTTTTGAAAAACTGTCCATCTCCACAAAGAAAGGTGCAGAATCTCACAATCTTGTGAACATTGACCGGACTGTGGTATGTAGTTCATACTCTAACTCAACACAACTGTGTCCGGATGACAACTTTCACTCCTCAGCTTTTGAACAGTCTCAGAAACAGATAGAACCTTATTACACTGAAGCTACACCCTCCTGGACCCTACAAGGGGATTACTCAACGCCGAAACTCAGCCGTTCAGAGTCTGATTTTTCCAAACTCTGCCAGTCAATATCGTACTCTGAAGAATTTTCAGACAATCAATACTTCGCGAGGGCTGATGGCTCCTCGGTCATGTCAACGTCAGAGAAAGATATTTGGTCAAGAGGAAAGGAAGAGACGGCGTCTGGGTGGGTTAGCGATGCAGATAATCAGCAGTACGATTATGAGGATCAACATTACGTGGAACAAAACGAGGTGGAGAACACTGAAACTGGCGATAGTGGGGTGAGTAATGGGATACTCTGTGTGTCAGGGGACCAAAGTCACTACAGCGACTCCCAGTTGTCTTTGCAAGGTGATCTCTCACCGTGGAAAGAATGGCAGCCATTACAACAAGGTTTGGACTCCGGTTTGGATACTTCGCAACATGTCTTTGTTTCTGAAGGAAATAGCCCAAGTGACCAAAACCTCTCGAACTACACAACCGATTTCGATGAATGTTATCAGGCTGTAGGTCTGGACTATGAAGAGGAAAAATACGAGACGACACTCGATGGTGATCCTTCAGCATGTCAGGACTTTGATGGCAAATCCCAAGCTCAGTGGGACAGCACGTATGACTCCTACCACGAGTCGTATTCCAACGATCACTATCAAAACAGATCTTCTCTAAGATGTCGGAGTCAGAGTGAGCTGCAAGGTGAGAGTGAACCAATGGTGACGCCTCCCAAAACCTGGCACAGTCGGCTGAGTATTGATCTGTCAGACACCGGTTTCAGCTTTGAAAAATTTGGATCGACCCTTCAGCGAGCTAAATCTGCCTTAGAGGTTGTCTGGAACAAAATGGACTCCAGAAGCACCCAAAGTCTGAGTGGATACGAAGAAGGAGAATCATCAACAGGTCGCTTCAGGACATTGTCTCAATCCACAGCAGACGCATCCTGTACCACTCTTGATTCCGATGCGTATTACGAGCCTTACTATTACAGAGCTGAAGAAGACGAGAGCAGTGAACACGCCGGGGAGAATGAAACCGACTATGTCGAGGTAATGGAGCAAGTGCTTGCGAAACTGGAAAATAAAACGTTTCCTAAAGAAAGTGAAGAACTGTCACCATCATATGAGCCTTCAGACGAATTGAGTGTTCCAATGTTAGATGAGGGTTGTTACGAGATGCCTTATGATAACAGCATCATTGAAGACTTCGAGCACGAAGAAGTGTTGGGGCCCAAAGACGTGTTGGGGTTGGAAGACATGATAGAATCCGAAGATATGATAGAGCCTGAATACATGATAGAGGCTGAATACATAATAGAGCCTGCATACATGATGGATCCTGAAGACATGATAGAGCCTGAAGACATGATGGAACCCGAAGATATTATCGAGCCTGAAGATATCATTGAGCCTACATCTGAAGTTGTAGGTGAAGAGGAACAACCCGATGAAAATCAAGCTGTAGAGGAACGTTCTGAAGCTCCAAAGAAAGTTAAAATGCGGCCTACATTCAAACAAGCTGCTTTCAGAGCATATAAACAACAAGTGGAAGAGAGGATACTAACTGGAGGTACTAGTAATACAGGAATATTGTTAGATCCAGTTTTTTTGAAGTTAAGTTGAATGATGTGGCGCCAGTTTACTGTGTATAGTTCTTGCTCTTAATGACATCCGTTAATGGAAATAACATGGGAGATGGTTACAATAGAATAATTTCTGGATTCATCTTGTGCCTCTCTTTCTGGTTAGTTCAGAGAAAGAGTCCTAAAAGCAGATTCACCCTGTTGATGAGATTTTGCGTATGTCACGGGAAATTAGAAAAATATGGGGGAGAAAAATAGGAAATTTGTTTTGACTATAGCTTTGACATTTAACAGAAATACAGCCAGAAAGAATCTTAGATGGCCAAAATGTTTGTTGACTGTTGTAATTGTATCGCTTTATTGTGCTTTTAAATTCAAAAATCGCAGTGCAGGATTTTTTTTATCCTGCACGCTTTCTTCTCTAGAGTAGATCTGATGCTGAGGTTTAGAAAATTATACAGAATAGGGATTGTCCTTCTTCAAGACGAACATGATAATTGTCACCTTGACTGTTTCTACCTTTAGATGGTTCTTTTAAAGAAAATATTAATTATTGCTGAAAGTACTGTATGTAGGCCAGGTAACAAGTCAGACTAATTTATGTAGCAACTGATGTCTTATTAATAATAATAATCCTTGCATTTGGCATAGCGCCTTGTCACATTATTGAAACGTCTCAAAGCTCTTCACAGAATATACTGTAAAGGAATTGACTGTGGGTGAAATTATTATAGAGCAATGTGGAGCAGGAGGCCTGATTTATGCTTCTTGCTCTGGATTCTGTTGAAAAAGAGCACACAGGTTTGGAGATCTTTGCATGTGCAGCTCAGCTCCAAAGTCAGGTGTTAGTTTCTGAACATTAACCGAGTGAGGTCATGAGCAGAGCTTTAGCCTCGTTCTTCCCTCTGATTTATGGGGCATTTATTGTGGCAAATCACCACAGCAGCATTGCAGTAGGTCAGTGATGAACTACTTTGCTGAGGACATAATGTTTTGCGCAGCTCCAATTCCATTTTTGTTTTTATTTTCATGAATTTTATGCTGCAGCTTACAGTAAACGGCTGATAGCTCATCACTCAAAGGCAAAAGGACTCAAAGTAAAGAGTTATCCAGAGTGGCGAGTTAGGCATATGTATAAATACATAAATAAATGCGGCTAGGATATTGTCAGCTTGAGGGCTCAAGTGGGAGTGACAACTTATCCCAGGGTTGAAGTATCAGGAGTTTACCAAATTATATAAATGTCTTACATGTAGTGCTTATTTTCCAAGGGTTATCCTTTCTTTTGTTATTTACCGCAGTGAGTTATTCGCACATTCTTGTTGATAGCTGCAGTTATATTTGTGTCTGTTACCTGAGCAGCAAAGCTGTCATCATTATCGTAGCTGGAAGAATCAAAAATAACTTTCAATGTACATTATTTATATACATAGTAGGATATTACTACAACAACAACAATAAAATTACATTTGTATAGCGCCTTTTACGTCAGGAGGATATCCCAAGGCACTGGACTGTCAGTGTTTCGGACCCGTGCTGGGAGTTGGGATTGGGGACGGTGGAGGGCTGGGGTGATCGAAACCATGGTCGAAGAGGATGGTTTTGAGATGGTCCTGAAGGAGGCAAGGGATGGGGCGAGTCGGACGGACTGTTCCAAAGGTTGAAATTATTATAATAAGGGTCATACTTGGGCTTGTAAGTTATGAAGCTAGGCATAGAGCTGGACTTATTTTCAGTGCATAGAAGTAGATTGATTAAGGCCATGATGTAGGCCTCTAGAATGCTCGGAAATATAGATAATGCAAATATCGTTTGACTTGGACTGTGAGCACAAAGCTTGGGGTCATGAGTTGGAAAATAACAAGCCTCTTGAGACAAGATTAGAAGAAACACTTTTCCCCCCAAAGACTTTGGCTGTATAGAGCAGTTTTCTCAGCAAATATAATTGATGCTGTGCGAAAACCTTCAAGACAAATGAGATAAATGTGTTTTGGAGTCTAATTGGAGGTTATAAAGTTACTTATTTATTGAGATGATCAAATCCTCCACAAACCTAATGGTGGTTGTGCTCTTGGGATAGGGGATGGGTTGCGGGGGGAGTTTGAGATAATTTTGGTAGGAAAGCAGGTTGTGGTTGAATGATAGAGATTTGGAAATAAATAAATCGTCTTTGCTTATCTTTGGTGATGGGGGATCTTGCCCTTAGGTGATTAATCGATAAGCTAGGGTATCTTGTACATGATCTGTGAAAAGAATGAGCTTGATAGACAGATTGCCTTTTATCATTTCAAGGTTTCAAGGTTTCATCATGGTACATTAAAGAGAGAGAATACTTTGACATTAGCATCAAAGCTATAGTTCACGAAAATCCAATATTTATATTAGTGTACTGCAGAAACTAGCTATTGAACTTTATTAAGTCTCGTCCAGCCTTGATCTTACCATCCCCATACCAATCTATCCTGAGTGTGTTTAATATAGACCCAAGGTTAAATTGGTTCACTTTCTGGAGAGACTCAGAGGATACCCAGTGTTATGGAGTTTACCCACTTCTCCCTTTCATGTATTGCCCCCAAACCACTGGCTGAATTAGGGCTGGTGTGTAAACTTCTTACAGATGGAAATGATGTTTAAATCCAATATGTTGGAGCAAGTGATAGTTTCACAATGAAATCGATCCCATCGGTTGAAATGTAAATCGGTTAAAAGTCGATCGCTCTTAATGTAATAATAATGTTCATTGCACTTGACATATAGCGCCTTATCACATCTTTGAGACGTCTCAAAGCGCTTCGCAGAATATACTGTAAAGTGAATTGACTGTATAGTTTGTAGGCAAAACCCAGCATTAGCAGAATGCTTCACAGAGGAAATTTCAAATTCTGCATCAAATTGCTCAAAGCAGTATCAGTGCGGCATTTCTTTAGTTTAAACAGACAACCTTGATAGCTATGATTTCTTGTATTGTCGTGATGCCATTTTGAATTTACATACACGACCGCCAAGATCAACGTGACCATCAAACTAGTTCAAGTGCAGTCAAATATTATTCGACAACAATCCAGGCACATTCACAGCAATGGAGATGATTAAGTATTGCTAGCACTATCTGAGCTAAGCAACCATACAAAGGATTTCAAGGATCTCCAGTCTTTGGTCCATTTGCTAAGTAAAATATTCTATTGTATTGGGGTTGTAAAAGCATTTCAGCTACAAGATGTTCTTTGGTTCAGACAAAGAGCTTTGCAAGGAGGTTTTCCCTGCAGCTGATGTCATGACATAAGGAACTTTCCCACATGACAAAGCACGGAGACTCCACTGCCTTTTTTCAACCCCAATGAAAATGATTTTTTTCACTTAGTTAAATATATATTAAAAAACTGATACACTTGGAAGTAATCTTCCATCAGTGTCGGACTCTCTCTTTGGTTGTTGGAAGTTTATTGTTTTGTTGTTAGGTGTTGAGTCTAATCATGACATGAAAATACAAACGTGAACTTAAACTCCAGCAGTTTGGGAAATGGAAGCACTCATCCATTGCCAGCCACTCTCTGCCTGTTCCACAGTGCTTGCTCCTATTGGTGCTGATAACTGATGATACAAGACATAGGCAACATACCTGCAACAAACCTTTTTATCTACAGTCACTAATGACAGGTTTCAAAATACTTGCTTGTTGAAATGAGAATCTGTTCAGCCTGTTAAACTAGTTTGGTTTCTACTCAACTGGACATTGTATGGGAGCAACTCAGATTCCTGCCGCGATCGCTTGAGGGTAAAACGATGATATTATGTCAGGGCTGATCATAAGTTGGTAGCTATTACACACTCAGAAATTATCTCCCTTGTGTCTCACCTCTATCTATCTTGAAATCCTGCCTGAAGAATATATCTCTTCAACTCCTCCCAGGGAAACTTTGCCCCCCCCCCCACTCCCATCTCCCTTGCTGGATGTCCGTCAGCATCCCTGTGAAGCGCTCTGAGACATTATCCGACATGAAGGGAGCTATGTATGTAACAGGAGGACAGTAGATTTTAATTAGCATTAATATTCGTTGGCCACAAGGGGGCATGACATCTGAGTCTATTCCTGTTGCCACTCGGGCTTTGCATGTGCACCCACCTCCAGCAGCATATCAATCACGAGAAAGCACCCCAGCTAATGTTCCCCTCCCTGCTAAGGCTAATTGTAGAGCACTTTGTGTTTCTTGGTTAATTCACCACATACGAAGGCTTGAACATCCAACCTCTACAGTCTACATGGCTCAGCTGGATAAGCTGGGTAAACTTGCTGAGCTACTGCAGTAGCCTTTCGTCTCAAAAGACTGATCTACATTTTTTTCTATCTCTGCCATATTCAGTCCCTCCATAATACAGTATTTCCACTCAGTGTTTCTTCTTCTCCTTTGCATTCCTTCTGGCTCTATATTCTGGCTTCCAAATGTGAAACGGCTATATAAACGCAATTTGTTAGTGTACTTACATCATTGAAATATTTCTTTGACTGTTATTCATATTAATATAGAGCTGTTCTAACAATCTGCCGAGGCTTTGGGGGAGTTTGTTGTTAGATTTAAGAGAATTCTTTTAATATACAATATATAATAATAATAATTCTTGCATCTGATAAAGTGCCTTATGATAAAATGCCTCATTGAAAAGTCTCAAAGCAGCTTTATAAAGTTTACTCTAAGGTATAGTGATTGCATATTCGTTGGCAAATGCGGCAGCCAGTTTGCATACAGCAAAGTCTCCACAAACAGACATGAATGAATGATCAGTTTTATCTGGAGGATTGTTGGCAAAAGGAAGACATTCCCTTCTTTCTGTGTAGTGTAAAGGTCCTTGGTTTCATCTGAAGGACATCAACTCCAACTATGCAGTGCTCCCTCTGCTCTGTGATGGAGTGGCTACCAAGAACGGGAATTCAAAGGCTGATACCTTCAATGCAGTTACTTATTGTAATTCTGGTTCTTTTATTTCAGTATAAAGCTATTTCAAACCATAAAGTGCTCATGGAATCATGTCTTTCCCCCTGAATGATTTCCTCCTTTACATTCTTCTGAACCCTGTAGGCATCTTCTGTTCTTTGTGTTAGGTTATAAATTTCAGTCTCTTTAACTTGGGTTAAATAAAATATGCATGGTTGGGAACATTGGAGTACCCAGATTGAAACCCTGACAAAACAGAGGTGATTCTGAAAGTCTTTCTCGGTCATGGATAATCTATGTTCCACTACCTGTTGCCCATTGTGAATTACTTGAGCGCTCATAGGAATTAGTTTTTAAAGTTGAAGCAATCTAATTACTTTTGATTTGTCTTAACGGGATTTTTTAACGTACAAAAAAAATTACTTAACAGGACATAATATATGTCTTTCCAATGTGAAGGGTGCCATACAAGTGTAATTTGCTGTTGTTGTTGATTAGTGCAAATGATACCAGAAAGTTGCCAGTCACCGTATTTGATGTTGAAAGGTTTTGACTTCTTCGGGTGCTCTACAAATGCTATTTCGTATTTTACAGTGGTCATCTCTCACTGAATATTGCTGGCAGCTAACTTCAAATCTCTTTGATTGGATTAAAGTATCAAATCCATGGGTCTATACTAACTCCAGATAATATTACTTTGAAAAGAAAATTCAACAACTGACACAATTTATTTGGCTCTGTAACCTGGTACAAACAAAGAGTACATCTTCAGCTGCTAAATGAAGAACAGCTTCTTTTAAATTAACATATACGTAACATATTATATAAAGGGAGTCTATTGACAATCAATCTTTTAGGGGGAGAGTCTATTCAGAGCCTATTGATAGATCTTAGCTATCAAAACCAAATGGTTCTTAATTCCTCATTGTCATGATTTTTATGTTACCAATTGTTTTCAGTACCTTTGTTGCCGTCATTTTAAAGAAAAATAAATGCTCCTCTCTTAATGGTATCAAAAGACACACTAGACAGTGAAATACTAGTAGGAGAGATAAATTGTGTGCCATGGGCATGGAAAAGACTCAATCAGGTTAGAGACTTTGGAATATTGAAGCAGTCTTAATGAATGACTAGAGTTTGGATACTTGGGAATGACTGAGCTGTATGTTTAAGATAGCAAGGTGGGGATGAGAGAGAATTCTCCTGAATATTACTGTAGCACATAATAATCATTGTATTTTATACAACGGCTTTCACATCAGGAGGACGTTTCAAACCGCTTCACAGGATTTACTGTAAAGTGCAGTGACTGTGTATTTTGTAGGTAAACACTGTGGCCGGTGTGCTCGCAGCAATATACACAAGAAGTCATCATGAAATGAAGGACCAATTTTATCTGCAAGGTATAAAATGTACAACATTTCACAACTCATGCTGTTTCTCGGTGGGACATTAATGATTGATAATGGTGTAAATTTTACTAAGGAGACCGTCCATAGCTGGTGTATGTGGAGTGCTCTGCTTTGAGTTCACTGAGACGCATCCTATTATCATCTCAGGCAGGACAGAGTGTTGTTATGTACTTCAGCTGGACCTGCACATCAACCTTGCAATGCCACATACAAAAGTAGAAAATAATTGCAGCTGAGTGCAAGTCTTTATTTTAGGTTTCCAATATTGCCCCCCCCCACCCCCAATTCCATTTTGTATGATGGCAGGAATATGTCAATCAGCTTAATTGCCTTGCAAACCACTAATAAGTGATGAGTTTGTTAAGTAACATTTAAGCCTGGTTAAGTGAAGCAAAAGTATTTTATAAGTTTCTTCAGTATAACAGGAGCTGTGGCTTGATGGGATCAAACCAGACAGAACTGATAACCGTGGCTAATTTGGTAGGAGCCGCTTTGAGCAATACTCAGATCAAATAAATCTAGTGAAATCAAATAAACGTTACTATTCTTTCACAACAGCAATTCCAATTTCTAGCAGAAAACTAACCTGTTGGAGAGTTATACTCATCATTTTGTCTGGTCACAGCGCACATTCATTTAGTATCAGGAGGAGCAGAGAGAGAGAGAGTACTTCCAAGTGAATGATGATCAAAGTGGGAGTCCAGATTGCTTTTGCACTTATCGATCCTGCTGTCTTGTACACTTGCAACCAAACTCTAGTACCTTTAGAATACATTCTCCTCAAAGCTGGGATCGTGGATGAGATGGTGAGGGTAGATTTGTATGGCTGTGGAAGGAACAAACTTGAAAGACTTGAAATGACCTTTTATCATGCTTTTTTTTAAATGACTTACCAGGACAGTTCCAATGGCAATATCCTTCCTCAAAAGCCTCAAAAGCTTTCAAGATCATCAACATAAATAGCTCTTTAATTGGCCCCATTGTGGAGTACAGACCGGCTGCTTTGTCTGAGCACCCAGCCTCATGTCTCTTTTGCACCTTGTTCTCTGGCGTTCCTCCAAAGCAAATGGAGTAGTCAACATCTATTACCAGTACCTAAAGTTGAAATGCCTCTCAGCAATTTTGCAAAGCTTAATTTTTATTTGCAATCTTGCCACTTGCCTTCCACAGGGTTGAGAAGCACCACAACCCTTGTATATGCAACGTTTCTTGAGCAATTAGGCCACCGCAGATTAACAGCATAGTGTATTCTGACTGTGACTGGGGGACACCCGCAGAATATTTTTTTTAAAAAATAAAATTTGGGGTCAATCTTTTCACAGTTTTTTGGGGATAAAAACTAATTTCTGCCATGCACTTAGCTGGAACCTTAACCTGGCTACATTCATATGGAGCAGGCTTAGCTGCAAGTAGTTTATCTCTGGAACCACTTGTATGTGTGTTTTCACCATAATAATTAACATAAGTGTGCAAGCCCTTCACAAGCCACACACAAGACAGTGGACTGATTGCCCGATCTGGATAATATCTTCTTCAGCAACTGCAAGATTCAAACCTTCCACCCGATTTAAGTCGCCAACTAATATTTAATTGATTCTGTTTTGCTTGCTTTCTCCCTCTTTGTATTCCTGAGCAATATTTTCAGACGGCAAGAGCTGGCAGATATAACTTGGCTTCTTGAGCTGACCCTGGGAAATAAACAAAAGCAGCATAGATTTACATGGCTTTATATTCAATCTCCTTATGGAGTGTTGTTTCTCCCTTGTGACCTACTGACTGACTGTTTGGTTGAGATCAGGAGCTCGCCATGTGAGCTGCCTGTTTCTAGTCATTCCTTGACACCATGTGTTACCGCGTCTGTGCTCTGCTCTGGAATTCTATTAGCTTTGTTGGATATTTTATTTATTTAATCAAGTATCAAGATCAGAAATAGTTGATGCACAGGGTTGATACCCTTGTGGCTAACTTGGCACGCACCGGTGATTGGCACAGAACATTTAAAGTAATTATGTGGTTCAAGTTGCCCTTATAAATTACATTATAAATAAATGAAGTGATCTTATCATTCTGTCACCTAACTCCAGGGACGCAGTTGACAGTTTGATTGGCTTAACACAGCGCATTAGTGATGGGAATCAGTTAATCTGGCCAAGAATAAGAAATTCCTCTGGCGAGCAGATCTCAGAATTATTCAGAAGTTTACCTTCGTGGGGAACCAGCGAAACTATGCTTGGGCTCCTAAATCTTGTCCGATACAATTCACAAGATCCCGAGATAGTTCGGATGAAGAAGGTCCTTCTGGTGAGCGATGTGTGGAGTGGAATGGTGGGATGTGGGTTTGTGCTCACAATCTGCCAAATTCAGATGATCACCCTCCTACCTGAACTATTAAGTGAAGGTCAGGCAATTCCCCAAAGCACAGCAAAGCAGGTAGATTCATCCCTGTTTGCTCTTGTCCACGTGCCAACAACTAAAGCCAATGTGGCATTGGCAGAGACCTGGGAGCAGATGACATACCACTTCTCAGGCCAGGGATGGAGCACAAGGAGAATGAAGAAAGCTTTTCCCTTTATTTTAAACCTTATCTCCAAAAGAAGTAGACATTTTTAAAAAATCCTCCCCGAAGGCCTCATTGTAATTCTTATACTCTGAACTGTTTGGATAGCTGGGTTAAAATTGCTGCCTTGGTACTAGTTTTGTCACTCTCAAACTGATTGAAATGAGGCAATCTGCTTGGTGTTTTGCCTTTGTTATTTTTGAATTTGAGTCACAAAAATGTTGAAAGGAAGTGAGGAAATTTGCTCAGATTTAAATTACGCAGCTGATTAATTGGTACAAAAAAGCATCATCTATATTTCGCAATACATTTAATGTTCTGGTCCTTATAACTCTTTCTGAAGTACTGCATTATTTGGCAATTTATTATCTTGTTAGTATGATAATGTTACATGAACTATTAAACAAATGGGTATTTTTTAGATGAAACCATTTTTTTTAAAAGTGAAAAGAACTTGCGGAATGACATGTTATGCTCAGGAAATTGATTTCGCATTCACTTTGCATTTAAATTGATTAAATGTTCACTCTTTCAGAAATAGAGAGCAAAGCACATAACATCAAAGTAGCTTGGCTGGTAAACTGAATGGTTTAAATAGAACAAATAAAAATCTTCCAAGGTTCAGTCAAGTAAGTTGTCATCTGAAACAGGAAGAGAACCCCATGTTGAATTAGAATCATATGTTAACTACACACTGATCCCAAATAAGAGTGCCCTCTCTGAGAATGCATAATTAACACTACATTTATGAGGTAAAACCTCATGGAGATTTATCGTGCAAAAATCTGTGTCTACATTCCAACAACTTGCTTTATAAAGCATTCTTCACATGGGGTAGCATCTCAGAGTGCTTTGAATTGCATAGAATCTACAGCACCGAAACAGATCATTCAACCCCATCAGCTTGTGCTGGTATTTACACACCACCCATTCTAAGACCCTTTCCTAAGCCCCTCCGCCTACCACCCCGTCCTCGGCCCCCTTACCCCTTCTATTTTGTTTTCTTGCGCTCTCATGTACCCATCAAGGTTTCTCTAAACCGTATTGTTGATGTCTGCCCTAATCATTTGCTTCTGAGAGCGAGTTCCATATTTTCACCACCTTCTGTGTGAAGACCTTCATTTACAGTATGGTTGCATCCCAAGCCTAGAATGTCGAAATGCGCACATTTTAGTCTTACTGACTGGATTCTCTTACGCAGTGTTCATACCGGTGAACTTCTGTGCTGTATGACATTGCATTGGGAGCCAAGTTTGAAACCCTGGATTTGGGTGGTTTAATGTTGCTGAAGAGAAGCATGTGCGATCGTCTCTTCAGTGACTGTAAAACGTGTCTGACCTGGGTTGGGGGGGTCATTCTTGGGCCGTTGCTGTAGTAAACATTCGAGGATCAAGTTGTCCAAATCGCGAGCTCTGACCTCACCTTGTGGGAATCACCCTAGTTTGAATCATCGAGGTGCGAACAGGAGTGGGGCCAGTGATTTGCACTGACTAAATCTTGCGTGTCAGACGTCAAGTCACTGGTTAAATTGTGATGCTTTACTGCCAGCCGTGTGATATAAATGTAGCATAAAATAAACCAAGTAGCACAGGGCTGGATTTTTAAAAGAAAAAGAGATTTCCATCCCTGCAGAGCAATTTGCAGGAATAAAAATTCCAACAAAATTGCCTTGTGAAGATTTTTATGCTCTGAGTAATTGTAAAACCTCAAGAGTGATTGTGCATTTTTCATATTCAGGAGCAGAATTAAATAAAATCCTAATTTCAGCCCTGCGGTCCTCAAATTTGTGACAAGTGACTTAATCTACCACTTTCTAAGGAAGCTGGCAATGAAAATATGTAAAACCTTGATTTGTAATGAAGCAATAATGAGGGATAACTGTGAGTACGCCATAAATGCATGTATTTGTCAAACTTTCTGCATACATTGAAATAATTTAATGGCTCAGGGAATTATTTAGTTTTTTCTTAACTGATGGGAGGTGTTTTACATTAGTTTGAAGCCTGAAGTCAGTAGCTAAAGTAGCTCCTATATAGGAGTTGAACTATAAAAACTCATACTTTTGACTGGATCTTCCAGAAGAAGGGGCAGCATCTTTGTGGATTGAAGACCTTCATAGGCTCAGTTGGGGGGAAGGGGTAAATGGGTGCTCACCCATTCACAATGTCTCCCATTCACCATGTCTTTCCTGGCCGAGTATTCAATTTGTTACATATTCTCAGCATGAAACCCATGAAATGATGTGGTTTGCAATTGTGTTTTAATAATTGGTACATTTGTTGAGTCCTGTAGCTCAGTCATAGAGCGCTCGCCTCACAAGCGAGAGACCTGGGTTCGATTCCCGGCAGGACAAAAAGTTGGGCAAGTTTCCTTACTCCATACGCCTTTGTTTACCTAGCAGTAAGTAGGAACCCGATTGTTAATCGATTGGTGGATTGCTTTTACGGGGATAATAATTCCTTCATTTTTTTTAAGAAATAATAATTTGGTCACTCAATCCACAACTGTTTGTGGGACACTGCTGTGCGCAATTAGTTACCGTGATTTGCCCACAAAATATACAATCAATTCACTTTATGGTGTATCTTGTGAAATGCTTTGAGACATCTCTAAGACGTTGATAAGGCGCTATATCAAATGCAAGGATTATTATCATTATTATTTGTTAATTCTGATTAAAACTGAGGCTTCTTCATGGTAGATGTAAAGACATCATGCGGATATCCATACAAACTATACTCTGAATCAGATTCAAACTAAGATGATGCATCAAGGTGACAAATAGCATGAGAACAGATTTTATTGAGTGGATTGAGTCCATTCACCAAAGCAGTTGAAATCTTAAATTGAACATTACTTCACAGTGTGCATTTTCCAAACGGAAAGAAATTTCAATGATTTAGTAGTGGCATTAATAAGACTGAGTATCTAAATCATTGTTTGAGGTCTTCAACCTTAAGCAGTTTCAACACGTTAGTAACTTACTAACCATGAAATTGTTTAAGTTGTCCTTTAAGGATTTCTTGACGTCTAGGTCATTTTTTTCCACCAAGACTAAAATTAACAATTTGGGGAAATGTTTTTATTTCTATTAGTTTCTAAGTTTTCTTTTATTTTGTTTCTGTTCCATAGCACTTGAGCATCATAACCACTGTAAATGAAGTATTTCTTCATTCTGCTTCTTATATTTATTGTATGAATGGACAGCAAAGTACCTTACTTTAGAAAATTGGTTATCTAACATATTATGTCCTCCTCTCCCTGGTTCTTTTACAGATAACAGTTCTTTGGATAAACAGGTTCTAAATTGCTGTTTCACCTTTCATAAAGAATCATGTGAATTTTGTTGCATTTTTGATTGTGGTATTTTGTGTTGAATGTACCCATTTCACGTCCCACTTGTGTCGCATGGATTTCACCCTCAGATCTACATGAAATTGTCATTAATTGTTCTGTATTCAGCGTATGATGCATTATATATGGACAGGATATTTAGCGTTGAAAATTAACCTTTGCAAGAGCAATCACACATAAAATATTTCACGTGTATTATAAGTGCGAAAAAGTGTACAATGTGAAGAGGTAGGTTTTATAAACTGTGAATTATTTAAGACTTCACAACGTAACCTTTTCTACTTATTTATCTTTTATTAAAGGCTCATCTCGGAAGTGAAAATGTATTGGATGCTGCTATTCTTTCCGGCTTCAAGCCTACAGGAGGGTGAGTCAATGTTTAGACAAGATATTTCTTGAATTATACTCAGAGCAGTAATGTTTCTCCCTAAAGCAAACTAATTTCCACTTCTGCCATAAATAATTTCACTGTGCTACGTTATAGATAAATTTCTTACAAGTTTCCCCTAGGTGCCTTCCAACTTCTCGGTTCGCCCACAAAATATACAGTCAGTTCACTTTACAATATATTCTGTGAAGCGTTTGAGACACGCAAGGATGATTATTATTACTACCAATAACTAGCGATGCCTGGTTTTGTTTTTTATTATTGTTTCAATTTCCGACCAATAATATCGCCGTTTATTTTACCGTTTCTTTTTTTGTTTAGACCTTTAGACTATATTTTTTTGACTACAAAGCCTGACGATTGGCTGAATTCCCCCTGTTAAACAGAGTGCCTTTTACATATTTGTGTTCATCATTTTGATAACAAATGGCTATGCAATGGATTTTAAGCTGTAGTTCTAACTCAAGAGCTCTTTGAGAACATCAAATAAAAACGAGTACCTGGTTTCAGTACTCGGAGCATGAAAAAGGCCTCCACATGAGGGTGTTTAATTATTTCCATGATCCCGAAGCCATGAACAAGCCGAAATTGTGTCCTTGCTGCATGTCACCAGTCTGCTTGGATTTATATAAATCCCAAGAGGGTCAGTTTATAGTTCTTTGTGTGGTGTTGAATTTGTAAGTCTTGAAATGTGAATCAGAAAGTTTGGCTGAACTTCATCTGAGGGTTAAGGGACGGGTTGATTTTTGCAGTAGGAAAAATATAGGTATGGTCTGCAATATTATAAGATTAACAATTAATATTAAGGAAATTAGACCTCTTTATCACACGTGTCGAGTATAACTATTGCAACTTTGAAAGAGTTGGTTTTGTGATTTCAATTTGGTGAGCTAAATCATGTGGCAGTAATTGTCCATTTTGAAAAGGTTAAATGTAAAAAAAAGTAGTTTTAATCAGCGAATTTTGCATTTTCAGTGTATTCTAATAATCCTCTTCACAACTGTCAATCACTTTTGAAGTAAACTGTATGAAAGTTAATAGTTATTTCATTTTATTTTCATTGCTCATATGACTAGAGGGGATCAAGCAGAACAGCAATATTTATTATTTTACTGCTGGGCTGGAGATAAATCCATTAAAAATGTAAGAAAATATGAAAACATTCGCTTGTGACTTTATTAAAAATTGACCCTTCGCAGTTTCCTTTCCCCCCAACAAAATCTAATTTCTTCATCCGAATGTCTGACTTTTTATTTCCCTTCAACAGCCCTCAATTGCGCTCAATTGCCCAGATGGCCATTATTCATGCATGAGCTTTGACAGTAAGGGCTCCAGGCTATTCAATCAGGAGGTCATCACAGTTGAGTCTGACTTTATCCTGTCTTGCACCCATCATCCACACACACACACACAAACTCACCTTCCAACATTTGGCAGAAACCTGGCAGCCTTTCCCCTCCCACCAGCATTGCCATCTCCCTTCCTTCACACATACACTTTATTGCAGTCAGCAAATAGTATAGGACACATTAAGGTTTACATCCAGGTTTATATTGAGTTAGGATGATTCAGTTAGGGCAACAGTTGGTGTCCTTGCCCTTTGTCTTAGGTAAGAGAAAGCTAATCACTTCCTGATCTCTATCTGGAGAATCCTACTTACACTTGTGCATGTGGATGTTGGAGGAGAAGAATATAAGGTGTGTCTGCATTTTCTCCATTCACTCTTGTGAGTGAATAACCTGCCAACACTCACTGCACTCACTGTTAAGGCATTTGTAGACTATTTGGACACGCGACTGGGAAAGTGAGCAGTTCCTGTGAAACCGTTGCTCAGTGGAAGGAAAAAGGAGCTATTTACTTGCAGGAGAGAAGGAGGAGGGTTGGGTGGGAAGATTTGTTTTGTATATAAAAAATAAAATAAAAGATTTTTTTTGTATATAAAAAAAATCAGTGCCCCAAAAGCACGCAATAATATGTTCACAATGTACCCAGGTTTTTTTTTCCCTCACACGCGCACTCATTTATGTGTGATCTGTGGGATTTCAATTTCTCCCAAGATAAATAGCCAGACCAGAGATAACCAGAAGAGAACAGTCAATATGGAAGGTAAAATCAGCCCTCTGTAAAGTGAAGCAGGAGAGCAAAAATAAAGCTGTGTTAGGTTTTGTGTTTAGCAGTCCACCAGCATTGATTAGTAATTTAAACAAAATTTACTACTGTTCTTTGTTTTCTCATGGTTCCAGTAGTAAGCATAATAAAACCAGCGAGGAGTCCAGAAAACCATTGTGGAACTTCAATGGTCATTGACCTCAAGTCTGTATATCTTCTTTTTATCACAAGTTTCAGCTTTCAATTCCCATTCCAGGGCCCGATGGCTAATTTGTTGTTAGTTTTATATTGCTTCAGTTTTTACCTGGCAGAATTTTATCACATACCCTTTAAAATCCAAGAAAATGATATCAACCGAATAGCCTTTTGGGGGAAAACAAATCCACTTGTGTTTAGATTCTACTCTATTTGTGTAGGTAGCATTTCAGAGTGTCAAAAACTGTTGGATTCATTCCTAACTTTGAAGTCGGATTTCTGCCGTTTCTTATAAGGGCTGCAGAAAGCCGGCTTCAAAATTAATGCTGTATTTAAGCATTCTGTATTTAAGAATTGGAGAAATAATACTTTGTGTGTTTTAAGAGTACGACCACTAAAAACTTATCAGATCACTAAGTGATGTGATTGAAACTATGATAGCTTTTCTGCAACAACAACAACAACAACTTGCATTTATATAGCACCCTTGATGGGGGGTAGCAAACCAGAACGCTCCCTGAGTTGTCTACTGGTGGTACAATAGCATTTCAAACACACACAAGTTGTACTGTGAAGCAGGTTTACACAGTAGATGTTGCTATTATCACTGTCAAAACACTTTCATTTCACCTGTAGGCTCTTTCAGTGTTCAAATGTAAATAAATCTAATATTGGGTGAAAGTCTGTTACCATTAGGGGTACTTTTTATAGATAATGAGATTGAACCAAAGTAGAAATATTTTTCCCTTAGGTATGTAATGTTGCCTAATAAGTTATATTAAAAAAATTGTTTAACTGTAGCTATATTTGGTGTTCTTGCTTTTAAGCCCTAATCATTGTTACACTCTTGGCATGGTTCAATGAGGTTTCCAAATCAAAAAATTCTGAAAATGCAGCATGACTCCCATTTATAGTGATTCTGTGTGTCGTTGTTAAAACCACCTCCAGTCGAGTGATAGTGGTTTCGGAATAGAATTGACTCGAATACAAAAACTCTGATCCCAAACTAACTTTTAAACTTAAGAATTCCAAAGACATTAATTATGTTTGACAACATTAGCAGGTGCTCTCTGCTTTTTATTGGCGCTCTGTGCATGTCCTGTGCATGCATATACAAATGAGGCTTCCTTTTCCACCTCGGAGTAACACCGTTTTGCTTCCACATGTATAAGCAAGCATTAGAAATTTTGTAGTACCACACACAATCTTATTCATGAGAACTATTTGCTTTATATTTCACAGAAATGATATCACACAACCTCCTCATTAATGTAATGTTTAAAGTCTAAATATCCTAAACTAACATCACACATATTGTAGCCTAATTAGCAGGTGTTATTTGAATCAAACCACAAAGGAATATAACACACCATTGAGTCCATAGTCTGTTTTATTACTTTTTTCCTAATTACCTTTGCCTGATCTATGGTTAATTGTGATGTACGATATAACTGGAACATGATCATAACTCACTCAGAATTTATCACATCAGCCTGCGTCCACATATATAAAAAAAACTACAGGACTTTGAAATGCACCTCATCTATGTTAGAGATAGTCTTTAGATAATAGTAATAATAATAATCGTTGCATTTGATACAGCACCTAATCACGTCTTCGAGACGTCTCAAAGCGCTTCACAGAATATACTGTAAAGTGTAGTGACTGTGGATTTTGTGGGCAAAATATATAGATCGACATTAAAACAGAATAAATAATGTTATCATTTTTATAGTAAAAGTATATAATGTTATCAATTTGCGCACAGCAATGTCCCACAAAGAGCTATGAAGTGAATAACCAATTAACCAAATTTTATCTGAGGGATTGTTGGTCAGGACACCAGGAAAAACTCCCTTCACAGAATAAATGTTGTCTTAGGTAGACTATTTTCCTGAGTTGTCATAACCATAACGATGCACTTAAGAACATTTACTATAAAGGAAAATCTAGAAGTCGACTGCCCTGAGGTACAAGGTAGCAAGTAATTTGTACCATGCAAAATTAACAAGACTACTCTGCTTTCATAATCCCCTCAACAGTGTACACCCAATAGTTTTCTAAACCATGATTTATGCTGAAGAATTAGTTAATCAAAAACAGTTCTGTACTATCTCCCTTTGGACAGTTTATTATGTTGACGGAATTGGTTTTATTATGAACATCCTGTAGCTATGTCCTCTTTTATATTTATTATAGGTTATCACCAGCCATTTTATCTTCTGACATCTTGTTTTCATGGGCTCATGTTGCTAGGACGTAATTTTTATCCTTTGCAGTCGTTCCATCTTATTTAAAACTCATGTCAATGTTCTTTGCCTGTTAATCAAAAACATATCAAAGTTTTTGCAACTCTGGTGCAGTAGAAGTGTGAATCAGCAGTATTCTCTTGAAAAACAACGGGATTCAAATAAGAATAATAAAGTTCTTCTGGTGAACACCTCCAATGGCTTAGTGATTGAAGTTGCCGCCTATAAGTCAATGAGCCATATAGACCAGAAGTTTGTAGCTTTAATCCCTGGTCTGGTGAATTAGCTGATATAAACTGGGATAGGAGTTGGGTTACAGCCGTTGCTTTTAGTGATCCAGGTCTAAAGAAAGAAGAAAGTCGTCTAGGTTTCCAGCTCCCACTCCTGATGACTCTGCAGTGATCCTTTTGGAAAGTCCACATGTGGACAACAGGTGAGAGCATGATCAGGCTTAGCTGTGATACAATTCTTTGGGGTCAAGTAATCTTCGACGCATTCTATCTAGATAAACCAAGTAAAAATCCTGCTCGTAATGCGACTTGCGATTCTTGGTGCAAAATGCTGCAGATACAGGAAAGCTGAAACATGAACCGAAGTCCCTGGGAGCACTCAGCATATCAGACAGCAACTATGGAGAAAGGAAAGTGAGTCAACATTTCGGGTCTACGACCCTTCGTCACAACGGGTCACTGACGAAGGGTCATGGACACGAAACGTTGACTCACTTTGCTTTCTCCATAGATGCTGCCTGACCTGCTGAGTGTTCCCAGCGACTTCTGTTTCTGTTGCGATTCTTGGTATCTAAAATCACTTTTTAACTGAAGACATTTTCTGCAACGCTAGACATTTTTATTATTCTCAAAATATTTGTTATGTAGCACTCGTTTCCTGCTGCTGGATTTTCATTTCATAAAGCTGTTTGGCTCGATGTACAGTAAGTAATTAATTAATGTCATCCACCTGCCATTTAGGGTAAATATTTGATACTGCAATGTCTGCTGTATAATTAAGAGGAAACAGACTGTCTGGAGTTACTTTGGTTCAGATTGTAGCACTGTTGAAATGCGGTCTCTCCCCTGATCCCTCCAGTGCAGATCAATGCTGGGAGAGCGATGGGGTGTTGGAGATGTCGTCCTTTGCAGGAGATGTTCAACTGAGGCTCCGTTTGCATGTTCAGGTTGAATGTTAAACATCCCATTGGACTATTCGAAAGGAGATGGGAGTTTCTCCCAGTGGTCTAGCCAATGAACCAAATAAAACCAGTAATTCATTTCACAACTGTTTGTGGGACAATGCTATGTGCATTCGCCCACAAATACACAGTCCCTCCACTCTATAGTATGTTCATTAAGCTGTTTTGTCAACACTCCAATGCACACTCAGGAGTCCCCAAGCCTTGGTTTAAGATTTTAATGCAATACTAAATGTAAGTAACAATGATTTGGGACATCAATGTTAAAGCTTAAAAAAAGTAAAGAAAAATTCAACCATTCAAGGAACTGTGGAGTTAATTATTATCATGGCTATTTCATCAAACTTATTTAGCTTGTTTGCACTTTCAAAGCAAATATTTAGTTATACATCTGATGACTTATGAGGTGCGTGCTTTTAAAAAAAATTGAGTAATGAAATTAATCTGTCACATGATAAACACAACAGGCTATGAATTCATATTAGACATTTGGTTGCAATGACCTGTGCTTCGTTTTGTTTGGTGATTTACAGGAAGGGTGTAGTTAAATTTGAACACCGGAATTATTGTGTTTAGTTTTCGCTCATAATCCTTCCATAAAACGTTCAATTTGTTGAGTTGAGGCACTAAATGCAACCACACTTCTTCCACCTTAAAGCTGAAAACACTCACTCCCCTCCACCCCCCAAAAATGAGCCATAATCTCGAAACTCAAAATACCGTAGAAAAGAAAAAGGTGAAAAGAAAATATAAAGTTTTTTGGATGAACAGCGATCCAGATGAGAGGCAAAGAGGTATGACAAAGAGTAAAATGAAGCAACAGCCCATAGCGTCCGATGTGCTACTTGACAATACTGGAGACGTAGACTGTGCTGAAGAAAGTGAAATTCATAACGAGTCAAAAGATGCGATGTCCATCACAGGGAGTTTAAAGAAATCGAACAGGTATTTTGCATTTGTAATGTTATTTTGATGATACTTTCTGTGATCTGGATAATATGCAGTAGATATGTAATATGTGGAAACCGACTTTAACTGAAAGGATTGAGTTGGGGAGAGAGAATCCCACTTGGATCTGATTTCAATGTGGAGTTTCTGTTAAAAATATTGTCTTAGTTAATGATACTTTTGCCGTTTACCCTTGACCTCAGCTCTATTTGTTTAGCAAATATTACCAGATTTGTTTAAACTTTAGATAATTAGAATATAATAGTATAATAAATAATAGCCCTTACATTTTCAGCTATAGAAGTATCTGGCCAGAGTGTAGCCGATTTGTAAGCTACATTAAAGTTTGCTGATTTACTGAGAATGTAACTCACTTACCATACTTTTTCAGTTTGCAACTCCTATTGTGCTTAATGTTTGCACGTGGATCAAGCAGAAATTGAACCAAGTAGAGAAAATTTATATGAATACAGGGATGGAGAATCTGAAGCCACATTTTGTTGTACTTTGAGGGAGGAGTAAAAATACTTTGGAGAATTTATGAATAATAATGAATCACCGTGGAGGGAGAACTTAAAAGGCGATGGTAGGGAATTGGAATAAATTGGCATTACTTAATGAATAAAATAACTTGTATGAAAAATGAGCTGGTTAAGTATTCATTACAGGAATTAGAGGGCCGCAAGCAAAATATACTGCAAGGTGAAGCAAAGGCTAAGGTAGGGGAATAAAACATACCATAGTATTTTAACAAGTTTTGATATATCCAATGTTATATCATTAAAGATGACATTATGCAAGCGAGTCTGCCGTCCTTTTGTGCAGATGTTCATGTGATTACTTTTACAATACAGAAGATAAACAATAGTGCCTTTTCACGAGTAGTTTCTTTTGTGCAGCGGAAATAAAACTCTCTAATGGCTGGACTACCTCTCTCTATCTCTATGGCTCTCTCTCTGTGTATATATAAACTAAAATAGTTTGTTCAATGTAACATATACATATTTTGTTACATTGAACAAACTATTTTTGTGAAAATAGAGAGCAAAGTTCTATTTGTGATCTGTTATCACATCATTATTCGCTTATTCCATTAACATAGAGTTAAAGTTGCAGAGCGCAATTTCAGGACAGGCACCGGGCAGTTTTTTCTTAATCCAGAGGTTAATTAATGACTAAGAGAGGTTCGTGGAGTCCTGTAGCTCAGTGGTTAGAGCACTCGCTTTGCAAGCGAGAGACCTGAGTTCAATTCCAGGCAGGGCGAAACTTTGGGCAAGTTTCCTTACTCCACACAGAGCCTAATAATAATCCCTCCAAAACCAAAAACAATGATAAATTGGTCATTTTCAATCTACGACTGTTTGTGGGATATTGCTGTGCGCAATTGGCTGCTGTGTTCGCCCACAAATATACAGTCAATTCACTTTACAGTGTGTTCTGTGAAGCGCTTTGGGACGTCCTCCCGACGTGAAAAGCGCTATATCAAATGCAAGGATTATTATTATTATTACCAGGAAGAGTGGCTGAGACCAGGACACTGTACTGATTTAAACATAGCTTGACACTTTGAAGGGAAGATGGAAGAGTGGGTGCTCTATCTGGAAGGATGAGATCAAATGGGCCAAAGGGCCTTCTTCATCCAGAGCAATCTTTGTTGTGTCAATAAGGTGATTACAAGTATTGAAGTCGTACCCAAATTGTAAAATATTCTAGTAAACTGATTTAGATAAATAAATGTTTTGCTGAGTTTGCCGGGTTGTTTCAGTTGTTGTATTTGCTGTGAGGAATAACAAGGTAAGCAATGAATGACTGCAGCATATTCCTGGATGACATCAGTTGAATCACAATGGATTGGTGCAATGTAGTTGCAACCTTAACCGGAGGCAAAACAATTGAGCATAAACTGCTTCTTCAAATGCAACACATAGTGTATAAACTGAGTTGTTCTCCACTATATCTGGCCCATAAACCAATTTGGAAAAGGACATGATTTGAAACAATAGAGGAAAAACAATATTTACAATGCTTTCAGCCAATTTCAGCAAATTTGGGACTTGACTTCTGAATTTATCCACACTCTGAAATCTATATGAAGGCTGGTTTGCTGGCTTGCACTATCTGTAATGATATTTTGAACTCTATAGTATCTTGATCAACCTGACTCCCTTGGTAGCATCCTCGCCTCTAAGTAAGAAGGTTGGTACTCCAATGCAGTGAGGGTGTGGTGGGGGGGTGGGGGTGTTGTCCAAGGGGGCCGTCCTGTGGATTGGACATTAAATCAAGATCCCGGCTGCCTATTCAGACATTAAAAATCCTGTGGCACTATTTGAAAAGAGAAGTGAGTCTCTTCTGGTATCCCGGCCAAAAATCCCCAAATAAAATTGCTAATTTATTTCATGCCATTTGCCTACCAATACTGTCACTACATTTTAGAATGAATTCTGTGATGAACTTTGAGAAATTTCGGGCCTCCAAGACGTTAGCCCATGTGAAGGGCACGATATAAAAATCCAAATTGTTGTTGGTTCAACGGTATAAGGTGCTATATGAGATTCAAACATTATTATTTATGATTATCTTTAATTTTTCTGATCATGATGCATCATTTTCCTTTTCCGATTGGATGATTTGACAATTGAAAACACATGTATGTTGTACTTTTTGTTAGTCTTTGGAGGGTAAAAATATCACTGCTTTCACCATTGATCCTTCCTGTTGCTAGATCATTCTTCATACAGCTTACTAACTGATGGATTCAGTGTGAAATAGTTTGATGCCTCAACATAAAGCAGCTTCCTTGAAGCTTGAGGATTTGTGCCAAGGAATCTATTGGTGACTTGACAAACCTTACAGAATAATGGATTACTCATCAGAGTCTAATCACTGACATCATCCTTACAGTTACGAGTGCATGAGAACATCATATGTTTTTGTAAAGCTATAAAAACACCCTCCAAGGATAAAGGCAGGCTTCAAATGTCCTGTACACAAACCTGCTGGATAGCAGCTATTAAATACATCGTGTAATCATTAGCGAAAACAGTTTTATTAATATAATTGCTCAATTCAACCTTGTACAGTAATTTCATGGTTCTCATTTACCTTGTGCTTCAGACAGCAGAAGTTAGGCCCCCAGCAGCTTTTGGCAATTAAGGGATGTGAACTTTAATTTGAAAACAGTTAATCACAGCTGTAGGCCACATAGAAAGCCTCCACTTTAATCCTATGTTTTAGCTGTGAAGATGAAATGGTAAAAATAAACTGGTGTTTAGAGCTTTCCATTAGAGAAGTGTTCTTTGTATTAAATAAATACTGATGATAAATCACCATCCTCTGCAGGAAGTTCTGTGAAGGACATTGAGTCATCTCAATGATGTGATATCAAATATATAAAATGCATGGATTATTATAATATTATTTTATCCTTGTATTTAACAGCAGCGGGAAGGATGTCCCGAAGAGCTTCACAGGATGTACTGTAAAGTGTAGTGACTGTGCATTTTCACATTATTTAGAACCAAAGATTAAAATGTACCTTGTTTAAAGCCGAGCACTTTATTGAATATTGTGAACAGTCCACAGATTTGGATAGTTTAAACAGTTGCCTAAGTAAGCTCAGTCTTCTTTTAGTCTCCACTTCGAGGAGACTTTATAGACTAATCAACTTCACACTGACTTTATTTTAGATTACTCGGAAGTGATGAACGATTTTCGATAATAACATTTCGCAAGCAACGTATCTGCAAAGTTACTGTCGAAGAGTTGACTGTGACTGCAATATATTGCTGGGAACCAATAAAGCAATACCACTTTCAGTGATAAAGAGATGAGGATCAAGAAACTGATTTACACCTTCTCAATCTTCATCTTTCTAATTGTGTGGCTGGTGCAGGGGGAGCTCTCTGTCTAAATGCAAGGATCTGCCAACTAGTGTTATTTTTATAACCCTGTAAACCAGTTGATAGTAAATAACTATCCAGGCAAATATTGAAATATTGTCCCTGGAATTTCCCTGAATGTGGCAGGGGTCCAGAGGTTAATTGCTTACAATATATGCTGCTGCGTATCTCAACATGTGCACAAATTTCCAAAATAAAGTAAATAACCCTAACGTGCTTTTAAACACCTTAAATGATGTATCTCTTTATTATTAATAATAATTATTACGATCATATTAATCTCTGCATTTGGTACAGTGCCTTGTCATGTCATTGAGACGTCTCAAAGCGCCTGACAGGAAATACTGTCAAATGGATTTGACTGTGTATTTCGGGGGTGAAATGTAGCAGCCAGTTGCGCACAGCATTGTCTCACAAACAGCTATGGAGTGAGTGACTAATTTTATTTGGGGGATGGTTGGCCCGGGTACCGGGAGAAACTCCTGGATATGATTCCAACCCCTGAGGTGAGGCTTGAACCCACACCTCACATATTTTCCAACATATACAGGATTGTATTGTCTGCTATATGCACCAGCAAGTAACAACGATGCAGGTTTAGGCAAAAGCAGGTCATACGATTTGTGGTGAATTTTGTAGAATGAAGTAGAAAATATCTCCCATTGTGAAACAATGTGTGAAATATTGAAGCTGCAGTATACTGTTTGAAAAAACAGAGAAAGGGGTTGTAATATTGCAGTAATAACACGGTGAGTCGATGAAATGAATTTTATTAATGTATAACTTGTGAATAAGGATTCCATGTTGAACAATCCAGGCTGACAGATATGATTTTTAGATCTGAGATTGCTTTGAAAAGATTTCCGAGGCAACAGACGAGAAATAAAATGCATGAAAAGAATCCAGATTTGAATCATTCCATTATGTGATTGAAGGAAATTGTTTAAAATGTGAAACTACGCCTGACTTCTTTAATGTGAAGATCAAATAGTTTTCTTAGAAATGTATGTCCATTTCCATACCAATTTTGGGGGTTAGTGAACCAATAAGTGAACACAGAAGGCTGAGGCTCACTTTACCTTCCAATTTTTTGCTAACAGGTGTCTGGGTAATACTTTGTGCATTGTAACAGTTCAGACTTCTCTGTAGAGATAAATACTATTGTTTTATAGAGTAAATAAATTTTCACGTGCCTGTAACAGAAGACGAGCAAGACTAAAAAACATTCCTCCCTTAAACATCAATTCAAGATTGTTTGCCCAATATGTTATATGTAGTGTGTGTTTCTGTACTAAAGCAGGTTTTTCCTTTAGGCCTGGAAGCATACTCTATGGCATTGACAGCATGCCCGACCTTCGTCGAAAAAAGACAATGCCTATTGTTCGGGATGTGGTAAGTTATCTTTTTCTAACCAAATAGCTTAGATCATCTGAAGTTTGCCGTATTGAACTAATAAAACACGGGCCACAAAAAGTAGTCAGTAATCCTCTGCTCTTGGGGTTTAGAATTGACTTGATGCATTCAAAATAACAACAAGAGACTTTCAACTTTGATGAAGTTCCTCAATCGGTTTAAGCTATTTATTTCTATGTTGCTCTTTTACTTTTAGGGTGGTTGATGTCATCCCTGAACCACACCACGTTCCTTTAATTGATTGACTGTAACCAGCTACTGGGGATACCAGGGGCAATTGCTTACTGTGCTGTCCAATTTCCTTATCGTTCATCCCAACCCCCTCCCTCTCTCCCCCTTGACCAACCTGACTGACATTGGGAGCTCATCATGAGAAGTAAACTGATACATCCATAGACTGCAGTGTCAACACATCCATGTGATTTGTGCCCCTTTGCTCTGAAAGCCCGATGCAATTTCAAAAAGCCTCAAAGAAAGTTTCTCTGTTTCAATTAAAGGAAGATAGAAAAGTATCAAATAGATATCAAAATTGTTTTAAAGCATGATCAATGCAAAAATTAGTTTTACAACTGCTTCAGTCTTTTCAATTGCTAAGGAGACAGCGAATCTAATAACTAACCTTTGTAATTTCTTTCATATGCTTCTTGGATTAAACAGGCGATGGTAAGTTTGTATGGACATGCTGAGTACAGTATGATATTTTAACCTGGAAAATATCAGTCACAGGATTTATTGTGCTTACTGTATCCGTCCCTGCTCATTCAACAGATCTAAGGTTAAAGCTTCTGTGAAATAATGTCTTTGATTTATCTACTTTAGTAAAATAATGATGCTGTAAATTTTACGTTACTGGTGAATTAGATTTGTGACATTTATTTGTGACTCGTACTAATTGATAAATCCTCATCATAGTAATTACTTGTGAAAAACCTTGATACATTGCAACATATAAGGCGCTATAAAAATCCTAAATTTTGCAAATAAACAGGAAGCCAGATGTTGACTCAGGGGCAAATCAAATTTCTAAACTAATTTCCTTCAAGCAAAGCACATGGTAAGTTAAATATGCAAGTCCCCAGGTCAGTGATCTCCTCTTCAGTGAGTCATTTATCATTAGGCTGAATCATCCTATTTGCAAACCCAATCTGTCTGGTGTTGATATTTAATGCCTTCTGCGCCATATGTCATTTGCTGATTGACAAACTTGGTAAACGCAGCCTTAAAACAGCCTTAAAAGTTATTGCATATTCATTTAGTAGGTTAAATCACCAATAGCTGACCAGTTTTCTACACGTTTTAAAAACACATCTCGCATATTTGGTCCTTACTTTTTAAATAGTTCGAAAGGATGTAGAGTAGAAACCCCAGGAAGTGACACTGGTGACCTGTTTCAGGAAAGAGTGTCACCAACATCCTTACAATACAAATCAGAGATAAGCCTTGTTGCTGTCTCCATCAAACTCTGTATACGTATATGGTTTTAATTTTGTTTGCAACATCTGAAAACATTGCTGGGTGCACTTGAGAGACATTCTCACTTGTTTTGTTTTATTTTAGCGAGACTCTCCAAGCTCAGGCAAATTTCAGATAAAAAAATTCTTCGCAACTGTTTGTATTCAGTATCCTTAATCTCGATGGGTAATGAAAGCACTGACATGCTCTGTCAAAGAGCCGGCACAGACTCGATGGGCCGAATGGCCTCCTTCTGTGCCGTAACATTCTATGATTCTATGATTCTGTGAAAGAAAATTGATTATCCTTATCATTGCAAGAAAAATAAATCTAAACGGAAAACTTCAATAACGATGGCGGAGAAAGCAGTGAAAAGCAGAGAATTAAGATTTGATTTGTTCATTTAGTATTAATTGTAAACCACTTCAGCACATACAACCCCACTCAACAACTGGTAATTAATATTTTGGAGAGGAGGGGGTCCCAATTGGAAAAGTGTTAGTTTACACACCCTTCATCACATCAGTTTCGAGTACACAGTTATTATTTACATGGATTTTTTTCCATTTCTCGTTTCATCTCTTACTATTTGCGCTTTGTTTTCTCCCGCCCCAACAGACTCTTGCTGCCCGAAAGGCAGGCATATCTTTTGCCATGGCCACCAGAACCTCACTAAACAATGAAGAATTGGTAAGTGTTTTTTTTTATGTGTTTATCAGTACAACTTTTATCGGTCGCCCAGCGGATTAGAGTAGAGCCATGGGACGTTATGTCCTCGAGCTACCAAGAGGGCAGCACCTAGTTGTGCTTACGCAGGGCGAGTTCCAAGCCACAACAATCTCTAAAGAACAGGGAGACCGGTAAAACTAGTATATAAACATATCCTCAATCATTTTTTTTATCCTGTCCAAACTTCAACCTCACCGCATTATCCATGATCTATGAATCCCAGTCAATCTGCAGTTTTCCAAGGGATTGCGAGCCGAACATATGTTGCTGTCTGGGGATGGAGAAAAATGTTCACCATGAAAACGATACAAGAATTGTCGAGAGAAGGCGGGGGGGTGGGGGCGGGGGCGGGAGAAACAATTATATTGGGGTCTGTTTTGTGCTGTTCACATCAAAGGGAAGTGATGTCAATTACTTGGTGTTTCTCATTCTCTGTGTTTAGTGACACTGCAGCACATTGCCCACAGATTACACAGTAAATCTTTGAGAAAGTTTTCTAGACAGGCAGGAAGGAAGCCAGTGTATTGTTAAGCACTGGGTGAGGTGATAAGCAGACAGAAGAGATCAAGTGTAAGTAAGAGTCAGTGGAATTGACTATCAACATATCAGATGCTCATTCGATGAATTTGGTCCATGGTTGAAAGGAGACGAGCAGAGTTCAAAACATTTAGGATGCCAACAGATAGCTACAGCCTCTTTTCACACACACACCATATGAATGGGCTTCATGATATGGCGGTCTGACATTTGCTAAAAGAGAGTATTTGGTACATTATTGCAAAGCACCTCACCTGCCAAACTGCCAATTTCCGCATTTGTCACGCTTCACTTATTTCTTTTCTAAGCATGTTTGCCTGAGCTTTTTCACTCACCTTTCACATTTGTTGAGGAAAATGGACCCCATTTTGGAAGGCAGAATTAAATCAGCATAAATTTGTATCTTTGTTTTACCACCGAGAGGTGGTTTTAAAAAAAAATGATTTGATTGATCAATGACTTGTTCTGAAGCATTGATCAGAATGCTTTGAAATCCCATAATATGGAAAGAGAATTAGAAGCAGTGGGGCATAGCTAAATACATGCAATGTCCAATGGATCAGTGCATTAACCTAAAGTAACCGTGTATTTTTAGTGCAGAGGGATTGATATATTAAAATATCACTTGTAAAATAGTTAACAAGTCAGATTTTATCCCTGGTAAAGTGATATGATGGACATAACGTTCTCTGCCAGATCATTTTGGGTGGAATTACTCAAAGGAATCCTGCAGACAAATTGGAAACTGTAGGCGTAAAGAAGTGTCATTTGGAATGATCTTCCAAAAAACTCCCTTGTATCTATCATTCCAAATTGTCCAGTCCACTTTACAAACTGTACAGCTTTCAGTGGATAATATATAAATGTATTTCTTTGAAAGATAACCGTTGTGTACATGGACTGACTGTATCCATGCTAAAGTTTGGGAAGAAATAAGAATCAGATTTTTTCGCTGATGTTCTTTAAACCAGAATTGTATTCTTTATTCCCTCAATCGTTTAACCACGAATGCTGAAGAATTTGGATCGAAAAAACTCCTACCCCATTTCTGGTTGATCTTCGACCAGATTCACTCTGATATTATCATGTTTATTTTATAAAGTATATCACTGTGCCTGCAAGTGCAATCTGTTTAAGAATAGCACGTACAGTTATGAGTCCAAATATAAAAGCTTTTGGTGATTCAATTGACAAAAGTGCTGTGCTGAAGTTACGTATACCCAGACTTTTAATTTGGGTAATGCCACTTTGATTGTATTTAATTGGTGCCTCTACCTGCAAGTCATTTAATGCCCATTGGAAATCAGTGGAATTGCCAGCTGGACCCTTAAAATAGTTTTCAATTCTGCTTTCTTGAGTTTTTGTCAATCTTTCTGTATTTCTGTTTAACTTTAACACTTTTATTAATTCTGTTAGTCCTATTATAGGTCATGATATTGCAAAGCGACTCAAACAAATTTCATAAGATGTATTTTTGTTCTATCATTGAGAGTGGTGCTTCGGATTAACGGATTCCAGTTCTTCTTGATCTTAATTTCAACAGAAAGCACACGTTTATAAGAAGACATTACAGGCCTTAATCTATCCGATCTCATCGACCACTCCACACAACTTTGAGGTTTGGACAGCCACGACGCCTACATACTGCTATGAATGTGAGGGACTGCTCTGGGGAATAGCCAGACAGGGCATGCGATGCTCAGAGTGTGGTGTGAAGTGCCATGAGAAGTGTCAGGATCTTCTAAATGCTGATTGTTTACAACGTGAGTACGTTCACTGAGAGAAAGAGAGACGCACAGAGTCCTGCTCACAATCGCTGTACAGAGTAGTCGCATGTGAGGCACTGAATTCAGAATTTTAGGCTTGAGAGTTTGCAGAATTTTAGAAAACAACCTAAACAGCAGTCTAGATTTTGAAACTCTTTTTCTGCTGCCCTTTGATTTTGTGCCAAAACTGGTGCCTCTACCTGCAAGTCATTTAATGCCCATTGGAAATCAGTGGTGATCTCTCCTGGCTGGAATTGCAAGCTTTTAAAATGGTTTTAAATTCTGCTTTCTTAAGTTTTTGTCGATCTATCTGTATTTCTGTTTAAATGCAACAAGAAAAAACTCCAGCGACGGCAATCTTCGAACCTCAAATGGTTTTTAATTAAATAAGGAACATTAAAGCCACGAGTACAGCCGAAAAAGGCCTTTCTAACTGGAAGAATTACTGGAGCCAAGATACATTGGTGATACCAGCAGCAAGACATTTCACTGAGGACTTTTAAGTAATAATATAGGCTACTACAACACTGCATCCATTACACGATGAAACGTTCAGGCTCTTGAAGTTAAATTGATCTGCTCCATTAATTTCTGGTAAACTTAAAAAAAAATGATTTAACAGTGAGTGTTTGTTCCACCATCATCAAGGAACAGTTGTTCCAAGTTTTTAGTTTAGAAACTCTTTCAATGTTTTGTTTCTCCCCCAACTCCAGGAGCAGCTGAGAAAAGTTCCAAACACGGCGCAGAGGACAAGACGCAAAGTATCATCACAGCCATGAAGGAGAGAATGAGGATCCGGGAGCAAAACAACCCGGAGATTTTTGAGCTGATTCAAGAGCAATTTCAAGTGTCGAAAGAAAACTATGCACAAAATTTAAAAGCAGCAAAGCAGAATGTCCTGGATGGGACTTCCAAGTGGTCAGCCAAGTTAACCATAACAGGTTAGATTCTCTATGACTGATAAGCTGTTTCAACTTGTTGGTGAGTCCAAACCGAGGGGGTGTAAATATAATATAAACACAGAAGTTGCTGGGAACAGGCAGCAGGTCAGGCAGCATCCACGGAGAATTGGCGAAAGCTTATTGACCTGAAACGTTCATTCATTTTCCTCTCTCCACGGATGCTGCCTGATCTGCTGTGTGTTCCCAGCGATTTCTGTGTTTATATGAGATTTCCAACATCTGCAGTGCCTTGCCTTTTGGTGTAAATATAAGATAACTAACGGCAGATCTAAGAGAGAGTTTAGGAGGAAGTTCTTTGTGCAGAGAGTGGCGAGTATGTGGAAGCCACTGCTGGAAGTTGGTGGTTGAAGCAAAACGCATCAATGGCTTTTAGAGGAAACTTGATCCATACATGAAAGAAATGGGAAAAGTGAGGTATAGGAGATTAGGATTGATGGAGGCTGGTGTAGGAGTGAACTCCCATGTGAAGGGCACTGTATAAATACAAGTTGTTGTTCTATTAATTATTATGCTCAGTGTCCCATGATTTCAGATTCCTAAAATTAAGCATTAGGTGATGTCGTCCCAGGAGTATAAATGCAGCATTGGAAGCAAATAATGAATGTATTATAAATCAGTCTCCTTAAAACTGTGGATTTGATTAATCACCAAGGGGTCAAGTTTAAATGCATTTCCAGTAAAATAAGAAAGCAATTTGCTTTTAACTAAACACCGCAAAGCCATCAGATTTAAAATTTCACATGTAAATATGCAAATAGCAGTCAAGTATTCTTAGCCTTCAATGATGTGAGACAAAGCAGTGGGATTTAAAATGTCACAATAATGCAAACACTAACCAATCTGAATTACCATGCAAAATAGACCTGCTTAAAATTCATAAACTTAGTTTGTACTTTGCAGTGAATATTAAAACAAATATTTGGCCGTTTCCTGAAACTAACAGTTAAAAACCCACAAACTGCTTATAAAATCAGTAAAACTGAAGATTTGACCCCTCTCCCCCACCCCCCCACCATCCACCAAGCTGCTAATTGCAAGTAGGCTGGTGTGCTCAGCGATATTCTACATATGTTTTGCCACATATTATCTTTGAGATATCTGTTTGAGGTGCTTTGTTAAATATTCCAGGCCTTCCTTTGTGCTTACAGTGCTTTGTGCTCAGGGTTTACAAGCCAAAGACAAGACAGGCTCAAGTGACCCGTATGTCACAGTTCAAGTGGGTAAAACCAAAAGGAGGACCAAAACCATTTTCGGAAATCTCAATCCCAGCTGGGATGAAAAATTTCACTTGTAAGTACTGGCTTATAATCATGATGGGTGACGCGAACAGATACTGCATTGGGCATGTCTGAATTCCATAGTTTCCATTGTTTGAATTTCCATATAATGTTTTACTTACTAGTCATAAATCACAAAGAGTTGCAGTTTTTAACTGAGGCTGATAACTATACATCTATAAATAAACATTATGAGCATTTTACAGTTCAAATGTTGTTTCCAGGCCAAAGAAGGAAAGCACGTGCGATGGGGAGACTGATGACTGGGATCAGACATTTTGATCACAGAATCTACGTTTGCCAGCTGTTCAAGCTGTAATCAAAAAGCAGCTTAAGTGTGGCCGGAAGCCAGTTTGCGTCCGTACTCACAGAGGACGAAAAACAAATCTTGTTCCATGTCATTAAATTGGGCTTTCTGCAAGGATCCCTTCTGGTTGGAAATAAGGCAAATTCAATCACATCACTTCTGAAATACGTACTCTGAGTCCTGGTGGTTCAGTATTTTGAATCTTTAAATCCCAGATTTAGTGAAGCTGTTCTATCTGCTCTCTGTGGAAGAGATTCATAACACAACTAGGACAGGAGTAGGAGGGTGAGAAAACTTTTATAGGGCAAAATCACCAACCGAATGGCTTGTTTCTGTACCATCTCATTCTTTGGATACCTGACTACATGAATTCACAATATTTGAAGTTACCGTCTCTGAAAACCTGTTATGGAAGCTCTGATAACATTGCTGCACATAACATATAACTTCTGAAACCCTCTGAGCTATTCACTGGAGGGATCAAATCTTTTTTACGGCATTATTATTTAGCTAACAATGAAGGGCACAATAGCATAAGTTTCTGATTTGCAGAAACGTTGGGACATTGTGTTCTTTTTTTTAAAAAAACTTCTAGGCTTTAGAATATCTTGTAGTAAAGCTTTTGATTCCAGCATTATTGATGATGATAATAATAATTTGATTGCAATTGATCACATCGGAAATACCTGCTTGGAATGCTGCCATTGTTCCTTAAAAACATTAATGTTTGAAATAATATATTCTTACAACACTGGATGTAAAGTAAACCAAAAATAAACACCATCACTTATCCTTAGTACAGTGCCTGTAACTATTATTTGGTTTACTGTTTTCAATCATGTATCTGCAATGTATTCCGTCCGTGCAGAATTATAGAGTATAACTAATTCTGAAGCTGCAGCCGCATTCCCAGCAACAATTTACTTGACATGCCATTTGTCTTATTGCAGGATAATTATTGTAGGAAAATTGCAATGATACAAGAAAATGTTTTCCAGGTTGCAATGCACGGCTGAACATTATGCGCAACCATCCTGCAATGAACTGATAACTAACCGTGATTGATCCCGTACCTGTTTTTAATTAATCGTGCAATTCATCATTTGGTTAATTAATCAATCGAACGGAAACGACGTTCCAGTGTAAAAGAGTTTGCGACTATATTCTGTAATGTTGAAGGGCTCTGAGATGCTAACCCATGTGAAGGGCGCTGTATAAATGCAAGCTGTTGTTGTAATGGTAGTTACATTTGCTTACATAAACGTCGCTACCTGTGAAGCCCTTTGAGATATTTCATGATGAGGCCACCAAAGCGCACAGTTTGAATGCTAAGTTGTATTTTATTTTTAAAAATTGTGTTTTTATTGAATAGCGAGTGCCACAATTCCACGGACAGGATAAAAGTAAGAGTCTGGGATGAAGATGATGACATCAAGTCACGGGTCAAGCAGCATTTCAAGAAAGAATCGGATGATTTCCTCGGACAAACAATTATTGAAGTACGGACATTGAGTGGGGAGATGGACGTTTGGTACAATTTAGGTACGTTCTCATCTGTGTACCGGTACAGTGAACCACAGATGGGTTTCCCTTTCCCTGTTGCTTGGTTGAAACTAAACATTCTTGTTCGTAATTTATTTTCACCTGGTCATCGTTATGTAAGGGTGAATAGAAATCCAGTGCAAAGTTTGAATTCTGACATTTCACTGCTGTCAAATACAAAGAGAAGCAACTGATGTGTAAAATCCTGTATGATTGTTTGATTATACAGAAAGATCCGATTCAGCAAACCTCTAGTAAAATATTATGAAGCTAAATGACAGACAAGATGAATGAGCAATCACTATGCAGCAAATTATGTCCAACAGATCTCAAACAATTAGCTCTCCGAAAACATCCAAATTGCTGTCTGTAAAGAACTTTACAGCAGCTTTGTGACCTGTAGATTCAAACTAATGTAGTTCTATGCACATTCTTCGGGGTATAATATCAATATAATGGATTTTCATACCCAGTTTATACTGCTAGAAGAAGAGATTTATTGTCGCTTTAAACTGTGAAGTGATTAGGAGTGGAAAGCCGGAGGCTGTGGAGAGGCTGCTTATAAACTAGCAGCAGAGCTCTGCTAACTCATGTCAAACACCGGTTCCTTTCTTAAGTTTATATAAAGAAAAGCTGGTCGCTTGAGTGGTTCATTAATATTAAAAGTCTCTTAGTGTAACTTTTAAAGGCCCCATTTTTTTTGAGCCGAACCTAAATTTATTTGCGGTACCATAATTAAACAGAGGCTGGATCGATATTCATTTATAATTGCAGCAGTGCATGTCAGTTTGCTGCACGGCAAAACCATTTCCTCAAAGCGGTCTGGTCATATCGCTCTTGAGAATAAATTACTGTGGTTAAAATCAGAAATTACCCTTCGTTGCTTGCTGTGATTCACCGTGAAGAGCAGTTTAAACCCAGCATCATTTTCTGCCTTTGCTTAAACCATTCTCTAATAGTGGCTTGGTAACATACTAAACTGTTGCTTTAATACAAGGTTCATACCACACATCAAGGCTCTAGAGGCTAGTGCAAATTTACAACTGTTGCAAATAAAAGGCGTTCTTTACTATTATATTTTGAAGCATAAATCAAGTGTTAGCCGAGCAGAGAAATGTCATTTTCTGTCGGATGCTGCTCCCCTCTTAGACTTGCTTTTCTGTTAGTGACATTACTGAGAGGAGCTGGATGGTATGTTATCATTAGAAATAAATGAATCTCTCTTGAGTGTTAATTCCAAAACATTAAGCGGTAAATGTTCCCAGGTCACAATCCAGAGGTAGAAACAGTCGATATGTTTGAACCAAAACTCGGTGTGTACAGAGTCAATTTTACCACCGGGCTATATGGAATGATTTACGTTTATACAGTGGCCTTTCACGTGGGGAGGATGTCTCAAAGCGCTTGACACTGCTGGCTGGGTAACCGAGCCGAGGAGGGTGGAGAGGAGGGAAAAATGACCAAAAAAGCACCAACAAAGAGATGTGTCTCGAATATTGTAATCATTAAACATTAATGTTTAAAAGTTGCAATCATGTCAATTATTAGCCTCCATTGAGTTATGATGTAAGATAATCATCTCTTTTACTTTTATTTTTTGACCAATTCAATATTTTTCTTTTAATTTGACAAGATGTCACTGACGTCAGTTGATCTTCCACATAATAATTTGGGAGCAAAAATCGTTCTCACTAAGTGATTATTCATGCCTGTTTCAGATGGAATTCTGCAGTATCATCCCGGATTAAAGGAATAACAAAATTGTTTAGATGAGAATTAACGTGCAGGCTGAATTAATTATAACCTGGTAATCAGCAAAGGCTATTTTTGATTTGTGTTCAATTTCGAGTATCAACGGATATGCAGAACGTGGGTGATTTTCGCCTCCATGTCAGTAAAGTGTTTACCAGTTTTATTGTAGGTTAATCAAGATCCAGCAATTTTAGTAGTACATCTTTTCTGTTATACGATGGTAGATTGACTGGTTGAAGCATCATGCACTGCAGCTCAAGGGAAACTGAAATGTGATGGTCAGACAGAAGGGTAATGTTCTCGGTAAGGCAAGATATACACAAACAGTCTGTTGTATTGGCTGGAAGGCAACAACTCAATCCCAGATTCAGAACAAAAAAAAGGCTCCCAATAGGAGCCTTGCGGCTCATTAAGATGGGAATTGTCAAACTTTGCCAGCGTTACGAAGCACCCGACCAGAGGAGAGAGGTCCTGGGATCAAGGCACAGGCTGGTCATGGCACATTGACAGCTGCGAGGGTATTGCAAGAACGCCAAGACCTCAGACACATATTGAACTTACTGAAGAGGAACACAGAAGAACACAGCCAAAGACTAGCCTAGTGCACAGTTGATCAAAGAAACAAGGCATTATGCAGGCTACTTAAGAACTCTAAGACACTAGCATGCACGAAGGGTGCTATATAAATTCAAGTTGTTGTACTTTGTCGGAGAATATGTTGAAGGCTGGAAATTATCACCTAGTCGTCACTTATAAATCATTAGTATTCAAATTAGTAGCAAAATCTGATGCATTCGCCTCAAGACACATCAAATAAATATTGTGATGTGTTATTTTCTCTTGCAGAGAAGCGAACTGATAAATCTGCTGTTTCTGGTGCCATTCGATTGAAAATCAGCGTCGAAATTAAAGGCGAAGAAAAAGTAGCTCCCTATCACGTGCAGTACACATGTTTGCATGAGGTAATCTAGCAAAGGTTCATGCACCGCAATTGACGGTTTTAATATACATGAATTACTTTTTTTGATAGAAACATAACCTATCAATAACTTTATGTATGCCACGCCATGCCCAAACTAAAACTAAACAGGATTCTTCTTCATATTGGCTAAAACTCTGAATGGAGATTCTCTTCTTTCATTCCCACAAGTTGACTGTTCAAACTAACCTTCGTTCCACAGATAGCATTCCCTCTTTCGTGCCCCAGCAGTTCACAAATCATTGTATCTCTCGGGAAATTTGTTTGCCTGAGCCACCTCCTGTGTCCCAATTCTCCAAAACTCTACTCATGCACATATTGCGTCAGAGAAGCTCATTGATGTAGCACCAGCTATTTTGTTGCTAGTCTTTTCCACACATACTGAGAGCAAATAAATATTTTCTTTTCTTTTGAATTTGGATTTTGAATTGAACTTTTGAATTTTAAACCTGGGCCTGTTGTAAGTATTGTTTCCCTTAAAAAATTAATTGAGGTAAAATTTATTTTTACTATTGATTGAAATGTTGCTTTTCAAACCATAAATATCTCCTCTTGCGAGATATCGAAATGAAAGTGTAACGTAGTGGTAAATGTCAAAGTGAAAGAGAGGGGACAATGAACAGAAAATTGACATTGAGGTTCTCTCAGTAGTTAGATATAATGTAATTATTCAGAAGTATAATTCAAAGATTTGCCATCTGCTTATGCACTTCAGAATCTGTTCAATTATTTGACTGAGATAAAGTATAATGGTGTGGTGAAAATCCCAGAATTGAAAGGAGACGAGGCATGGAAAGTATACTTTGGAGATTCCGCTCAAGAAATCGTGGATGAATTTGCAATTCGCTATGGAATTGAATCAATTTACCAAGCGATGACGTAAGTGTTTTGTTTTGTATACATTTTGCAAAAAAAATTCCCACAGGCTACTTTATGGAACTGAAGACTGCATGGTTTCATTTCAACTGGCGCAAATATTTTTTGTAATCTATCATTTTATCTGTTTTTGTTCCAGGAGAATTAAGTGCTTTTACTGAAACTTTATCTTTATCAGCAAGAGTCAAGCCAGACTATCTGTTTATTCATTTTCACACAAGCTTTGTACACTGCGATCCTATCATTGGTGTTTGACCACTCAGGAAAATGCTTTTGTTTACTGTTATTATGTTCATATAAACTCGCTGAGAGATCACTGTGTTTCATCTGCATTAGTAGCGATCCAAATTCTTTCTGTGCAAATATCGTAACTAGTCACGTGAAGTCAGGCTCCACCACTGTTAAGTGCTCTGATATATTACCCTGTGTGGAGAACTATATATAAGTGCAAATTGTTGTTGTCATTGTTGTTGAAGGTAGATCATAAATATCCCTTAAACAGTAAGCATTGTGTTCATACCACAACGTATGGATACGTTTTGTTTTAAATAAGCATAATCTATATTTGTTTAATTGACTGTTACAGTGTTCCTCACCAAGTTAGTGGTTCTGTCCAACTCATTCCACCAAATGTAATGTACACCAACCTGGCGAAGGATGTAAAAATAGCCATCCCCACCAGAGTAAAGATTAAAACAGGTTGATTTGTAACACGCAAGATAAATAGAAATGGATATGGAGACTGATTTTCTCACTATATCATCAGCACATTGTAGGTGAAAAAATAAACCTCTTTACTCAGTGAATAATATGCTGTCCAAATGTCTGAGGTGAACTTTCTGAAGTGAGCATGTGGCATTAACCTTCAGGCATTATTCTATACAGATCTCCATTCCTCTCACAAGGAATATCATTTTCTCCCAGCAATGAATATTTTACAATAACGCGGCAACAATACTTAAATGAAAATTGCTGTTCATTGAATATGCTTAAATTCACGGGAGGGGGATGGAATGTTTGCAAAGGATTGATTGACTTTCCTGCAGTAATATTAAATTTATCTATAATTTGAGTCTATCTACTTTCTCAAAACTGGGAATGCCTGAAGTCACTAGTGATTACCACATGAATTGAATGTTGCAGTATATTTTGCTCTAATTACACTGGTTGGCTTGAATATCTTTTGGTGTTGTAGTTAAACTAGGCCAGAAATAACCAAGACCTTTTTTATTTGGTCAGCTGAGTGTCTGGCACACGCAGAAACCCATCACCATGTTTAGGAGTATCCAAACTAAGAGAGTTCTATGTATCTCGCCTACACGTGGCCATTCCTATATATTCTATGCTTCCCCCTTGTTTTAATGCTGGGAGTAATGATAAGTCATTTTCTGGGACCACTTTTAATGTTTAAAACCAACATCTAACGATAGAGAACATTAACTACCAATGTGGTTATATTAACTGATTTTAAACATTGACCATTTATTAACTGTAGTCAGCACAGCAGTGTGTGAGTTCAGAGCACAGTGTATAAATTGGACTTTGCGCACCTCCTCACTTTAATGCTGGAAGTGATGGTGAATCATCTCCTGCAGTATAATCTGGGGAGTAATGCATGAGACTTTGAATTGGTTGCCAGCATGAAGTTGAATGACTTTCCGAGATTCAATAGCTTACCAGCGACTAGCAATCAGGTCGGGTTATGGTTATTATTATTATTATTATTTAGTATTACCGCAGTTGAGTAAATAAATTGCCGCTTCGCAAAGATTGCAATCCCCCCCCCTATTAAAAATATATTCATCAAACAGCAATTTTCATTTAAATATCATTCCGAAACATTACCTAAGGGTGCTATATAAATGCAAGTTGTTGTATTATGGTAGTATTGCATGCTAATCGTAAAACAAACATTGATGGAATTTGTTGCTAAGGTTGATGGAGCTGATGCAACAATCGTGTATTTTATAATTCTATTGTCACTTTAGAGCATCCAAGTGCTCTATAGCTGTGGCAGTTGTAATGATAGCAAGCATTTGCACATCTTCACGTGTCTATAGTTCTATGAAATGCATGATCTATAACAAATGATCTGTTTTTTTTATATAGGCATTTCTCTTGCTTGTCAACCAAATACATGTGCCCAGGAGTTCCCGCAGTAATGAGTACTTTGTTGGCTAATATTAATGCCTACTTTGCTCATACGACAGCTTCTACAAATGTATCAGCCTCGGATCGATTTGCTGCGTCAAACTTTGGAGTAAGTCTAAGCGCTATTGTTTGCACCTTAATGCGTACTTTCTGTTAAAGTATAATCTAGATTTAAAATCATTTTGATTTAATCACTGTAATTTGCAAGATTATTATTTTGTTCCTCTGCGTTCTGAAAAGCAGAGTAGTTTTGTTTTGTATTTCTTGTGAGTGAAATCAAGGCTTTATTGTTCATCCATTACTATGCAGCAAATAACTGGCTCTGAGCCATTTACCTAATTCAGGTAATGTTCCCTTCTGTTTAGTTTGGCTTTTTCCACTGTGTTTTCAAGCGAAGAATATTAAATTACCAATAATATTCTTTTGCCAATGCTTTTCTGATCTTAAAATGCACATTTGGAGATGTCAAATACATTTTTCGAAGATTGTTATAACAAATCATGGCACATTTAAACCCGAATTATGAATCAGCATTCGTTAATTTGAAAGTAAGATGTGCTTTCGGAAATATTTAAAGTGAGACTTTATATAATCAATGCAAAATCAAAGTTACCAAAGTAATATATTCAGTGAATCCCTGTGAAATGTTTTTCTGTGAAAAAATAATACAGTTGCAAGTATTGCAGTGATAGGTTATGTGCAAGCAAACACAGCAACCAGTCTTTGCCATTAACACCCCAAAAAGCAATGAGATTAATCTCCCACACCAAGGAGACGACTGGTCAATTAATACATCCTATTAATGTCCAGGATACCAGAGGAATTCCTTGGTTTTCTAAATTCCTCTTCTTCAAAATAATGCCTTGTTATCTTTGACAAAAAACATGCTGTGATTTATTTTATTACAGATATTTATTGAAAAATAAAATGCAGATAATGCTTGAATCTTTTTTGCCCAGGAAAGAGTTTTTAGGAAGTTAGATGTACCAAGAAGCATAATTCTAACAATATCCCCCTAGACATAAAACCTATCTGTTCAGTCAATTTCATGAAATCATTGCCTATCTATTTATAAAAGGTAAATGCTATTGGAGAAAATAGCACAGGTCTGTTGTTTTTTTAAAAAAATAATATTTACCACTTTTCTCCTGGAGGAAAACAACTGGATTTCTTCAATGGTTTTCTTTTCTGTATTTCAAAATGGAAGTGAATTGTGTGCCGTTTAAGCAAATGGCAGTGTTGAAAAGATGTGTCTGTGTCTAAACAAAATGTATATTACTTGGTTGGAATTGCCTGAAGCATGATGCGCATGAGTTCTAGAGATGTTACATTGCCATCCCTGTTCTTCCTGAAACAAAACATTGTCTTTCTGAACAAAGCAAAAATAGGATTTAAAATAAACAGCTTGTTAATCCTTTCAGTATATGTCTGTCTGTATTAAAAATTTCCGAAATGCAGTTTATTACTTTTGGATTATAGAATGGAATAAATATCGGTGAATCAAATTATTTCTGATGCTGATACTATAATAAAAACTGCAGCAGATGCAATAGAATTTGAAGAAAAAGCACTTTGCAAATTTCATTTTCTATTTTACTTCTCAATATTTGACAAGTATGTAAGAACAAGGATGCACACCTGCAGTCACCCAAACCATATGTCCCTGTTATTTACCAAATTATTTATGCTCAGACCATTAAAACCTTCTTAGAGTCATTGTAATTTATTTTCAAAAGACCCTCCAGTAATATATGTTTGATGTATTTTACAGAGAGAACGATTTATAAAGTTACTCGATCAATTACACAACTCGTTGAGGATCGATCTTTCTAAATACAGGGTATGTACAGCAGAAAAGAGCGTGATCTATTTTAACACAACTGGCGTTGGCGGTAAAAAGTTGTCACAAGGCACTGTGGCAAGGTTACCATTTTATTTTTGTTTTCTAAGGTCATATGTATTAAAATTAATGTGGGGAGAAATTGCATCGATGGAATGGTTTCGTTTGGAGAATTATTCAATGCCATTTTAGTATCCAGTCGTGTACTGCAGCATCATGTCTCTGCAGAAGTGGTTTTGATCCTGTTCTGAATGCTGTGCCACCAAACAATATAATATAGACTAAATTATTAGTGATATATTTTGAGAAGTGACACAGAAATAATAATAATAAAAATAATAATCTGACCAAATATTTGCAATGCACGTACTACAAATATTCAAATGTTTGGCTTGCTTTTATCCTTCTTTCTGGTGTCTGTGGGCACAGTAATCGAGCTGTAATTCTCTTGGGATTTCTTAGCTGAGTTGCAAGACACTACATCACAGGAGTCTATTGTGCAGGAGCAAGACACCAGTTTACTCATGCTGTGAAATCGTAGGGCACCAGTCAGGAGAATCGACAATAGTTGTTGATTGATAATCTGAATATTGTAACGCTGCTCGGACTGGTGGTGTGGAATCGTTTTTCCTCAGTCGGTGGAACTCTGCCGAAAAGTTTTGCCATTTGATACCCATCAATGTGGACTTGAGGAGGGAACACGAGTGGGAACAGTCACTCGACGATCCTGGCTTATTTCAAGCTTAAAATTGGGTCAGAGTCACTCAGTGCTCCAGCACACATTCTCAGGAAGCACCAATTTCAACAGATATCCATCTTCATTATGACTGCTTCCAGCTGTACCTGCTCGTAAAGTACACCCCAAGCCCCTCTCTTGCTCCTGAAAGCTGGTAGAAAGTCATTTTTAACAATTTGATATTTCAGACAAACCTAATTTGGCAAAACCAAATACATAGCTATACAAGACACTTAAATAATTAATTCACCAAAAAAATAACAAGTCCCAAACCATCTTTCCACACACTCTTTATATTTTGAAGATTGACAGATCAAGTGTGGAAAAAATAAAGAATGCATAACTACAATATGTTATCAAATATGTCTAACCTTGTGTTAGTTGATGATTTATGTTTTATTGATGAAAGTTACGCGGTTGATACAAAATGTAAAACCCTCAGTGAAGTCTTCCCCTCTTCCGCTTTGCTATAAGAAATTGCATGGATTTTGGTTGACGTGCTTTATCAACTTGCCCGTGAAACATCTATTGGTTAATCTTTTCTGTCTTAGATCTTGGAGGAAACGTGTTGGTTTTCATTAGTGATGTGTCATTTGGCGAATTTGTTTCTTGGCAAATTTTCAAAAGATCGAAATTATTGTTTAATAGTTTGCACCATCCTTCCTGGTGTCAATGATATCTTATGATATGGGCTGGGGCCAGAATGATAACTTGTTCATTTTATAATTTCCTGTTGCATGATGAAAGATCCTTAAACTCTCAGTATCTTTCTTGTTCATGATATCCTTATCGAGCCTATTCATAAATATAATGTAAGTGGCTGTTGATAGGCTTTCACAGCTTTAAAGCAAACCCTTCTGCATTGCCCTTCCCAGGATAATTTCCCTGCAATTAATCCAGAAAGACTGCAGGACCTGAAGTCAACAGTTGACCTCTTAACCAGCATTACATTCTTTCGAATGAAGGTGAGACGCTACTTTTATCGTACTTACTTTTCATGGAAAGCAATTCATCCATTTTTAGCGATGGCAAATTCGGTTTGTTCACTGTTAATCATGGTCGGATATGTTGTAAAAGATAAATATTTTATGTTCTACTCCATGCATTATTGTGTTTGCTCAAATCAATCCATTCAACAGGGCAGGTTCCCTAGTGACTTGATCCTATTACAGCTGTAATGTGGTGGTGTAAAAAGTCTGTGTTATCTGTAGATGGAAATTACTGACTGATCTTTGTCCATTTCAGGTTCAGGAACTGCAAAGTCCTCCAAGGGCAAGTTCAGTAGTGAAAGACTGTGTAAAAGCCTGCTTGGACTCGACTTACAAGTACATTTTTGACAACTGCCATGACCTGTATAACCAGATGCTAGATCAGGTAATAAATCCTTCTCCATTTCTTATAGAACTACTAGATTCAAACAATATGGGCTTATATGGCTATTCATCCAGTAAGCTATTATTTAACAGAAGTTGTACAGGCCTCCATAATAAAAGACCAGGATCCACAATGAGTGTATTTACAAGGTACACTGCAAAATACTTCAAATATGTTTTACCCAAGATTCCTTTTTTGCAGTGCCTTGGGATGTCCTCCTGACAGGAAAGGAAGGCACTATACAATTATTATTTTGTTGTTGTTGTTAAGCTGTTTGTGGGCTATTGCTGTGTGTAAATTAGCTGCTGCGTTCGACTACAAGGTACACAATCACTCTACAGTAAATCCAATGAATCACTTTTGAGATTTCCTCCTGACATAGTGAAAGGCATGATCTCAAACGTAACGAGCATTTATGATTTATTTAAATCAGTTGAGCAGTAAGCATCTTTATAATCGAGGGAAATAAATTTCCTGTTTTTGTATTTACATGCTTCCAAATATCGCTGCTTGATTTGCCTGTGGCATTACATCCGCAGTAATCCTAAATCCCAAATAGAAAAGGATGTTCCTGCAGGATTGCATTTGGTTCAAAAGAAATAACAAAGATTGACACAGGGAAGTGTCAACAACACTTAAATGTGATCAATGGTCTATTCCACTCCTGAGGGTGCTTCATGAATAATTTCACCCCAAATAATGAGCATGCCAAATTAATTGTAAGTTTTAAGTTTTCCTTTGTAAATGGTAAAAATTTGGATTGTTGTTTTAAAAATGTGAAGCTAATTAATGCAAACTATATTTACTACATATTCAGAGCCAATGTAGGTATATATATAGTCAATATATATATTATAGCCAATAATATATATGTGCCTTATTTTTGTCACTAGTGCAGTTTAAAACAAAATCGGTAATGTTGACTCATTTAAAAATGATTTGAAAATTGACCCCGTCAGGATATAAGCGATGTAATGTAATGAGTTTGCCCATTGAGCACATACAATTGCCCATCTCAACATCAGTAATATTTATCAATGGGCTTGCTTTCCATACAGCTTGGGGTAACGGGAAAATGAGCCAAATATAAAGGAAGAAATTCAATAGCCTTTCGTGAAGGCAAAGGCAGTATAAGCTGGGCTAGGCATACCCATCAAATATATTGAAATCTTTGATGAGACTGTGTTGATGGATATTAACAGATCTTGTAAATATTTAATGAGGTCTCTCCCAGGACACATAACCAGAGTAAAAGATTGTGGCAGTCCAAAGTAAAGCTGTAAATTGGATTATTTGTCAGCCAGATAACAGTCTGTGGTTCTCAATGATAATTGTTGTAAGTGGACATCAGTGAGTATTGGAGCCTGAGTGAATCATTCTGGTGCTCATTTCTTATCATAATGTTTATTAATGACCTTGAAGAAGGCATTGTAGGCAAAATGTCTGCCATTGTTTCTTGAAGAGAGGGATAAAGACATCCATAACTCTTAACAACTGGTGATATGAATGGAAAATATATAATACTACTGCTAAATGGAAGGTTGTTAATACTCGAATACTTGAATCAGACACACGTACAGGAACACAGCTGTTAGCTGTTAGTTTCCCGGGTATGCTTTAAGGTATTTTAAACTAACCATGGAATTTTTTTACACTGATAGAGTAAAAAACAGGAGATTCCTCGGGAAGAGCAAGGGCCAACCATCAAAAACCTGGACTTCTGGCCTAAGCTCATTACTCTGATGGTCTCCTGTGTCGATGAGGATAAAACAGCCTATACACCAGTTCTGAATCAGTAAGTTGTGGCTTTTAAGTTACATGTTTCAAATATGGTTATCCTGTATATAATAATTTGTATTACAAAGTGTCATTTGAAGCAAGATGATGAGTTTCTGTATATGTCGCAGTATCTGTCTGACCAAACAAATGTTACGTGCAACCCCTGGTTTGAAACAGATCTAAATCTGATTCTTTAGCTACCACTAAACTGTTAGCTTTAAATGTTAAAAGCATTTTTTTTTCTTCTTCTATTTATCACACATCAGGGTCCTGTGATCAAACACAGAATTAAATCAAATTCATAATGCTTCCATTGTGTGTTGGTACTAATATTACAGCTCAGAACTGCTTCCCCTCACTTCCCCCTCAGAAGATCTGCCGTTTAATGTGTCTCTTGGCTTTTGTTCATAGCCTGCCCAGCTGTCAGATGCTGCAAGAGCTTGCATCCAGCACTGTTCCTTTCTTGGGTTGTCTAATGTTGGAAAATTGTTCCCCAACGAGCTTCTTCCCATGCAAAGAGCAAACAAAATAACTCAATAAAAATGATTTAGCCAATAATTTATAGGGCTATGGGACAGAGGATTAGGAGCGGTGAAGGCCCATATGTATTAAACTGCTACATAAGTAGAGTAAATCTAGACCCAGGTAGAATTTCTCCCCAGTGGTGCCTTGAAGTATGAATGGTGCTCATCATATCTGTGCCAAAGCTGCAAATCAATGTTCCTCATTTCATTCAATGAAATCTGTTCAGACTGCATTCAATTTGTGATCACAAACCAAATGTGTTGTACTTTTACTGTTGCCTGAATTTATTGGAGTGAAAAGTTATATTAGCATCATTATATTCTCATAGCTAGGACATGTCTGTTCCACTCTAGGCAACAGATTGCTGCTGGCCGGAGACAACCACAACAACAATTTACATTTATATAGCGCCCTTCACTTGGAATAACGTAGAAACATGAACTGAATGCAGCTAACTGCAAAACAAATCTAACGCTTAAGAGTTTGTCTCATTACAATATCTGGTCCTTTCTCCTTTCATTCTCAGCACAGTTACAAATGTTTGTGAAGTGTGAACTATCAAGGAAATTGGCAGGATTTTCAGATTACTTTAATGTTTGAATGGAAATTCATTCTTAAGATTTCATTTGCTTTGCAGTCACCCTGTTGCCACCTTACAATGCTAGAAGCTCTGTGGGTTATTCAGCTAACCATTTTATGTCAATACACAGTTGATTTAGATCCATCTGGAAATTATATGCTCTGTTTGCCGCCATGCTTTTTTCACGTAGGGATTATTAATCCTTGGCTGTTAGGACAAAGGTGGTGTATTTAGCCTTAAAATGGCTACAGTAAAATGTTCCAGAAGCAACATTTACTGTCATGAAACATTTTTTAGAATTACTTAACAATAGATATTCAGGAAAGGAGATTATAAATAAATAGGAGATGAATATTAAAAAGAATTACAAAACGGCATTGTCACCTGAGTTTTTAAAACGTCAGAGTTGTTTTTGAGTGTTTGCATATTCGTTCATTGTGCTCTGCATTACCATTATGATTTTCTACTCTACAACAGCTGTTTTAGGCACAAAATACATTCAGTGCTTTAGCAGATTGAACTCAGCACAAGATCAAGCTCTTATGCACAATCCATAATTGCAGTGAAGAGCACTGTTAAAAACATTTCAACCCAATTGGTTTTAAATATCATTTATGAAAGAGTCTTACATGTTTAATACCAGAATACCATTTCAGTCTGTAAATTTAACTGAATTGAGACTAATGCTGTATAATCTGCCTTGATAGTCTGCCTATAGTCCGAAATACTGATTGTCCAGCGCCTTGGAATAACCTCCCAACATGAAAGGCGCTATACTGAGATATACAGTTCATGCATGAACTTGACAAAACCTCCCATCATATTGGATAATTTAATTTGACCATTCAATATGCCAACAAGTTAAGGTGTGTTATCCAAGATAAGGCAGAACAATGATTCTACTTTTTGTAAACGCTTCTGTTCTCTCTTCTATCCATTATTGTACATTCTTGCATTGTCCCACTGCATCCGTTTGGTGTCAGATTAATATCAAAATGCCTAGGTAATATGTTTATTTGCCAAAAGTAAAATTATCATGATTATTGCTTGACAATAATTAGAATTCTCACAGTGTAGATTTTGCCACGAAGTTACGACCATTTTAGTTCTATTTATATATATATATTTGCTACGACCATAGTTTCTTTAATTTTTGATATAAAAGACGATTGTTTTGAATACTCTTAAGAGAATCAGATTCATTTCTCCCTATGCACTATCATGGCAATCATCTAAAAATTTGATTTAAATTTTTAACTTGCATTATTGTGCCAAGCACTGTATTAGTTTGTGTAGTTCAATAAGTTGAACACCAGCAACTGTCAAAGTGCCTATTCTTCATTGACGACATGATCTGATTGGGGATTCGCAGCATCCTTGAGGTTAAGCTTTCATTTTGTTTTCAATTGTATTATTCTGTGCAATTCTCTGCAAATTGAAACCATCACATTATCGTCTTTTTGCTATTCTTTGAAATTCAACCAAAAATACTTCTGTACTTGTTCAGTGCAGAAGTATTTTAGCTCCTAACAGGATCAATCTGTATTGGATCATCAGTCAATATTAGCCATTATCATTGAATGTGACTAGCATGAAAGTATTGGGCAGCTGAAGTCTTGCCAATTTATCCTGAAAAGCAACTAATTTGATGGTTTTAATGTTTTGGCTCTGATCCTTAGCCTGAGATTTCTCCAAATGTTTACCACTATTCCTAATATCTGTGTTCCAGATTATTTTTCACTATACAGTGTAATGCCTTCTAGCTATCTTTTCCTTTATAGAATTTTACATAGTATGTTAGCCTTTTGGTCTAAACTCTTTATTATTGCCTCTTACTTTAACTTTTTCCTCTCTCGTCTGCTTTCTTTCTAGATGGTAGAAGAGTCTAAATCTAAAAAGATATCTTGTACTGTTATATTTTATATATATCTCAACATTTGATTTGCTTTTTTAATTGCTTTGATACACTATTCTGACATTGAAAGTGATAAGTGTACCCTAATAAATCCCAAATTAATTTGTAGGTCTCACTCTACCAATTCAATCCTCTTCACTGTATAAAAATGTTGCATGTTTTATTATTATTTATTATTATTGACACATTTTTCTTTGTTGAAACTCTTATGATACAATATTAACTTTTGCATTTGATAAAGCCCATTTATCTGCCCAATTACGAAGTGCACCTAAATCCTTCTAAACTTTTTTTGCTGCATCATGTGTCTCTAACCTCTAACCTTGAGACTGCACTGATTCCAACCAGGAGCTGTATTTTTAGAAACGTCTGTGGATCATCAATCACCACATCTGCTCTGGTTGATGCGTATCAGCTAAAATTATTATTGAAGGGTGTTGGCATGGTTTCAAATCATTATCTCAGGGGGCATCCAAGTAGCTCTGGAAAATCCTCCCCTTCAGACAGTGCTCTTACTGACTTCTTTCACGAAGAAGAATTTGCTTCAAGAAGGGGAATGGTTACAGATGTACCAGTCTACACATACGTGTGTTAACCCATCCATTACAAATTTCAGTGTTCGCCTTGGATTTATTGCATGCATTGACATTGTCGCTTGCTTAGTTTTCTTCACTCAACATGTTAGAACAGCATTGTGACTCAGTTGACTCCTTCGCTTCAGAATGCAGACAGATTTTAAGGAGACTGACTAATTTTGGTCTCCCTAGCATGGCGTGTACGGTATTCTGCGGCAAAAAAAAGGAATCAATAGCTGAGTGAAAGACTATATTTCAAGAAATCCCGATATCAAGAATATTCCAAAGAAAAACTATACGTGCGAAATATCATTCTTCTTTTCAGAATGCTATGCATTCGAAATTGAGTTTTACTCGTTATTCACTGCTTTAAAAATGTATTTTACGATTGAGCCATGTTTAAAAAGTTAAATTGACCTAATGGAATATGATTGAATTTCAGGTTCCCGCAAGAACTTAATATGGGAAAAATAAGTGCTGAGGTTATATGGCAACTGTTTGCCCAGGACATGAAGTATGCTCTGGAAGGTAACTTATTATCTATTCTAAAATGTGAAATCTCATTATATTTTCTCTTGAAATCTGAGATGGTGCAGAATTGAGGGGAAATTCTTACATTCAACTTTAATTTGGAAGTCAACATCAATAATTTACGTTTATGTAGGGCCTTTCATGTCAGGAGGGTGTCTCAAAGTGGTTCTCATCACTGACTGGAAGTCTGACTTTGGCATGGGGTGGTGGAAGGTTAGAACTGTAGAAAACTGGCTTCAAATATAAGACTGCTCTGAAGAATTTTCTACAGTTCTGCACACTCTCAGATTTTAAAACAGAATATACTTACGTTTTACCTCCAGGTGGAATTTATAGTTTCTCAGTGTCAAACTTCAAAAAGCAATCCATTCTGCAACACCAAAACGTGTCTCTTTCATAAGCATCCAAATTCCCACAAAACATACAAGTTGAATTGAAATCTGCCTCGAATGCAAATCAGTCCATTCGTTCCATCAGAGAATACATCATTTTTTAAAAAATGTTAGTAACAGAACCAGTACTTTGTTGGGATGTAATGTTTTTAACTACATTTTTAGCCAAATTATTGTTTTGATGGAAGATTGTATTGATGTTTTTAGCACTGGGGTGTTTGTGTTTGAAATTTGTGGCCAGCCACAAAATCAGGAAAATACTTTTCCAGCAAAGTAGCTGAGAGGATTAAGTCTGGTTAATGTGTCTGATCAAGTGTTTAACAGACATGGTAAAGATTTTAAAAAAAGATATTGGGATTACCTGACACCAACTGTAAGGTCCAATCTTATAAAACAAGAAAACTAGAAACTCCAGGGTTTATAGAAATGGATCGGTCTTTCATTGGTCCCAGAAATTATTATTTTCCTATAGGTATAAGGGCAGCAAAGGGCAAATGAAAGCTCTGAAAGTCTTTAAAACATAGACAGAAAAGTATTTCTTTACACAGAGAGTAATCACCAGCTAGAGTAGGTGAGGGTGACTCACATATATCCAGTGGTACAAGATGTTTGCTATCATCTCAGGCCTAATATGCTGAAAGCTCCCATTGACACCTCTGGACTAACATGCCTTGTCATGTAGCTGGAAATAAATTTCACACCAAGGCTTATGAATTTCCCGTTACAAATGCATCTTTAGTTTTGCCAGTTGATTCAATATGGCTATTTATGAAAGAATACTGGAGTAGAAATTCCGCTTGGGTCCAGATACTCTATTTTCGTAGCATTTCGGAAAGTGCAGAATTGGGAAGAATTTTTAAACACAATCTTAATTTTGGAGCCCTTTTTCTGCAAGTTCTTTTATCAGCTATAGAAAAAGACTGAATTCACTAATTCTGCATGCTTTAAAAGTGCTATAAAAGTAGCATAAATCTAGATCAAGCGGAATTTCTTCCCTATTGAAAGCAATTAACTGAAAAGAAATACCTTCAAAGGAAAATTTATAGCCAAATCATCGCAAGGAAAGTAATGCCAAGGAATGAACTAGATATAACTAAAACTTTCTTTTTGCACAAACTAAGAGTTTACAAAACTGTACAGCCCAATTACAATCTTCATACGATCTTAGCAGCAATTGAGTTATAGTTTTAAACATTAATACACAAAATAATAACTCTTGATTAACAGATTCAGGATAATATCTCAGCCCTGACAAATTATTTACATGCAAAGGAATGCAAAGACATATAGTTGTCTTGAGAGCCCAAAATATTGTTTCTCTAAATCTGAAATTTGAACATTGAATGCAATACAATGCAATGCAATACAATGTAAAATTACATTTGGATAGTGCCTTTCATGTCGGGAGGACATCTCAAAGCGCTGGACAGTCAGGGAGTTCAGTGCCTAACTTGAGAGGTGTCCTTGCTGAGATTGTCAGCGAGGCAATTGCACAACACCAAAGGCTAACAACAGTGAACAAATGCCAATCTACCCCTTACCTCTGGAATTCCATCCCCCAGTCACTCCGCCTCGCCCCCTCCTTAGCCTCCTTCAAGTCCTGCCTCAAGACCCTCCTCTTCGACCATGCCATCGGCCAGCACCCCCTTCCCCTACCCTCCCTTCTCCCCCCACTGACCTCAGCTCGGTTCCGAAATGCTATACTCTATCCAGCGCCTTGAGACGTCCTCCCGACGTGAAAGGCACTATACACAAATGTAAACTTGTTTTTAATGTTGTTGTTACCCAAATCACATCCACACCGACTCTTGCATCAGGAGTCAGATGCAAGCTTTTCTTTCCTAGGTTGGAAGCCTACCCACAACTGAGTTATATGTTCTCCAGTATTTGAATGCCATTGGCAGCTTGATAGTGAGACCCAACAGTTTGGTAACAAAAGGCTAAAACTGTGGTCAAAAATGGTTTTAGGGCATCTACTGTTATTTTTAGAATATATAAAATTTGCAATACAAGACAATTTATACTGGTATACCGCAGCCCTGTAATGCAAACTGCATTCGTGGAAACAGTAGAAATCTGCAAAATATTAACATTTTGAGGATTTATGTTGCATTTAAAGACAAGCTAATAATGGTTGAAAGATAATTTTGTTGGCTGCTGATAAGCATTTAGATATGCCTTGTTCAAAATAATTCAGATGTTTAAAGCTGCTCTTCAGTCGACATGAAGCAGGAAATCCATGGGGGAGCTTTCATTCACTTTGCCACCCACCCACCCCATCCCCACCTCCCACTTTGTGACACTCTCCTCCAAAATCCGCACAATCATCTGACTTGGAAGCGAGAGTGCTAGTAACTGTGAAATAGTTGTGATCATAGTTACTACACAATTAAATACAGTTGGGAGGAAATGTTGAACAGAATATCAAACCAAATGTTAGAACACGAGGAAGAATGAAACTGATATGCAACTTCATTTTATTATTTTGACACAACATGAAATCTTGTTTCCAAGTTAAGAAGACCGATAAAATAAAAAAATCTTTAACAGCTCCTAGAAGTAGTAACATTCCAAAACAATTCTAGTTGAAATATTAGATACTTCTTCCTGGTTGACAATCTAATTTATGTGTCCCAGTATGTATTCTGTTTAGACTTATTTGAGTTTAATTATACAGATAGAATTAAACTTGAAGCACTTAAACCTTAAACCATGAACAAGCTGTTATAGCATTAAAGGAACTGCCATGACTTCATGATCTGCTTGTCAAAAGAGATTAAGTTCCGTCTGAAGTTCTACCTTTCTGGCAGTACTCAGAGTCATATATCATTGCATTGAAAACCTCTGAGTTTACCTGCTGTGCTCTGGATTGCAAGGTGTTAGGTAAACCCCTTTTCTAAATCCTTGGAATTTGATACAGGGTTGCCATGGGAATGTTACACTGAAGTTTAGAGCCCACATTCCAGGCATTTATCTACCGATTTTTTTGTTGGTCAGCCGTGGTGTCTGACACATGCGGAAACTCATCACCCAAGCTTAAATATTATCTGCTGACTGAGTGTTTAAGGTCAGTCATAGCCCTCCAGATCAGCAACAAAAGCTGCAATGATCTATAAATAGGTGATGTTCATTGCGTTGCGATTACAGTTAGCAAATACAAATTTCACAGTTTGCCATGGATTATATTGCCATCACACGTACATGATACCCGTCCTTTTCTTCCCCAGCGGGAAGGAGATTTGAGCCACAGCTAGCAAAAGCACAACGTACGCAATGATATGTGTGGCGTTGTGACCCTTTAAGCTACATACTGTTCAAGCTGTTGCATTCGGATTTGAGGCTTAATCTCCATATTGAAGCGTAGGTGCAGCTCTGGTGCCAAGGATTTTGAATGTTATCTACAGAACCCCTGACAAGACGTTCCTCTTCTGAAGTGATGGCAGAAAGCAAGACTGATAGACATCACCAATTGTTAGAAAACAAATGTCAGCATTAATCCTGCGTTCCAGCTTTCATTCCCACTCGCCTTCTGTTCCTGGTATAAGAGGCAAACCAAATCACTGTGAAGAATCAGTCAGGCCTGAACTGCCACTTCAGCCCTCGTTCAGTCGAGCGTACCACTGAAAATAACTAGGAATCCTACTCTCAATGTGTGGATTAAGATCTCGACACCAATGGAAGATGCTAGTGGCAAGAAAAGTGCTTGTAACTCTAACTGCCCTTCCATTTCCATTGACCAGGACACAAATATGCACAGTGTATCATTTACCACAAATAGAATCATGTCAGCGTTCAACTCAATACTCCCCACAGCTTTCCGCTGTTAACCAGCAGGGTCAGAGATTTCTTCCATGACTCCCACAAGCTATGGTAAATTGCTAATTATTTAGACTTCTAACTGCTTACCTTAACTACTAATGCGAGGGAGAGTTAATGTCACTGCAACTGGAAAACCACACTGTAAAATTAAAGGACTGCAGCACCTAAATTTATCAAATATAAGTGATAATTATAATTATAAAAGGGGCATATTTAGCATTAGCAGAACATTTGGTCTCATTAAAAATCAGGGCATTTAGGAATAATATTTTTAAAAAACAAACATAAAAGCTTCATTAGGGGAGTGAAAATGAGAATCCTATTTTAATGGTCTTTGGCTAATTGAATTATCTGTTTTGATTTCCCTATCGATTTCAAAGCAAAAAAAAGTGGAAACAACAGAAGCATCAGCGTATTAATTACAACAATAAATCACAGCTTTTGGTAGCTACCAAATCTTTAATGATTTAATCACAGATTTTGGAATGGTGAGCAGCTGAAAGATTTTTTTAAAATCAATTGCAGGTAATACCTGTCTGTATCAAAATTAATATTGGTTTGAAAACGTCTTCTTTTTGTGAAATTGCTGTGTCCATATATGTTTATATATATATATATATATATATATGTGTGTATATATATATGTGTATATATATATGTATATATATATGTGTATATATATATATGTATATATATATGTAATATATATATATTTTACGATCACGCTGTAATTATTATAGATACTAGTTTAAATGGCTCGATTTTTATAATATAATTTAGTGTGTCCAGCTGCTTCTCCACATGAGCATATGCCTCTACTCCTGGTCTGAGACTGGACAGTGAGAGTCAACTGGTCACTTGACTATAGAGAGCATCACTGCATCACGACTGTCTGTGGGACATTGCTGTGCGCAATTGGCTGCCGCGTTCGCCCACAAATATACAGTCAATTCACTTTGCAGTGTGTTCTGTGAAGCGATTTGGGACGTCCTCCCGACGTGAAAAGCGCTATATCAAATGCAAGGATTATTATTATTATTATTATTATCACAGGGGAGTATGATTCCCCCATTCGCCCTAAAACACACTGTCACTGCACTTTATAGTGTATCCTGTGAAGCACTTTGAGACATCCACTTGACGTGAATTCAAGATCCTCATCCTCACCTATAAGGCCATTCATTTTGCTCCCTCCTACCTCTCCGACCTACTATCCCCCTACCTACTTGCCCGTACCCTCCGTTCCTCTGGCTCCGGTCTGCTGCACATGCCCGCCCCAACCGCCCTACCATCGGTGGACGGGCCTCTCAGCCCTTAGGCTCTGGAACTCTATCCCCCAGTGCCTTCGCCTTGCCTCCTCCCCTTTCCTCCTTCAAGGCTGGTCTCAAGACCTTTCTCTTTGACCATGCCTTCAGCTCCCCTCTCAACTCTCTACTCCCTCCTCGCTCCCTCCCTTCCCTCCCCTCACCCTGACCATTTCCCCTTGCTCGGGTCCTGACCCAACTGTCCAGCGCCTTGGGACGTCCTCCCGACGTGAAAGGCACTCAATAAATGGAATCTTGTTGTTGTTGTTGTGCAAGGCGCTATACCAAATGTAAGATTTATTATTATTATTATTGTAATTATTATTATTCACTGGTCTCTGAGTAATTGCCGTCGCTTGGAGATAAAACTTCCAGGAAAAATCAAATGAAATTATTGTAATCTCCAGGGTGCTAAGTTACAAGGCATCTCTTCTATTATTTAGCAGAAAACAGATACAAAATAATGCACACATAAATATGAGAATGGACTTGTCCGTACTGAATTTATTAAAAAAGATTCCAATTTAAATATTAATTTAATATTGGATCTAATGAGGTCTCATTCAAGCAAGGAATTTTGAATCTTCCATCTTCTATCCTTTAAAAAATTTGATGGGATGTACATGAGATTAAATCAGTAAATTTTACTGCTCTTGTAAAGATATCACGATTTGATTTGAAGCCCTTTAACAGTACTGTATTAACGAATTGTAGACATTATCGACATAATATTGTACTGACTAAGATTCATGAGTTAATGTAAGAATAAATTTTGCTTTTCCCCTTAGGCCATAATTTGATACATATTTCTTGAAGCAAGGAATTGTCACCGATTATTCTGCAAGAACTTATTAGCTTGATTTTGCGATGACCCATTTTAAGTTTATTGCAGATAGAAATCAATGTAATTACAGTGTTTTTAAGACAATTTTTTTTACAATTATAAAGTAATAAATCAGAAGTGAAACTGAAACACCTTATAATAATATAGATCTAGAGCAGACTGACAAATACAGTCTCTATACAAAAATGACTGTGTAATTGGACATTATGACATGATTCTCCCTTAGGGACTGTATTTACAATTGTTGTTATTCTGTTGATACGAGAAACTACTGCGGTGGGGGCAGTGGGATAGAGGGGAGGAATTTCATTGTGTTTTACACGATTATAATGGGAAATCCTATTAGTGGCTGACATCGCCAAAGGTAATGCAAACAACACTAACTGGAATTTTTTCTCCGTACATTTTTAAAAACAATCTTATGCAAGTCTTTTATTAAAAAGTGTTTAACTGAGCTAGCATTGGATTCCAAAGTTTTCCAATATAAAGTATGCATTAGAATAATAAACCTTGCTTTTAATGTAGCGCCTTATCATGATGTTGAGACGTCTCAAAGAGTTTCACAGAATATATTGTAAAGTGGACTGATTGTATATTTTATGGGTGAAACGCGGCAGCAAAGTACGTGTAGCAGTAACCCACAAACAGTCGTGGATGGAGTGATCTTAATTATGTAATCCATGGTTCGTTAAATGATAATTTGCACGATGGTTGTTAATGAGTGAATCTTGGACACTGGTTGTTAACTATATGGTTAAAAGACACCTGTAATTCCTCCAGCACGCGCATTTGTGTTTACACCTGGTGCACAATAAACATCGATTTACAAATGGTTTACATAAGTCACACAAGAGACCCCAAGGTTCTCACTGAAACAAAATCAATTACAATGACAGTCTTTTAGCTTACGTGTAACTGTAATTACAATTGAATTGCTCTTACTTACAGCTCGAGGCGACTTTCTGTGATTACAATGATATTTGTCGGGGTAGGAATTTATTAATGTGTTACTCTTTTCAATGTATTATTTAGTATTTAATTACAAGATACATAATGTATATAGTGATATTAACATAATAGAAATAGTTTGGTGAGGCCGTCAGAATTATATCAATGGAATTAAATCATTAGACTTAAATATCGGGGCCACTTAAAAGAACAGCAACGAGAAGTTAATAAGCCATTGTTCAAATTATCCTGAAAATCATATTAATATTGTAAGATGCCATCATTTCTCTCTTTTTTTTATATATATAACAGAGCATGAAAAGCTTAGGCTGTGCAAGAGTACTGATTATATGAATTTGCACTTCAAAGTAAAATGGTTTTATAATGAGTATGTACGAGATCTCCCAGCCATGAAAGATGCTGTAGCCGAATACTCTTTGTAAGTAATGCCATTTTATTCTTTCTGCTTATTTTTCAAAACATAGCCATGTCATTGAGGCACAAGCCTTTTTCACTGCACCAGCTGAATTTATTATTGTATGGAAATAGAGCTGTATTTTTTTATATACTTAAGGGGTTCCAGATTATTATTTTTGCATTGCTAATTGTCAAATATAGTCCTGTCATTGTTTTGTAAGAGGGAGAAATCCTAAATTTATTGGTGATTGTCGTTTTTGAGATGTGCAAAATAAATGATCAGGTTAAAGTAATATTACATGTTGTGAGAACCATATCGGTCTGTGTGTCACATATGGTTGATGGTGTGTTGCAAGACTGATCAGCAAATCCCTCAGTTGCTTTTTGGATCTGCAATACTGTGCACATTTGACTTGATTATGTTATTCCTCCTGAAGACATCGTTAGACAATGCTATCATTCAGAAGTATTTCATGACTTTGATATCCTTGACATGATATTAAGATATTTTAGCTTCAGTGATGCTCACCCCAGTCCATGACCCCGCATGTAAGTATTTAAGTGCTCATTAAACGACAAACCAAACTGGCAATGAATTCCATCTTATCATAGGGAAATCACAGATTATCTGACTCATCCTGCATGAATTGAGTCTCCTACTGACTGATCATAGATGATGGTCATGGAGGAGTATGTGGGTCAGCCTCTCTTACATTCTTAGCTGTAGGATACATAGTGGTAATTGGCTCGCAAGTGGAAAAATTCGAAAACAAAAATATTTTTTTTTTAAAAAAAACTGCATAGCTGTAGAATTCTGGATTCCCTGTGATTAGTTTCCAGGATAAGTTTAAGAACTGTATGACTTGCTGAAAACCGTCTTTCCGAATTAAGTCTGACTTGAAGAACTTTCCAAATGGTACGTTTCTGTTGAAATGCAACCTCAATTACTAGTAAAGTACATGTAAAGCTGAGCAGACCTGCCCTTTCAGAAACTCACATATGTTAAAGTTTCGCTCTTTGGAGGTCTCTCAATCGATAAATGTACTTGTGCAACATGAACAGACTTTTATACTGGCAAAATAAGTTTAACAGGTAGTAATTTCATGACGACTTCTTTTGGTGCAGATGGTTCGAACCCTTTGTGATTGATTGGCTGGATGAAAATGAAGACGTATCAATGGAATTCCTTCACGGAGCACTTGAGAGAGACAAAAAGGATGGGGCAAGTGTCAGGCTGCTCATAACTGGATTATTTATAGAACAATGTACATTTTTTTATTATGAATGTGCAATTCTTGCAGCTAATTAAATTTGAGCCGGAACAGACTGCAAATTGAAGTTGATGAGCTTGCCTTTGCTTGAATTTACCTTGAGATATTAACTATTCTAATTGCTTATCGAATCCAGTTCCAGCAGACCTCTGAGCATGCACTGTTCTCCTGTTCTGTGGTCGATGTCTTCACTCAACTGAATCAAAGCTTTGAGATTGTCAAAAAACTGGAGTGTCCTAATCCTGAGGCACTGGCACATTTTATGAGAAGATTTGCCAAGGTACGTTTATCGAGTACAATTTTTTAAAAATGAAGTAAGTGCTGTATTAAAAAGTGGCAACGTTTAAAACGGTTCTACCATACATCTGCAAAGGAGCTGTAGTGTTTTCCTCTGAATTATCATTGTATCACACAAAGATCTATCTTTGTCGTTTATAACTGTATCTCAAATTCAACCACAACTGTTAGCAGTTTCCATTGTCGTGCTCGAAGAAATGGTCACTGTGTGCCCCGGTATATAATGTCCAGTCCTCCCATCTCTCCCCTTTTCCTGTATGGTAGAATCCTCTTGTCTTTTCCCTTTGGTGCTAATAAAGCACAGGATCTGTAATGATAACACTTACATGCTGAATCCACTAATCATATCAGTGCCTTGATGCGTCCTCCCGACATGAAAGGCGCTATACAAATGTAATTGTGCCATTGTTGTTTCATTACAGACAATAGGCAAAGTTCTTCTCCAATATGCTGCTATTGTATCGAACGATTTCAGCTCCTACTGTTCCAAGGAAACATTGGTAAGTACACAACAACTATACTGCCATAAAAAAAAATCCCAGAGTTTAGAAGAGGATGCCAGTGTGAGGGCATTGGGTTTGCTCGTTTACTAACAATTAATGGCCCAAATTATGGAAACCACAAATGGCCATATGATGAACGTACTACATCTGTTTGTGGGGGGAGAAATGAAAATATATATAGTCACATCAACCTAGTCATTAATGAATGTAATGCTTATACAATTAATGAGCTGAGAAATGACATTTAATGTATTTAAATTTGAATTTTCACCACTGCAGAAAGCCTGTCCGTGGGCCATTGCTGTTTTGTATCACAGCAAAGGTATTAAAGTGGTCACAAGCAGCACTTTTTTAACTGGTGTACTATCATGCACTATTGTCGATTTCCGTTACCAATGGAAGCTTTCAGACTCATTGGCTTTATTCAGAATCTATCAGCAGTTCGAATACTTCGAGCCACTTCAATTAATTTGGAAGAAAATAGTCAGTTCGACAAAATAGAACAATTTTGTTTAAAAAAAGACTTTGCATTGAGATCTCAGCTGGATTCAAGTTTTTTCCAAGGTTTTGAATTCTGATATTTGTTTTTAGATTTTTTTAAAATTATTTTATTACTGTTTCAATTGCAATACCCTGTAATTAATTAACTTATTGCGTAATTTTACACGTACCAATTCCTATTCATATTAATACTGTTTTTTTTCCCTGTTTTCAAATCAATTTTGTGCTTGCGCGTTGTTTGTGTGTGTGTGTGTGTGTGTGTAATCTTTTGATTAAAATTGATGGACACTTCTAAACTCTTTATGGATTGCAATCCCTGCAGCCTTGTATCCTGATAAATAACATCCAACAGTTGAGAGTCCAATTGGAGAAAATGTTTGAATCAATGGGTGGCAAGGAGGTCAGTACCTGAGGCAAAGCAATAGGCAAAGATGTGTGTGTGTGTGTATATATATATATATATACACATTCTGTTTATTATATATAATAATAATAAATACAACAACACAACAACAAGATTCCATTTATTGAGCGCCTTTCACGTCGGGAGGACGTCCCAAGGCGCTGACGCTTATAACGGCTTATTGGTGTTCTTTATAGCTGTGTTAGGTTATTTACTTGTTTTACAGCTGTGAATTTTATCTCTTTAAAATTGTTACAAATGCTTTATCATCAGTGTCATTCATGCCTGTTATATTTGTTATATGCAATTCACTGTTTAAACAGTATCTACGAGTGTTACAGTAACCACTTGACGTGCTTTATGTTTAAATGTTGTGATGTAAACCTACGTGAATACTTTCTGTACTTTCTGTCTATTGCATGCTCTATGCATTGTCTGTAATTTGTCTTGTCTTTGTCCAATATTTTTGCTCTGCGTTCAACTATGCTGCTGCAGGAGGAAGAGAGATTTGCCTTTTGTAAGGTCTGTGTGTACAAGGACGAATACTTAATGGATGAATCAAAATTCATCTCAAAAAAATATTTGTGTGACAGTAAACCCTGTGTTAAGTAGTTAAACTCAGGACTAACCACAATTGGCTGTGAAAGGCAAACAGTGACAGATCCAATTCACTGATACAAAAGTGCGGTGACCATTTGGATTCTGGATGCCATCACATTCACAGTCACTGATTTACGGGAAAGTTCTGCGACAGAGTGTATTGGTTATTAATGGCAGTCACTTTATACAGGCACTAATTTACACAGGGTTTGCTGTAGTGTTATAGATGTATGCACCTGGCCTGCTTTCACAAAAGTCAGCAGTTTCACTGACATTTATATTTGTAAGTTTCAGGGACAAATAACAGCAGGATCTGACTTTTTGAAAAGAGCACTGAGAGAAAATCAAAATCCGAGTTCACTCAAATTTCAACACTTGAAGGAACCGAGCCAAATCCCAACCTTAATTAAATTGGTGCAAGCGAGAGGATGCGGTCATTCTGGGTTCCAAAACGATTAACAATTAAAAATGAGAAATCAGCAGATGTTTATGACTGATTGCAAAAACAAAACTAGCAAAAGGAAAGCCTCTTTTGTTGCATCTCGCCCCCTTTCAACTTTTAAAATGTCACCGTTGAAAGTGCTGATTTAGTTCCGTTCAGTTCAGCCTGAGCATTTGAGGGTTTAAATCAAATTGAGCAAAACCTTTGAACCCAGGCTGATTCATGGTTCCTACCTTACGCTCTATAAATTTGGCTATTCAATCCACGACTGTTTGTGGGACACTGCTGTGTGCAATTGGCTGCCACGATTCTCCCACAAAATACACAGTCAATCCACTTTACAGTATATTCTGTGAAGCGCTTTGAGACGTCTCAATGATGTGATCAGGTGCATTGCATTTCAGATGCAAAGATGATGATGATCATGTTTATTTGATATTGAAACTGTTTATGGTAACAGTGTATTTCAGTTTCAAATAAATAGAGAAATGTGCTGATTCCCCTTCCGCAGGTTAATTATGTAAAAAAAACTGAAGCTTTTCCAACCTGCTTTATTAATGTGTAGATTTTCACTTGCAATCTCTCCTCAATGTTGGTACATTTTGAAAAATCCTTTTAATATTCCATACATTGTGCAGTTAATGACTCATGGTTTGCATTCAGATTAGTTGAGGGAGTTTTCATGATTACATTTTCAAGAGCTTTACAACTCTATTAAAGGAAATATTACAGCATATTCTGTGAAGCGCTTTGAGAAGTCTAGAAGACTATATCAAATGCAAGGATTATTATTATTATTATATTGCTGTGAAGTTGTTCTGTCAGTGTAGTTTTAAATCTACGCTTTGAATTTGATGTGCAAATCACGAAACCCTAGAGACATTTAGGGTAATTGGAGTTTGTGGTTTCTTTATGGAATAACCCGGTTCCGGTGTGCGTTTGTAAAAGTTACAGTTTTTTGATTTTTTTTAAAATCATATCATGGGATAGAACAAAATATTTAATTGAGAAATATTTCCACAAGCTTCTCTTATGTTTGTCTGCTTATCCATAATAAATTCATACAGTAGTGCATGTTTCATCAGTACCAAAGCTATAAACAAACACAATCATACTCTCTTTAGGGAAAGCTGTTCATCACACTTACTACTGTATAAGCACAGACCCCAGATCTAGCCTCTTGCGACTGATGAAGTTTATTGTTCTATTGTTAGAACAGAATCATTCGCATATTAAAAAAACATTTATTTTTAACTGAGGATACGCCAGTTTATTGCCTCTCTGGTGTAAAATAACAATAAAAAAACAACGCCACCTGTTTTCAAATTCGCAAAACAGTGTATTCCGTGAAGTGCGTTGAGACGTCTCAACAATGTGATAAGGGGCTATATTAAATGCAAGGATTATTATTAAATTGACAGCATTTTCCAAACAAAGAGTAAAATTTCACACACATTGTATGTTAGGTAACACTCTCTTGAGAGATACCTGCACAAAAAATTAAAAGGTAGCATTTTATGCCTATATCAAATGAATATAGATCTTATTTTGTGAGTTTACATTATCCCATTTTTTTTCTACTTTAAGTCCCTGCTGTTGCTTTGCGCTGTCACATTTCCATCGTGCTCTGGAAAAATATGTAGACAAATATGTCTTGCAGCAGTTTCACTGATGTCGGGTAATCCCTTACATTGGCAGTGAAAGCATCTGGTGATCTGTCCACGTAGAATTCATATTTATTTAGCAGAGTAAGGCCCCAAAAGAGGTAAGCTTACTTTTCCAAAGCTGACCAGTCCGTTTATCTAGTTTTATTATTATCGCTGTTAATGTGAGCTCAGATCACACACAAACTCATGAATAGAGCAAAGGGCCACGGTCTATATTTATTCCAAATAAATCCATAAAGCTATTGCCACTAACGTTGAACGAAACTGATGTACGTGTTGGCAGTCTGTATTATTCTATTAGCTTAACCTTGCTGGCTCAGCAGGTTATAGCAACTTGCTGTCCACACTTTTCAGTCACTCTACATATTATAATATGACTGTCAGTAGAGCAAAAATAAGCTAGCGTGTCTGTCAGTATCTGAAGGAACCACCTGTGCATCAGTGTCTCCTTATCAAATCGGATGCGTCTCACCAGAACTGGTCCTTCCCTGCATTCTTTGCATTCCAAGTCATTCTTTGCAAGCAATTGAATACTCTGCATTAGGTCTGTTTATTAACCATGTTGCAGATGCTAAAAGGTTTAGATAGTGCACTTTTCATACTTTGGTGAGACAATAGGCCTTGTATTGTGTATGAACAGGCATGGTAAACAACTGACCAAGAATCAGAAATATTCCTTCCTAAAATGAGATTACCAGCAATTGCATTATTAATGACTGGAATTTATTTTGCTCCCATACTGCAGTCTGCTGAGGATTCACTGGCTGTAGTCATGTTTCTGTTGAGTGCTTGCATTATTAGGAGTCATAAGCACACAACAAAAACATTGCTACTGATAGGGAACAATGCACCTGATGGCCACTTTGGTATTGCGTGCAGCGATACCTTCGCTGAATTGATATTTTGGGGGCAAAGGAATAGGCTTTGGATTGAAAAGACATGACTAAACGAAGTGCTTGTTTCTATTGTCATTACCATGTACTGTATTACCATCCGAGTCTATACAGTCACCTCCAATTGCAGAGTCTTGCCTTGCATGTCTTTATTTTCTGCTCCCATTACCAGGTAATAGGTTTTCACAGCATGGGTGAAGGTGACATAGATTTTGATTACAAAAAAAAAGTGTTTTATAATTTCACAGTTCTGGTAGCAGAGTGTGACACACAGTCACTGCACTTGATATTAATTCCTGCGAAGCGCTTTGAGATGTCCTCCCATTCATGTGCCAAGTGCAAAGATCATTATTTTTTCAGGGGCGCTTCGGAATCTTGTGCAAATCGTGTATTTGTATAAAAAAATAATATATTGTCCATCTTCTGAAGCATATCATGGAAATGTTAGAACATCTTGTTTTTACATCAGTTTCGCAGTCATTGATATGAATGATTTTCATGGTATTAAAAGGATTACAGAATTACTACCAATTGTTTTCCCTCTCCGTTCCCCCCTCCCATTTAATACTCTGAATAGTTCTAAATTTGCTGATTTTAGGCTGCCTTTACCCCTTGGGTTGCTATATTTTAAAACATCTTTCCTACTCCCCTCCAACCCCTCCCTCCTCTCCCGATCAATCAATCGACACTATGTGACAGATTATTCAGAGAGTGGGTTAGGAATATTAAATGAATCAGCCTGTCACATCTCCCGACATCTCAGTGGAATTGGCATCACAAACGGACAAAAGCATGATTCACTAAGGTAGACAAAATCAATTGGATTGCGTACAACGCATGCTGTAAAAACCGCAGTCTGAGATGAGTTGCTCGGTCAAGTAATTGTAAATGTCTTTTGATATCAGTTGTGAATTTACTGAGCATCAAAATGTATTCAGCGACTGGAATGCCAGTGACCTTCGTTTCTTGCCCTCAGCCTTTTGTTATATTTTGACGGGATGTTGATGAGCTCAGGCAAGCCAGAGGATAAAAGAAAAACAGTGAATCAGCTATGACGTACCATTGTTTCCAGCAGGATTCCCTGTTATCAGATTTGAGTCACTCACTCCTGGTGATGCCCGTTGCAAACTGTTCCCAATTTCAATCTTGTGTGAGGTGAATCATTTGAGAAGGTTTTCCACTGAGGTCCACTGCCTTGTTGACAGCAGTCTAAAGTTATTTGATTTGCACTCATTGCACAGAGTAATCCACCAATCTGTTCTTAAGCACCATGTTGCAGCTGCTTGACAAGTAAATGGAGTCAGACTCAAAATGACAAAATCACTACGGCTTTTATTCACTTCTAATAAAGGCCAAACCCAGTGAATTAGAGCACTTTATTCACGCAATTTTGTTTGTACATGCTTTCAGGCCTCATCATAGCTTTCGCGGAGAAAATCCGAATAAATGATGCATCGCAGGCTGTGCATTTAAGCTTTCGGTAATTAAACCCAACCAAATGTGTTCTGCTGCACACAATAGTGCTGGATCTAGTGCAGATTCATCTGTTGTGTATCAAAGCACATATAGAAGATATTTCATTAAGTTTATGCCAGTTTCTTGTTCTGAATGCAACCCAATTGGCAAAATAATAGCACTCGCTTGAAAGTCAACTGTGTACACGGCTGCATTCTGTAAATGAAGATGGATTTTCATCCTTGGGTGCTTAGTATAAAAGCATCACAGGATTATCACAAAGCTTTGCGTCAAAAGCTAATTTTGAAATCAGTGCGGTAAAATATAATGTGAGTTAATATTTTGTTGACTGCCAATGCTTTCCTTCCAGCTCGATCCCGAAGCCAGCGGGAACCTCAGAGAACTGCAGATCAAGCTGAACAATGTCCTCGATGAATTGAGTAGTACTTTTGGCATGAGGTAGAACAACATTACTACAATTGATAAATGTATACCAGAGCTACGCTTTGCTCAAACAGTTTCTGTAGTCTTCTTGAAGGCTCATCTCAAACTTATCTCCTTAACCACACTTTCAGTCATCTTTTCCCTCCCTGCCCACATTGGCTGCCAACACCAGCTCAGATACCCAGCCAGCAGTGTTGAGCATGATGAAACATCTTCCTTACGTGAAGGGCACAGTATAAATGTAAATCGTAATAGATTATTGCACAATATTAGGGAGGTTCAGAATGAAGGAAGCTTTTAACTACCTTCTATGTGTATAGGGGTGCTCCTGAAGTCTGTCCGAACCATGCCCTCTACAGACCTTGTGCCTTGGCATTTCAATTAAGGATACATTTTGCGTGATAGAGGAGAAGGGAAGATCTGGCAGCATCCATTTTTCCCCTGATCCGATCAGTTCTCGTTTTCCTGTTTGAAAGCGTTCGTAACGAGCAGCTTCTGAGAGGCCAAAATTATAGGAAAATGTAAATGTTAAATTCTATTTTTAATTCCCAGTTTATACTGCTCTTTAGTATTAATCAGGGTTAAACAGCTTGATCTGCAAGTAAATTGCACAGGAGTCTGGCTGCTGAAACCAACTTAAATGTGTTTTTTCAGTCCTGCACATCAATCCTCACTGCTGCAGTGCAGACACATATTTGATTAAAGATGAAGGAATGTCGGCACAATGCTCTCTTCCCATCTTTCTCTTTTTTAAAAAAAATTGTGATTTGAGAGAGGCACTCGGTATAGAAAATGCTGGTTTACACACCCTTTTCGATCCCCTTTGAAATTAGACAACTTTTTGTGTTAATTTTGACAAATTGCTTAATTTGACACGTGATTCATCAGGAGTGACATTTAGCAACGTATGCGACGATGTCTGTAATGGGTAGACATTGTGTAGCCTCTATTCTGTCATATGGCTCCTGGTGTCAGCCCGGCTCAGTTGGTAGCACTGTCACCTCTGAGTCAGAAGGTTTTTCAAGCTGCCCCACATTGGGACTTGACGGTTTAGATTGACTCCAGGACAGTCCTGCAGGAAAAATTCGAAGGACCATCCTTTAGGTGACACATTCATCTGAGGTCCTATCTGCCAGCTCAGGTGAACGTTACAAATCTTGTAGCACTAATTGAAAAGAGAAGGGATTTTCTCCTCCAAAATAGACAATCACAAACACTTTACAGTGAATCCTGTGAAGCGCATGAGACTGGCCCCTGGCGTGAAAGGTGCTTTATCCATGCCTTCCATTAACCTCTAACACTTCATTTGTTTAAAAAGAAAAGTTTATTCAAAATAGCTGATTTTTTAACCAAGTAGAACTCAGCTGATCATAACTGTAACAACGTGACCTTAGCAAGGTCGTCTATTTCTCTTTTTTTTTAAAAAGAACTACATTTACGGAGAGAAAGTTTGGGAAGTAGTAATAGCCGTTGCCGATAGAGTGACAAAATCCGGTATTGAGACTTTTTTTAAGCGTGCTCGTTTCACTCGCTTGCGATTTTGATTTTAATTTTAATTTTAATCATTGCAGCTTCCAGTCTGTCATTGAAGAGTGCGTGAGGCAGATGAGTGCCGAGTTGAGTCAAATGAGAGGCAATGGGAATTCTTCGTCTAACCGCAACAGTGCAGCTCTGGAAGCAGAAACTGTCCTGAGGCCTCTGATGGATCTCCTGGATAAAAAGTAATGCAGCTATGTGAATAAATTGTAGTCTAAAGATATTAATTTCACAGTCCTTTTTTTAAAAAAAACTACAGTAATCCATTTTGAATGCTCCCTGACTCGTATTGAAATGCAAATATTGTACTGACAGTAGGGAAATGTGACATTTAAATTATACTTATCAGAAAGCTGACTTCCCAGCTTATTTTATTTTACTGATACATTGATGTGACACTGTTTTATATGTATGGTGTGTCTGTAGATTCTGTTCGGTTTAATGCAGGTCCTTTGATGTCTTAATACTAGCCATATGGCAACTGTTGATATGTTTCTATTTTTTTCCAGTCTTATGCTGTTTGCTAAAATCTGTGAGAAGACTGTTCTGAAAAGGGTCCTAAAGGAACTCTGGAAATTAGTTCTCAACACAATAGAGAAACTAATTGTTTTGCCTCCATTAACAGACCAAAGTGTAAGTAATTGCTAACTATCTCTTCAATCTGGTTTCTTCAGGTGTTAGCCTGGCTCAGTCGATATCACTTTTGCCTCTGTCAGAAGTGCTGTGGATTCAAGCCCAACATCGGGACTTTGAACTCAAGTCTAAGCTGATGCTCTAATGAAGTCATTGTAGCTTTCTTGTACAATAATAAATAATAATTCTTAGATTTGATACAGTGACTTTCACATTAAGAGGAGGTCTCAAAAAGCAGTGTACAGGATACATACTATGCCGTAAAGCGTAATGACTGTGTATTTTGCATTCCCAAAAGTTGCTAGGCATCCAAACTAGATATATGAAAGATGAAAGATAAGTGTTTATAAGGCAAGAAGTAGTTTCAATGAGCTGCAGATACTGCAGATACTGCAGCACAATTTGACATCATATTAAACGGGCACAGTAGTGGTTAGATTTCAGCACTATTAGGCAGCAGGTAGCCTCAGTTGAGTTCTAGCGCAGCAAACAATCATGGATGCTGTGCATGCAAAAATGCTGCTGTAGCATATTGCACTTTTCATTTTAAAACTAGGCTATAGTGTAGAGTCCTGTGGCTCAGTGGTTAGAGCACTCGCTTTGCAAGTGAGAGACCTGAGTTCAGTTCCAGGCAGAGGGCGAAACCTTGGGCAAGTTTCCTTACTCCACACAGAGCCTAATAATAATCCCTCCAAAACAAAAAACAATAATAAATTGGTCATTTTCAATCTACGACTGTTTGTGGGATATTGCTGTGCGCAATTGGCTGCCGCGTTCGCCGACAAATATACAGTCAATTCACTTTACAGTGTGTTCTGTGAAGCGCTTTGGGACGTCCTCCCGACGGGAAAAGCGCTATATCAAATGCAAGGATTATTATTATTATTATTATCGCATGGAAGAATGTTGGGATTGTAAATAAATACAGAATACATGTTGGGATGGAAATTTACATCAGTGCACTCTATTTTGAATTCCAGTAATGTAGCACTAATACTTCTTAACCTCATGATTATTGTCTAAACTCTGTAATTTTCCTTGTTGCCAAATTGGTGCAATGGTACATCCATTGTTTAATAACAAATGAAGTAGAAGTAGTCTGGGCTGTCAGCTGTGGAATGTGGCCTTATGATATAATGAATACTTAATGTAAGTACAATAAATGTCTTGTGTGAATGAATGCTTAATGTAGGAAAGGTAAAAAAAATCTTTTCCTGATAGGTATTGCTTTGCATTGAAATATAAATACAGTCAATCCATTTTACAATATATTCTGTGAAGCACTTTGAGACGATGTGATAAGGCACTATATTAAATGCAATGATTATTATTGTAATATTATGAATAATTGAGGAAACTCAGTGTATCTGCTGCAGAAAATATCAAGATCCATAATGTTATAACTCATTCCTTCTGGGAATCTCTTAAATTAATAGACGGAGATGTTTGATTAATCTTATGGGAGGAAAATTTTTCTTCTCTCATTTTGGGTCTTTTCTGTGTAATGCTATGCATGCCTGACACAGTTTGATTTAGTTTTTGTATGACTCAATTGCTCTATGGATGTTTGATAGTTTTTCCACAATTCACTTACAAGTACAAAACAGAAGTGTTTTATTTATTCCCCCAAGGTTTCACCGTGATTTTAATGTCTCTTCTCATCTCCAGTGTCTGTTGAAGTGGAAATACAGAAAAATAAGTTATTTGTTACGTTCCCAGGCAAGGAGTAGGACCCAAAGCCTGGTTGTTTTGTTCTCACCAATCCATAACCCTACAAAAACTCGGTTCAAACCAATAATTGATCTGAGGGACTCAGCCAAGTTCCTGAAGAATAAATCCAAAGTTGCCATACTGACTGTCAAAGCGTTTTGACCCAATTGTTTGCATGAGATATTTTGCGGGGGTAATGGACCTTAAGATATGTATGGCTGCTTTTATCTAACGTAAAGAGGTCAGGGACCATTCCATCAAATACAGGTGTCAGCAGCTTGCTTTCAGTACATTGCCATTAAATGTGGACCGGCATCCAACCTCTGCGCTGAAAAAAATGCCCGTCACTAACAGCTGAATACCTTTGTCTTACAAAGGCTACAAATGTACCCGAATTTGTGTAAGAGGCAGGAAGCTTGACCTTGGGCCATAATTTCAATACTTTTGAGTTAGTGGACAATTGAAAAGCCAGAGAGACTGAAAAATGAATCAAGCAGCTTATTTGGGTGGTTACAGCCCAAGTTCCTTAACATGCAGCTGGTGTTTCTAGAAGGATCTCTTGACCTTTTGCTCGCTGAAGGACAAGGCATTATGCCCTCGCAAATCATGAGCATCTAAGGCAATGCTCTGCCTAGAAGCAGTAGTGAAATGTTCAGTGTCCAAACCTGATGTAAGGAAAGAGCAGGAGAGTAGAATTAAAGTTGATTGCTCCAGTGGGGGTACTAGCACAAGTGAAGATTTGATGGGCCAAATGATTTCTTTCTGTGCTGTTCATTTTAAATGATTCTACCATCGGATGGCTATTGAATACATCAGACAGCCAGAATGATGTCAAACTATATACATTACGCCAAAAAGTGTATTTTTTTTCTGAGGAAAGATGTTTTTTCTGAAAAGATTACAGTCCCACTGTATTTCTTACTGATCCGTTAGTGATTACATAGTGACAGAATTGTTGAGCAATTTCTGAATCACTGACATCGAAATGGGTTATTTTAGCACACATTTGTTACAGACTGCAATGTCATGACATCCAGAAGATAGGAGGGATGCCATGTTGATTGTAATATGTTGTGACACAAGTGAGGCTGGAGGTGCAATGCCATTTTCAGCCCCGAAGGTTAGAGTCAACTTCTGCTACTTTTCCAACAGAATTATTTTCCTAACAGTCAACAACCCAGCACCATCCTGGCATTCACATCAATTTCATTTACTGAGGCCACTTCATCAGACAGACACCTAATCCTGCCCAGCTTCAGGCTGTCACCATTTGTGAACATCCTATCCTATATGAAGATTTACAAAGAATGTACAGCATAGAAAAAAAACACTCGGCCAAACCAGTTTGTGGTGGTGCTTATACTCCACATGAGTTTTCACCCATTGCTTACTTCTTTCTATTCCCCTCTCCCTCAAGTGAAGGTCTAGTTTCCTCTTGAATGCATCTATACTATCTGATACAACCACCACTTCTGATAGCGAGTCCCACAATCGCATTCCTAAATTCTCTTTTATATTCCCTAGTCGCTATCTTCTATTTGTGCCCCCTGTTTGTCATATCTGCTCGTTAAATCAAAAATCCTGCCTGGTCTTCCTCCCGTTTCACAAAACCAGAATCTTACTGTCTACGCTGATCGAATACCATTCTCGAGGAATCACATTCATCTTCCTGTTAACAATAGCTAATCTATTTGCTATTCTTGCCTCCACTTTCATTGGAATTTTGTTCCTGTGTTCGTCTCTGCTAACTATCAATACAACTAACTTATTTAGGTCTTGAATGACCTCAGAAGGAATATAACTCTTGGTTCCATCACAAATTATGGTTTTATAACCGACCGGTAGCATTCTAGGAACCAAGTTAAAAGAGTAGCGTGATTTAGTTTTCTAACTTTTTTGATTAAATGTGAAACTAAAATTAAATATCAGTGTCAAACTAGAAAGTCCCTTGGAATCATGGTTCCTTGCAATTCTAGTCTTGAAACAAAGTCTTTCAAACTTCAGAGAATGCCAATTAAGTTAATTTTATACAACAAACAATGAGAAATTCAAAATTAATTAAGTTAAACCAAATATTCGGTTTCTCCATCAGCCTCAGAAGGAAGTTTCTCCCAGTGTCCTGGCCAATGATCCATCAGATAATATTGATTGTTCACTTCCTAGTTGTTTGTGGAACAACAACAACAATAAGATTACATTTGTATAGCGCTGCTGAGTGCAAATTATCCTCCCACTGTGAAAGGGGCCTTATCAAATGCAAGGATTATTATTATCAATTAACATAGACATTTTTTACAAAACCCACAGCAAAGACAAAGCACACAAGGAAAGAATGCGAGTAATATCAGAGCTAGCCATCCGCTGTTAACAGTAAAATCTAACTTAGATCATAACAAATGGAGAGTATAAATACTGGTAACAGGTGCATTTCTCAATACACTTCTGAATTTGAAGGTATTATTTTCTCGAGTGTGCTTCCCATTTCATAAGAATTGTGAGTCAAGAGGCATCTAATGCATTATTCCCCTGGAGTAGTTCCATTGAATTAATTGCTTTACTTCAATACGTCCGCTGCACTAAGGCACATCCGTTCTTTCAGTTTTCTCCACGGTTGCTACATTCTTCCCCACACTTGTATGTCTTTTTTTCCTGCAGGTATATTCTTCTTTCCCTTCCCTTCCCCCAGCTATTTGACTTGGTCTTGTGAGTAAAGGTGGAGAGAACATGAGTCTTGAAATTAAAGTGCCTCAAGCAAGGACTAGAGATCAGGCGATTGCTTTTCTTTCGCAGCAGGTGAAATTGCGAAACAGACTTCAAACAAAAGTAGACGATACTCCATTGATTAACTCGATTTTTTTTAAAAAAATTGTATGAATGTATATTGAACCTGGTGAACAGAGGAATGGTTAGAGACTGAAATGAACAAATTGTTATGTGGGCCACAATGCTTCTTGTGCTGCTAGGGCCAGGGACAGTGAGGGGGAGAAGGGAAGGAGACTAGACTCAATAATGGAGACATGTGGATGGAAGAATATACTTGCGATGAATTTTTGTTCGATTACCTTTAGGGAACAGAGAATATCTATACAGAACATTGACCCATCCACCCACTACACTAGGTAGAAGATGGATGGAGTCTACGATAGGGGGAGTTTTGTATGGTCTATGGCAGGAGTGGGTTTTGATCAAAGATGTGGTAGTTTATTGTTCCGTGTTTTCTTATAATAATAATCTTTGCATTTGATATAGCACTTTTCACGTTGGGAGGATGTCCCAAAGCGCTTCACAGAACACACTGTAAAGTGAATTGACTGTATATTTGTGGGCGAACGCGGCAGCCAATTGCGCACAGCAATGTCCCACAAACAGTCGTAGATTGAAAATGACCAATTTATTATTGTTTTTGGTTTTGGAGGGATTATTATTAGGCGTGTGGAGTAAGAAAACTTGCCCAAGGTTTCGCCCTTATATTCATATTGAAATTCACGGACCTTTTATGTCCCAAGACATCCTTTAACCCAAGCCTTGTAGTAATATAGACAACTTATATGGGCAGTTCAATTGGCTTTCATCAAGACATGACCTCAGTCACTGATGCTGATCAGCATTTTTGAAAACTCATTTTGCTTCATTATCAACTAGAGGATCAAATGGCTGTGAAGCCCACACTGTGCGCATAATGACTGTGAACAATGTAATGTCCAGAATTAACTTGCTAACATAAATTAAATTAAAATGTATTATGTGTTCAGGAAGGGACAAGTGTTAGACAGATTCATGTGGTACAAATCTCTGCTCTTAAAGTTAAATGGGATCTCATTTCATAGTCAGAACACATCGTTATTCTCTTCTGCCCAAAAATTCAGGACTTTCCCCTATTTTTCTACTTTTTTTAAAAAAAGTTATATTTCGGGGAAAAAAATCTCGTAAATTTTTTCCAGTTTAGATGCCTACTATTTTTCACTCAGCGCTGATTTCTTTTAATCTCATTGCAGGGAGCTCAGATGATCTTCAGTGCTGCTAAAGACTTGGGACAGTTATCAAAGCTAAAGGTAACAGATATTAATTTGCTTCACCGGGCTGTAATTTTTGTCCTCACTAACACTCTGTACTTAACACTCAAAACGCAGTGTTTTTCAATTGAATATTCATTGTGTGATGGTGCAGTACCTCCTCCTATTGAAGCACTTTCAAGGAATTCCCACCTGTGAGGTCAATTGATACGCACACCGCATTTTAAAAAGGTGCTCGTGGAATTCTGCAAGTTACCAGTCACACTGATTTGTTGGGGAATGATTCACAACGCATCACAAGAGATAAACAGTTCACAGGAAAAACAGAAAGTGCTGCATATTTTTTTAAAAAAAGAAGCCAAGGATGTGTTCTCTAAAGATCCAATTAGAGCTAAGTTAATCACAAAAGCGTAGCCTGATCTATGCATTCCTAATTTAGAAAGGAGCAACTTTCTTCATTGGGCTTGACAATCATAGATTGAAATTGCAGTTTTGTATTTTTAAGCTTTAATTAAGTTGCTGCTGTTCTGATGGAAAGCACAAATATATATCTTGAGTTTATGTTGGTTCACCAATCATAAGTGTTTTTTGTACCCATTATATAACTAATCAGCTGTTAAAATAACTGTGCACCTCATCACTTAATTGTCTCTTCCTGCTTTCTTTAGCCAGACATTTCTATTCACGTGTGTGTTACTCAGACATATAATGCACCCCCACAAATACTTTTGAAAACACAGGCATTGATTAATACTAAAGTTTCTGCCACAAATATTCCGTAACTGTGACTATTTTGCAGGGTGGGGACAGAACTTCAGTTCCTTTTGCTCTTGGCAAAGAAACTTGTGATTCAACTTTTGTTTTACTGCCACTTTTATTTTATAATTACTGTTGGTTTAAATAAACTGCAAACACCGACTGACTGTAATATCCTTTCGGGAATAGGATCATGTGATTCGAGAAGAAGGGAAAAGTCTCACTCCGCGACAGTGTGCGATAATGGAAGTGGTGTTGGCGACAATAAAGGTACTTTTATAGGATAGATAACATTGGGATTTCGAGGACTCTTGCCATGTGGTGACTTTTTTTTCCATTTGGTTTTAATAATTGAAGAAAACACCTAAACATTTTTTTTGAATAAAATGCTTCTCATCTGTGATGGATTCATCTGAATATTTTATGTGCCGGAAAACTTGTTTCTTTCTCTGACTTAGTGATGAGTTGGGCAACTGCTTGCAGTTCGATTGATAGTTAATCAACACCCAGGGCAGGTTGTGAATGATTTAACTCATTCTGTGATGCTGTTGTTTTCAGTTTTTCCAAAGCAGTAGCACAAAAAGATTGAGATGGCATCACACGACCCAAGCAAATATCACTTGCGTTAAGTGAAAGTATTGCAAATGTGCTACATATCAAACTTATATTTATTATTTTAAACAAAAGACGTATGGGATTTCGTGGTATTCTGATCTCAATTTCAATACCATCGGCGGCCAGGCTTTCAGCCTCTCTGACCCCACTCTTTGGAACTCCATCCCGCAATCCCTTCGCCTGGCTCCCAGCCTTGCCTTCTTCAAGGCACGACTCAAGACCCTCCTTTTCGACTGTGTCTTCAGCCGACCCCCTAGCTCTCTGCCCTCCCTCATCTCAACCCTGCCCCCCCACCCTCAGGTCCTGATTCCTGAATGTTCAGCGCCTTGGGACGGTTCTCTCAACGCGAAAGACACTTTACAAATGTAATTTTGTTGTTCGTGTTATTGTTGATTGATTAGAGAGATAAGGGCTTGATATCATGGTCGGACAAAGATACAAAGAATCTTTGTAGGTCTATGTAACGTAGATTTGATAGACACAACAAGCAGGACCCAGCGAATGCCTTTCCTCATTACTTCTTTTCATGTGCGAGGACTGTGCAGGTTAAATTGCTTAAAAACTTAATTGCTTGAAACTAATTTGACTAACTCCATTGCAGTTCATTACCTAAAGAAAGATGAGTGTCCTGGATTCATTTGGTGGAATAGAAAGTTTACCTTCTTATTTATTTTTGAGGCATTTTGAGACATCTCAAAGAAGTGATAAGGTGCTATATGAAATGCAAGGATTATTATTATCTATTTCTAAAGTAACAATATCCTTCATAGCAGTAAACTAACGATCTGAAAGAATTCAAGGCTAATTTCACACTAATTATAATTGTTGGAATGTGAGCTCATTTATTTACTGTCCTTGTTAGTTCTGCTATGATCTTCATGCCAAATATATGGCATGAACTCAGTATGGAAATCAACAACAACTTGCATTTATATAGAGCATTTCATGCAAGGTAGCGTCTCGGAGTACTTAACAACAGCAGAGTCTGGAATACAAAATCATAGTGTGAAGCTGGCAAAACTCCAGTCAATTATTGAGCACACTGTAACAATTCGAATGTTGTAAAGTTAATGTTAATATTTCATTGTTTTCTCCAATAATTATGCTTTATAAAATTGCCTGAGAAGTGTATTATGCATCAGTTTATCAAGCTAATTGTGAGCATTGGTGCCCAGAAACATTTGGGTAGGACTGATCAGAGTATTGCAACAATTACACTGTTCTTCTCCATTTCTTTTCTGCAAGTTCATCCCTTTAATCATTTGCGTCTTTGGGGAACTCTGGCCATTGTGCCCATGCTCAAAGCTGTTTATTCTGCCTCCATTAATTTCTCATCTCTTTCATTCATTTAAAGCGCTCTGAGACACTAACCTGCGTGGAGGGCACTATATAAGTGCAAGTTGTTGTTGTCATTGCAGGTTATCAAGGGGATCCATTTTGTTGGTTATCATGCTCCTTTTTCTTTCATTTTAATCCCTGCATGCAACCTAATGTTTCCATTGCTGAAACAAACATAAATACCTCTCCTCGGTTGCCATTCACGTTTCTCTGCAATTAGGTTCAGGGCACTTGCCATTAAATAAAACCTGGCACATCCAAACTAACAAATCTTACAGTGTAATTGCAGTGCTGAATGTTTCAACACAGAAATGTGCACATTTTGCAGGACACTAAGTATAATTATTTTTATAGTTTATCACAGAGAATATCCCAATAATTGCTGCCCATAGCGAGGTATTGATATACTTGTGTTTGGGAATTGGATTTGGGGAAGCAACCCATACACGTTATAGTAATAATAATCCTTGCATTTGGTATAGCACTTCATCACATCCTCAATGCGCTTCACAGGATTGCTGCAGCCAATTTGTTGCAGCCAATTTGCACGCAGTAGTGTCCCTCAAACAGCCATGAAGTGAATGGTCAATTTTATCTGAAGGATTGTTGAGCTGGACAATGGGAAAACCTCCCTTCTCTGTTCGAATAGTTCCATGGGATCTTTACCATCCATCTAAGCAGCAAACAAGACCTTGTTTTAACGTCTCATCTGAGGTACAGAGTCTATTACATTGCAGGGTACCCCCAGCACTGTGTTGGAGTATTACCTTAGACTATGGGCTAAATAAATTGCAAGAGTAACAATATTGATTTATTTTTCAAAAAAAAAAGCAAGGTAAAAGATATCACAGAAACTTTCTTCACAAAAGAAAACAGACATTGTTTAACCAATATTGAAAATTAAACAGAATACATCTGGAAGACAAACCAGATAATCTGTGCTTTTGTTGAATGGAAATGAATCCTTTCAGATGAAACTAATGTTATTTCCCGATGGCCATTTACAGAGATTTATGTGATTTGAAAATGAAAATTGACTGCAAATGAAGTTCAATTCCAAATATTTGCTACCAAATGATGAAAGCATTTTATTGATCAGTCTTGCTGAAGAAAGTAATCTGGAGCTTTTAAATAATAAATGAGAAAGCCTCATTCTGATAGTGATAAATGAATATATTTTATTTAAAATCATTAAAAACATCAAGGTTCCCCTTTTGTGTGTTTAATTAATTATTATTTATGCTGCTGCTGATGCTGCTACTGCTGTTACATTTTGGCTCATATGACGCAAAAGTAATTCAAATTTATAGAGCCATTCATTGCGCTCATCTTATTGTGTCTAACCAAACAGAACGTCTCAGGGAGTTCTTGTGTGTCAGCTTTAGAGCTGGAGTTCATCACATGATATATCAGTAATGCAATATCATGACAGTTTCAGCAATATGTTACTTGCTTAAAGCACACAATTAATAATTCATTGTGACAGCCAAACGTGGTATCAAAGACGTTAAATGCATTGCTTCACTCATCCCACATGTCCAGCATTAAAGGCAACACAAAGCAAGTATCTGGACAGAATGACAAATAGACACTAAATTATCTGATATGAAAAAAACGTAGCAAGGCTTTTGAAGCCAAATGAATCTATATCCACACTTTTCTGTAATAAAAAAAAGTTGTGCAATATTTAATCAAGCGCTCTGGGACTCTACCCTGTGTGAGAGACGCTATATAAATACAAGTTGTTGGTGTTGTGTTTAAGAAATTGCTGCACCGCTATAACACAAATGATTTTGAAATGTTGGTGTTGTCAGATAGAATACTGAAGTGTACACTTCAGAACTACAGAATTCTCACCCTCATTACATCAAACATATTCTGTTCTCCAAACTATGTGCTACATTTCTGCCATTTGTATCTCATATGTTGATAGTTTGTCATAACGTATCTCTTTGAGTGCAATTCCTCAGTGCACCCTGTGGGTTGTTGTGACTCACGTTTCCAGCAAAAAGTGCCAACAAATGGGAAGTGAATTGCTCACAATAGAAACTCATTCCCAAGGTGCTCGTTTCCATAGAGAATCATTCAATATGGATGCTACTTCGGAGGAGCAACACGGCACATAGATCACTGGGATTGCATAATGGTGTGTTATAAACATTGATGCAGTTTGGTACTACTGGGGCATTAGAAGTTTACAAAAGATGCGATCGTGATTATCTGACACTTTCAGCAGTCAAGTATGCGATCTTCTTTTTAGCCAATTTGCTGGAGTTTGGTTTCACGGGTTCCAGCAACCTCACCCAAGTGGCTATTTTATACCACAACCGAGCTTGATCCTTTTCTCACCAAAGCACAAACACGAGGCGCTTTCTCGACGAGGTCGCTGGATAGATTCCTTGTGGCTGTTTGATCACAGAACAAAGCTAAATCAGTTTCAGAGGAGCCAGCAGTTTGAATGATGTGAGAAATGGAACGATTTGGTAAAGCAAGTTTTAGTGTGAATTTAATTACACTGCAGGCTTAATTTTTTAGGGGGGGTTTATTTACAGCTAGAATCATAAATAACTCCAAAAAATGTGTAATTAATGTTTGAACTGCACATTACTACTGATTAAATTTTTTGATTGATACTTCAGAGTAGTCATGTGAGAAGTATTTAATGGTTATGAATGAGCGTGTGTGATTTCAGTTTTCCGTCTCAAGTGTTTTAAAACAATTAATTTTTTGCGCCATTTATTCAGGTTTGAGAAACAAATGAAGGGTGTGGAGTTTTGAGAACCTGAGCTGTTGTGCAACTGAAGTCAGCAGCATTAGAAATGACAAAGCATCACAGAGAATATTTAGTGCCTGTACCATTGCAGTTTTTCGTTGTGAACATCATATTTTCTGCCGTGTTGTCATTGTTTAATGGTTTTCCTTGATTCATTTGCCCATTCTTTAGCAATATTTCCATGCTGGAGGAAATGGCCTGAAGAAGACATTCTTAGAAAAGAGTCCAGATTTGCAGTCTTTGAAATATGCGCTCAGCCTCTATACTCAAACCACAGACGCCTTGGTTAAGAAATTTGTTGGTACCCAGTCTTCACAAGGTAAGGAATTGGCAACTGAGTTACTTCAGTTACAGTCATTGCAAAATTTATGTTGTTTTACTATCTACATTCTGTATGAAATGATTGGAAAATGAAGAACCACTTCACACAGGAGGTAATGTTATTTTATTAATTTACCAACCAAGGAGAGAATAATAAAAATCAGATTGCTTTTCTCCATCTCTCAGACTTGTTTCTCAATGTCTTCAATATCGATGAGGGTGTTCATTGTACTGCAGTGTTTTAGAGTAGTAACATTTAGTAGTGTGGCATATACACATTTTTAGGAAGGATTCAGCATTTTGCAGAGGGAAAGGGAGAAAATCAATCATCACTGCTTAGAAGTAAGTTCAATTCTAAGTGAATACATGGGAATAGATATCCCACCTGCTCTCTGTAATATGGATGCTGCCTAGTGCAGGATAACCTGGTGAATGAGAAAGTAACCTAAATAAAGAGAAGGTACATTTACTTCCTGCAAAATGTTATGTGCAACATTATAATATTTTACAGACACCCTTTTTTATAGAGAAATGTTTTTATGCAAGCCCTACAATATTTTTATAGGCATCCTGATGACAACTGTTGCTGTTGCAATAAGAAAAAAAGGGTACGGTCAGTTAACTCATTAATTGCCTCAATGAATTCACCTTTTAATTTTTTCCCTTTATTCCATTATAAAGACTTCCTACATGAGCAATGTGAACAAACACATGCAACGAAGGTGTGTTTGTAACGTAGCAATGTACTGGATGATAAACACTCCTGTTAACAAAGGACCCAGAAAATATACAGCAAATTCATGTCATTAATCTCTCTGTCCTTTGACTCTTTACAGCTTAGCCCAACAGAATGATATCAAAGCTTGTCTTGTACAATGCCAGGTTTACAATTGACCCAGGTTCTAATTACATGTATTTTGTGGCCCTGTCCATTCTTCGTGAAAGCGGCAGCTAAAACGAGTCCATGAATCATTTTCCTAGTTTTGAACATTAACTAATGGTAATCTATGCTTTCTTTTTCCAGTCTTATTTCCTTTTAGCAATTTACATATTGTTATGCCCGGGGGTGGGGGAGAGAGGAAGTTTTAAAACTAGCTGAAAGTTTTTTTTAAAATTTCCTTCCACAACTATATAATGGAATCCAAAACTAGAACACTTAAGAATATATGTTTTTTTCATTGGTCAGTTTTGTTTACACATTCTGTTTTTGTAGAATTTATTATAATAATAAAATAATAATAATAATCCTTGCATTTGATATAATGCTTTTCACGTCTTCTAACCGTCTCAAAGCACTTCACAGAATATACTGTAAAGTAAATTGACTGTATATTTGTGGGCGAAAAGCGGCAGCCAATTGCGCACAGCAGCGTCCCACAAACAGTCGTGGATTGAGTGAGGGATTATTGAGGGATGAGAAATATGTTTGGCTATTTTATTTTGACCGCAATCATTCTAAAATCTTTAAAAATTCGGGATACATTCTTGTGATGGTGTGGTTTCTTGTTGTTGTTGTTTTACTTCCTGTATGTTATTTGCTCGACTATTATCCTTCAAAATAAATCTCAATCTGGCTATATTTTATATTTGCTTTTGGAATGGAGGGAAGATGAAATAGTATGAAATATTGTGACCTTGGTTCTCCTGATATTGAAGAAAATAGTGAAGGTTTTTATTTCTCTCTCTCCCAACCAGAAGATGATTTATATTGTCTTGTTGTTCCATGCCACGTGGATTGGTTTATTGGTTATCATTGTAGCATTCCATCAAGAAACGAGGGAAGAGGGAGAAGAAAACTCTTAGAATTCAGGTTACTTAATCCAGTTCGTTAAACGTAATTATCATAGACAATTTATAACATTGAAGCATATTCAGCTATGACCATGGTTTGTAACATAGAGCCATAGAAATTTAGAGCACAGAAGAAGGCCATTCAGCCCATGCTGATTCTTTACAAAAGAAGATTCATTCAGTCCAATGAATCTGCCTTTGCCCCATAACCCTGCAAATTGTACCTCTTGAGACATCTATCAATTCCCTTTTGAAACCTAATACGGATGCTGCCTTGATCACTGCAGGGCATTCCACATTCCAACAACTCTGTAAAAAATGATTCCTCCTAATATCTGCCCCTTTGCTTCCTTGTTAATCATCTTAATTTGATGTCCTCTCGTCGCTGACTCACTGACCAGTGAAAACTATTTCTCCCTCTCCAATCTAACAAAGCCACTCATAATCAATCAGGTCTTCCCTCAGCCTTTTTTGTTCCAATAAAAATGAGCCCCTAGGTCTTGCCTTCCCAATTCCTTCCTCCACAGGCTGCAAATAATCCAGAACTCCGCAGCCCGTGTCCCCGTGTCTAAAGCAGAAGTCACTCACTCAAATTCTTTACTATAGCCTGAAGTCAAAAATGGAGGTTGCTGTGTGCAGTGATGTTGCTCTGTGCACATTTTGCACTTTGGCTGCTGCATTTCACCAACAAAACACTCAGTCACACCACTTCACAGTGTATTCTGTAAAGCGCTTTGAGATGTCTTGATGACATGATAAAATGCTGTTTCAAATGTCAAATGCAAGGATTATATTATTATTATTACGATTGCACCATTGTGACAGACAGATAATTGAAGAGAATTCAGCATTGTAGTGAGCATTGAAATCTGACTGTACTATTCAGAGTCACCGAATTGGAACACCCTACAGAAAGGCATTGTTGCAGTATTGATTCTGTCATTGTAAATAGAAAAGATTTATTGGAAATTCATCTGTGCCAAATATTCTTATAGTATCCTCTATAACCTTATCAAATTGAAAGCACTTGAAATATTCCCTATATAATACAATGCACACAGTGCAGCCATGTTATAACACACTTCTTTATAGCACTGATTCAGTTATCATGCGCTTGTAGTATGGATCCCATTTACTGTGCGTGCCTGCCCCTAGCCTGCTTGCTTCCTGCACTCATGTTAAATGCCCAAATTCCTGATCATTAAATCGCCTCCTTCTGTGGCTTCACTTCCTTCTGTGGACACGTGTAGCACACAGGAAGTGAAGTCAACAGCAACCCTATGACTTCAAAGGCAGCCGCTTTTTGCCGCATGGAACCGCAGGAAGCGGATTTTATAGACCCGAACATCACGCTTTAACGTATCTCCCCTGTATTATAATTCATATCATTTTTGGTGTTTTGCTTTGGATCAATCAACGTGACATTGGTGTGTAATGGTGTTGAAAATCCAGTTAAATTTTATTGTGTATATCATAACCAGGATAATGTTGTATATTACAGTTCAATCTCCTGTCTTGCCTCACAAACTAGATGTCTGTTATCAAGTAACCAAGAAATGGCCCCTTAAGTCTACATTTCATGACATGTCTCTAGATTGCTGATAATTTCCATAGGAATTACCTTCAGAGTATCATAAAATTCTGTACATTTAACACAAAATAAAATATAGTGCCGTTATTGAAACTGTCAGTTTTGACATAGCTACTGTCTTATAATAGCTTCAATCCTTTCTGTAGCAAGAGTCTGCAGCCTGGCTTTAGTAGAGCTTATAATCTATCAATATCTGCCAATCCCCCTTAGCCACTGAAGCTACTGTAATGAGACAAATTCTTCTGCTCGCGAAAAGTTTGTAAGAGAAGACAGGAACATTAAATTCTTCATACAAAGCTTTGATCCCACTGGGAATTTTTTTTGTCTTGTAATACATCAAACTTCATGTTCCCCTTTTTGAGCAAATTGCTTCACATGACCTTTAATTTTATTTAACATTACAAAATAATCTCACGAGTACCTTATCACATTGGTGAGCTCCAAGCCGCTCCGGAGAACGCTACTGGTTAAACCTGTCACCGGGTTTAAGAATCAGGCTTTATCAGAATTCTTCCCCAAGATTTTACATGACTGTCGACTCTCTCTGGAGATGAGTGCATATTTTTTTCACCCTATTATTTTTTTCCCTTCAAAGTGGAACCTTGCTATAAAAGAATGCTTTATATTCAAAGAATCAACAAAAGCGAACCTTACTTCATGAATTTTAGTTAATCCCATTATTTAACAATATTGTGTTAAATGACCCCTAGGGTTGAATTCACTTTAATCACAGATGCCAGGCAGAGAACTGGAGAGTAATATCACATCACAAAAGAGATTCAGATGAAGAGGTCTCTTTGGCCCATTTGATCTCATTCCTTCCAGAAAGCCCACTCTATCATTTTACCATCACAGTATCGAGCAGTTTTTGAATGAGTTGCAGCATTCTGACCACAAATGTCAAAACCCATTCTGCAAAGGTCATGGTGTCTTCAGACACTAAAATTACTCTGTGTTTATAAGCTTGGCAATGGAGCAGTCATCATTCCTTTACTAAAGACTATTGTTTGACTTCACTGGACAAATCATTTGGTATGCCAACAATGAACTTGTGAATGAGTAAAAACATAGGCAAGGTGGTGGATAACCCAACTTTGCTACTGCAGTGGGTTCCGTGTCTGTGTGCGTCTTTCCTCTCATTTTGAACTTAGAATGGAAACAGGCCGTGGAATGGGCTTGTGAAAATATGGAGTCATTGCCAAGCAGACAAGGTTCATTATTCTTTTTTCACTTAATCCATGACGAAGATACGATCGCTTTCAAGCATTAGTTTTATTAGGGGAAATTCATTGCATCTGTAGTAGTATTTTCCTAAGCTACTTACCTAAACTCATTTTCGTTTACTTGTAGTTTCATGATTACAATTTTAAAAATTTGTGCAGAGTCCAATCCAGTTATTTCACAGAGGGATTGATTGAATTAAATAGGTTTTACGGTTAATGCCTTTAAATGTTTATAGTCGATTGCACGACACATCCTCAAATGAACTGCATCCTTTTTAAACTGGCATAAAAATGCAAGATTCAACGTCATTATTAAACTCAATTTGGTCACAGGCTCACAATTTAGTGCAATCACAAGCATTGCTGAACTTCAGTCATGATTTAAGGCAATTCACGGGGAGTAGCTCAGAGAGTTACTACTTAATTAGCGCTGGGAAAATGTATTGGAATGTAGCTTTGAACTAGCCATCTGCCCTTGTCAGACCACAAGGGTTCTTAAATATTCGACAAGCTATTTCCAGCTTCCATTGAATTCTACAGAGGTTAAGTGAGCCTGGAAGGTTGCATGTTGACTTTTTAAGCTCCAATTATCAGTATGAGATCCCAGCCGTGGACTGGGGTGGGGGGGAAACCAATGCATTTTGGTGAGTCATTACTATTTGTTGACTCTGTGAGCAGATTGTAAGAGAGATTGACATGAGTAAGGTAAAGGCCCTTTCAAGATACCAAAACGTTCATCATCCTGTTCACAAGAGCATGCTGAAGACTTTTCCTCCTCACATCACAGTTGCCTTAGAACCAACGAATGTTGCCTCACTTTACTGTGATATCGAAACTTGTTTTGACAATGATACACCACAAAAGACTTTCAGTACAGAATAACATTGTCTGTTTGATCATCAGAGAGAAATCCTTTCCCCTTGGTCTGATATGAACAGCTTGAGTCACCGTCTCACAATTTACGTACTTATATCATCTTGCCCCAATCATTTGAAAGCACCAAACTATTAGTATAATAATAATAAATCACAATAATAATAATATTAATTCTTACATTTGGTATAGCACCTTTCATGTCAGGGGGACGTCTCGGAATTATGGAATTGTCCAACAACAACTTGCACTTATATAGCGCCCTCCACCCAGGATAGCGTCTTAACAGAGGCAGAGCCATCCAATGACTTTTCCACAAATCATTTCAGTTGCCTTGGGCAGCAGAAATAGGGAATAAAGAACAACATCTTGCAAAAGGGAGGGGAAAAGTTAAGGATGTTAAGAGCCAGAGAGAGAGAGAAAAAAAGAATTGAAAACAGTGAGAAAAAGAAACAGAACAATTGGAAATAATTTAATAAATTTAACCTATACTGAAGGGGGCAGGTTATGTAAGGCTGGTTCAATATTAAGGGTTTAAAAGCCATTGGTCTATAATTTGAAAGTGTGGATGTGTGCGTGTGATTCCACATTGCATTGCAAGCTTTAATAGCTAGCTTCTCCGAGCACTTCTTTCTGAAAGAAATAGCTAGCAAAGCCTCGCAGTGCAATCTGAAGAAACACTGAATTGGGACCTTTTGAACCTGAACAGGAAACGTTGGCCACCAAAGCCTTTCAGCTCTGATTAGCTGAGAGAGTTGTTGAGATTTAAATAATACATGAGAAAGGAAGGTGTAGCAGAGAGAAAGAATTAACTCATAAATGTTCAGAATGCACTTTTTATGACATGCAAAGGGGACAAAAATCCTGTGTTCTCCTGCGAAATGTATACCTCTTCTGGATGGACCCCCTAAAATATATAATATATATCAGCAGCATCTCCATATTGACATTGCTAAATTATCCATGTTTCTGCCTTATTATTGGGTAATGTACTGGGAGCTTCCAGCATCAGTTATATGCTTTCCAACAATGCAGTTGTTTTTTCAGTCAGTCGTGTTGGAAGCAATCAACCACAGCATAAAATAATAAAGTTTCCAGCTTTATTATCGATTGCAAATTCAGCTCTACACATCATGTAAACTGGAGCATTGCTGCTGCCACTTACAGCCCATTTCTTTCCTATTGGAAACTGTAATATCAAAGGACAAACACATTATAATCTCGAACATTTGAGGGTTGTTGGCATCCATTAAAAACTCACATCCAAAAGCTTTCTTTCTTCTCAGTCCTGTTAGATCGCTTTATTGATTTATTGATTGATTGATTAATTAATTAATTACTTGCTTTGAGGATGAACAGGAACAAGAACTTTTAAAGATTCCCAGCAATCAGGGGGTGTTTTTTTAATATATATGTTACAATGGGAGAATGCGGTCATATTTCGCAAAAGCTGAACTGATTAATTAACAAGCGCTGGGTTATGAAATGAAATCTCAAGCAGGGATTTGTGGTGCATTGGGTTTCGGCAGTACCTCTGAGCTGAACTGTGAAATGTGGGTCAGATCAATGGAGTGAAAGTAATGGCATTTGCATGAGCTGCGTTTTGAAATGGCCTGCATAATTTTCATCCATTTCTAAGTGGAGGTGAGCAATTACCTAAAATAAGGCCAATTGGTGCAAACCTTACCTAGAATCAATAGAATTATACAGCAGAGAAGGAGGCCATTCGGCCCACCGTACCTGTGCCGACTCTTTGAAACTCATTCAAAAGTTCATACTTTTTGAATGAGTATAAACTCATTCAAATATCTTTAAGTATGAGCAATGCAAACACTGACAAATATCAAACAGGGAAAGGCAGATGCTCTACAGTCTGGAGGTTTAACACATTGGCAGAGTAGTTTAGATGGAAGGCAAGAGTGAGGGGAGAAAGCTTTTTTTGACAGAAAGCTCGGTCAAAGATGTACGTCTTGAGACATAAAGCAAAAAACTATTACATTTCCTAGTTCATTTCGATTTGATTCGCACATCGACACATGAAAAAAAGGTCAACAGAAAAATCCATGCAGATACAAAAGAGAATATTCAGATTTATTGATTGATTTGTTGAAGTGATGTCCTTTTCACCAAATGCATTTGTGTATGAGGAAAAGCAAGCATGCTCTTAGAAAACAGAATTATTTTGATCAAAGGCTTAGTTTATTTTATGAGCTATTTCATAGGACTTTAATATCGTTTCCAAATTTCATTACAGAGAAAAACATATTTATCACTCAATTTAATTGAAAAGCACCAGACTACAGTGAATTATAAATAGGCCTTGGGTTATACAGTAATTGGTGTCCATGTTTGCCAACATTTTTTACAGGAATTTAATAGGTATTTGAATCCTTGCCTTTAATTTCTGCCCATATTTTCAGATATGAATGCTTTCTGCTGCCAAAACCATCAATGTTCAGTCGGAAAAAAAAGGAAGAATAATAATTTGGTGTCCACATTAAAACAAGTGTAAAGTGAAAATAGTATAATGTGCAAGGGATATTGAACTCGCGCAGGGCATTTGTTTCATACACACACACACCACACACATACAACCTGGTGTTGTAAGAATTCTGGTTGCCATATAACAAGGAGGGCATCTTGTCATTGGAAAAGGTACAGCAAAGGGCAACTAGATTGATGGCTCATATTTTTAATATCAAAAAATGTCAAGTTTAATGTTAAAGCTGACAAATTAACATCCTGGGAAGTGATACTAAACAGAACAAGTAAGGTAAGTGCACACAATATACCCAGTGTAATGCATCTCAACTAACCTTCAGTGGATCATTTTTCCTAATATAGCACAGTACTGTGCTTCCTCTTCATAACCACCTTCCCTCCTCTTTAACCTCATTTTCCTCAAAGAGTGCAGTAGGATTTCCGTGGTCCTAGTTACTCAAGCAAGTTGGTCAAGGTAGTTTAGCAGAAAGCTTGTCAGACAAGGCTGTGAATGGCAAACTATGTATTTTATCTGGTTGAGCTCCAGCAGTATCCCAAACACACACTCAAACTTTGATTCTTATCGAAGAGCTTGTTCCACAGTGTACTACCTATAGAGAAATGTTCAATCTGTTTGTGTAATACTATCAACGTGCACATAATACTCAACCAAAAAGGTGCAACAGTCCTTGTCACAGGGGGCACCATAGGTGTTCTACAAAGTCAATATCTGCTCAGCGAAGGAGTGTTAGAACTCAATTTTGTCAGGGAGTAGAAGAAAAAAAAGTGCTGCACTCAAGTACATGGCAAAGCGGCATAAACAGAGGACTCGGTCAGGATGGTCTTGTCTAGTGAATGTTTGAAGGATTACAAATAGAGCTGTATGAAGCTAGTGGCAAGAGTACAGGAGCTGAGCATTCTGCAATGGTCTAAATTGCTCTCAGAGAACACAAGAGCTGGACTCTTGCCTGTGAAACCATTTCTCGGAAAAGCCTTGTTCAGGAAAGGAATTGCCTGCGATTGGCATTGGTGTTAGTACTTACATTACACTTTGGGAAATGTGTAATTTGCCCTCCAGAGACCCTGGAACCATGGTATAGTACAAATGACATTTAGCTAGTGCGTTTAAAACACTGAAATATGTTCTTCTGTAGAACCGAAGAGCATCTGTCCCATTAGTCTCACCATCTACGTGGGCTTGGGAATAAGCCTCCAGTTCATATGCTTGAAAGTAACAAGTACAAAAGACTTTAAGTTTATGACTAATTTTTCTTTTCTCGTTTACTTTGATACCTCACAGCTCAATGCACCAATGGCTCAGTGGGCGAAATATCAATTCACGTTGATCTTTTCACACATCCGGGCACTGGAGAACACAAAGTGACTGTTAAAAGTAAGTGTTCCATTCACTTCAACAGATTAGCGCAATATGTTCCCGTGCCCTCTGTTCCACTATTGGTGGCTACGCTTTCAGCCACTACATCTGAAACTCAGGAACGCTCTTCCTGTATCCCTCTGCCCTTTCCTTCCCCATTTTCAGATCGCGCCTGAAGACTGTGCCTTTGGTGATCTTCCCCACTGCTTGGCGTCATGCTCCGCCACTGTGAAGCGCTCTAGGACACTATCCTGCGTGAGGGACTCTATATAAATGTTGGTGCAGTTGTTGTCATTCTGAATATTAGCAAACAGCCAGTTAATTAACTGCGCCTGGAAACAGAGTAAAAGATTGTGAGAATTTAACGCTAAGGGATGCTTTCTTTTCCCTTTCCAGTTGTCGCAGTGAATAAGTTGCTCTGGCAAACGACTGCTATGTTTCGACCATTTGTAGAGCTGAATGTAATCGGGCCAAATCTTAGCGACAAGAAAAGAAAATTTGGCACCAAGACTAAAAACAATGCTTGGTCTCCGAAATACAATGAGACATTTCATTTGTAAGTAACCTCATGAATATTCTTGGTTGTATTCTTATATATATATATGTATAAATAATAATAATATTAAACCTAATCATTGGTTTCAAATGTTCTAAATAATTATGAAGTTGGAAAGTTTTAAATTTTTTTAGAATCAAACTAGCCAATGAACAAATATGTACTGTTCTACAAAATATTAACATCTAAAATCAGATCTTACTTTACTATGAACGACAGTCAAGTTGGACTCATTTTCAAACTTCTCCTAGAAAGCTCTTGTTGACAATTCCCCACCATATTTGAATCCCACCAGACACTTGCTCTTCATTTGAACCCGGGTTGAAGTCCAAACCTACTTTTGAAATACGATGGTCTGTTTTTCTCTCAGCTGAGTGAAACGAATTTAAACTCTCTGAACTCAGTTCCTAGTGGGCACCAGTCAATCCTCAGAATAAAACTGCCAACAGTGAATAATTGACCATCTTGCTCAGATAAAAGGCCACTTTGGCTGATGTGGGTGGTGGAAATGTAATAACGGTGCAGCTGTTAGCTTCTTCAGCATGCTTGAAACTGCCATGTGGATGGATAAAGTGGAAAGTTCTGTTCCCTAAGTTGACATTTTTCACCTTGAAAAGAAATAAAACGCACCCAAAAAATATGATTTTTTTTGTAAGAACCATTAGAATTGAGTTTTAATCAGCTCTTTCCGAGGCTGTGACAACTTACAACCACAGAATGTTGAATCCGCAGAGCAAGTGTGGAGGTAAAGAAATAACAGAATAAACCTGATGTATCACAATGCTTTTGCTGGGTTGATGTATATTATGCTACCAGTTGAAGGTGGAAATGTAGATGCAATGGAGAGCTGTAGTGAGATAAATGGAAGTACTGTAAATAACATTCATAGGGTGCGGAGTAAAATATCTTCATACTGAAGCTTTGTTTCTACATACAGCATCCTGAGTAATGAGAATGGCCCTGAATCCTATGAGCTTCATATCTCTGTGAAGGATTACTGCTTTGCCAGAGAAGACCGGATTATAGGAATGACAGTCATCCAATTAAAGGACATAGCCGAGAAAGGCAGTTGCGCATCTTGGTATCCTCTCATCAAAAACGTTTACATGGATGAAACCGGACTGACAATTCTTCGAATACTCTCACAGAGGACCAATGATGAAGTGGCCAAAGAATTTGTACGCCTCAAATCAGATACCAGATCTGCTGAAGAATCCACGTAAAAACCGAAAGGGAGTGAAAGATTTTTGCGAGGAAAGTTAACGGAAGTTATCTTTAGTGCATGTCTGTTTTAACTGTGTGGGTACATTCATCTGATTGTGTGCAGGTGTGTGCCGATAATTATAAAGTACTTCAGCCCATAATTATGTTGACAGGACGGGGTGTACTGAAATGCATTAATCTTTGGTCTCTCGGAATCCAATTGTTCTGATAAAGTGCCAAATCAAGATTGCCCAAGGGAATTTTTCTTGGTATTTTGTCTTTTTTTTAATTTGCTAAGTGATTAAATTCCGGTACTAACTTGCTATTCTGTAGTTTTTACATGAGTATATCTGTTGGTCTTCTGTTTGTGGCAGGCATTGTCTCTTTACTACTGTGATGTTCTTGGGCTCTGTCCGTTCAGTGCATGTTTGTGTACCTCAGCTAAGTTACATCCTGATACCCACTGGTGTATTTTTGCTGTTTTGTTTATTACATATTCCATTCTTTCTTCAGGCATATTATGCCATTTCCATTGAGCGAGCGGTTTACTACATCCCGAGCACATTGTTCAGAATTTCCCTTTATGACTTTCTAACAATTACTTCCTTATCATTCAGAGTGTGAAAAAGATTAACGGTACCTTGGTTCAACATTTTGGACGTATCACTGTGAACATGATGCTCAGCTGACATTGTTCAAAATGTTCTCAAAAGAAACAAAATGGCATTGTTAATTTCCAAATGTTGCCAAAGGGATCCTCTATCTACATCCACACACGACTACTTTTTATGCCATATTAAGAGGCCATATGTTTACAGAGCTACAGGCTGGTTTGGTGATTTGATTGGAAGAATATTACTGTTTCTGATAAGTAGTGAAGTTGTTACCCTTTTCAACGATGCACTTGTAAATGTTGCTTTCTAAAATTGTATTATCGCAGTTCAACCGTAATCTCATTGTTACTTTCAATTTTTTCAACAATTGGTAATTATGCAACATTATGTACCGCACTGATGTTGAAATTAGTGTCTTGTAAATATATTTAGTGAACAATTGTACAATAAAGTATTGAAAAAATACTGGATGGTCCAGTCCCAGAAATGGGCTATTGCTGCAAAACTTATTCAGCATTTCCCATTACATTATTCCTTAGGTTTGAGTATGCGTTTCTCTACCGTGGAGCTGATTTAAACGGAATATTGACAACTGCGCTAACACTGACTGCAAAAGTGACAGAAACCTTACAGGGAATTAGGATCTTTTCAGGCACGACCGGGTGATTTTTTTCGTAGGCGTCAGAGTAGACACCATGTTAAGATTCTGAGAAAACTAGCAGATTCGTACATTCCCATCGGGAAACAGTTGGAGAGACAGAATTTTATAATTTTAGGTCACTATTGATGAGTTCTTTGGTCCCTTACTTGCATGAATTTAATGCTAGAAGTTGCAGCATTGAAGGAGACTATCTTTTCTGAAATCCCATTTCATCTTGTGATTCAGGCGTGGAATTCTTAGAAGGAATGAGGGAATGGAGCTTTGTGCAGGCTCACGGTATTGCACACAGTACAGTACAACATTTGTACATTTTAAAAAAAGGTCAAGTGAAACCTCCTCAGATGTGAAGTGCTAATGCATTCACTGGAATGACAGCCCCACGTATGCCTGGTTTAAGTCCTGAAAGACGAGCTTATGTCTTCTCATGGAATGCATTTCCAGCCTTAGAATTAAACAACCTCCAAGAGGACCCTTCAGTGCACTATGGTTACGCTAAATTTCTGAAATTGCATTATTAATTTGAGACTTTGAGTTCACGTGTACTGATCACACGAAACTTCAGCCATATGATGATTCAGTCCCCAAAGCATCGCAATTTTAGCTTTTACAATCGAATTGTCAGCTAATGAGAAAACATTATGACAACAATCATTTTGTACTGTGAAAATATGTCTCACACCTTCTACATAAGTGCGCAGTGTGCAGAAAGTTCAGCCCATATTAGGTTTTGCATTTTTTAAATTGTATCCTTTTAAAACTGATCACTGCCTCCATCAGTAATGTTACCCGCTGTTGTTATTGCCAGAACCAACTGTTTGACCATGCGTTTCGAGGAGGTCTTGGGTTCATAAAGCACAATTGGTTGCAGAGTAAATTGATAGAATGGGTACTCTGGGCGCAGACAGATTTGAAATTGCAGAGAGGTATCGAAATGACAAGTGCAACAAATGATAAAATGAAGACGGGTTAAAAGACTAAGGGGAGATTGTATCTCATTCTGAAACAATTACTGGATGGATGTGCTTTTCGGTTATTGTGCTGTAAGCAAATTTTCCTTCCAGATTGGGGTTTGATACAGTTCAGAATGTGTGGGCAATTGATTCCTTGATTCCTCCTTCTAAACCCCCCACCCCTTTGCTTTGTTGTCCTTATCAATCCTCTTTTACATCTGCGGTTCAGAAGAAAGCGAGAGCGTTACCATGGTGATAAGATTTGTTGCTGTTTGGTAGTCAGCTACTGGAACATTTCTATTCAGTGCACAGACAGACGCTCATCATCAGCCTATGAACTATGTACGTGTTAAATTCTCCGACCAAAACTATTTTTTAAACTTGCAGCTGTCGACAAACAGATTGCATTTCCTTTTATAATCCAGGTAGAAACTACCGGGCATGATTTAAGGTTTTTTTTTTATTTTGGAGGTCATTCAAGCCTCCTACACCTCCCGGTCTGATCAGGATTTTCATATTTGTTGAAGCTTAACTGGCTGACATGTGCCAAATTGCATGTGCTATCATACACTGTCTCCCTGTTTGACTGTTTGCATACCCAATTAGACCATTAGCAGACCGTAACAGGACATAACTCTCTGTGTTCAGCAAAAGCAGTGATGAAACCTATATCGTAACAGATTCCTTATTGATTCAACTTTCAGCACAGCTAGCGATAATATTTTTTTAAAATTTAACTTGCTACAGCCTTATTTTGGACAATGTAACAAATATTGCACCTTGTCTTTTATTTTGTAAACAAATTATTCAGTGTTAGACCGTGTGACATTTGTAAAAGTCGAGAAAATGTTTCAAAATATTGCTTATGTGTTGGTGGATCAGGTCAGCTGGCACAGTTGGTAAGTTATGGATTCAAGCCCCATGTTGGGATTTTGAACTCACATAATCTAGGCTGATACTCCAATCTAGTGCTGGGCGAGTGCTGTATGACTGGAGTTACCAATTATCGGATCAGACGTTAAACTGATGCCAAGACTTCTCCCAACAAAAATTGATCACTCGTTTCATGATTACTTGGGGATATTGCTGTGTATAAATCTTTTTTTCCGTGCCCGTCTACAAAATACATAGTCACTATACATACCTCTTATCCAGGGATGTCTTAAAAGGAATCGACCTTGTACGGTTTTTAATGATTTAATCTTTTCTTGTTTACCTCTTTTTCTTACAAATATATTTGATTTTTTTTTCAAGGGTTGTAGGTACTGTATTTGTTTTATGCATTACATGTCCAGTATAATATGATGGTTTCTATCATATTACTTAATGCCCAAACAGGGAATACTTTGATTAAACTGCCTCAACCAAATGTTTGGATTTATTTATTTTAAAATTGAATGTTTTCAGATTTGATGTATCACTTTTGTATTGTGTTCTATTATCAGTGCTCCAGCTATCCAACTCCCTTTAGTACCGGTTATAAAATAACTATTTTGCAGAGTAAGTTGGCAAGCTTCCAATCATACCTTATAGCTGTTGACAAGTTTGAAGCTGTAGTGTGTCTATGGATTGAATCAATTCCAATAGCGTTGAAATATTAGAGTTGGTGTGAGTTTATAATTTTGTAGTTACTGTTATTTCTGTGTGCGAGACAGGAAGAAAGAAAGGAGTTTGTGAGGTTTTCCTTTATATGGAAAAGGCTGCATGTGCTACCCTTAATATACATTTCACCCACAACATACACAGTCAATCCACGCTGGTGTAAAATAACAATCGAAAGAACCCGCAGCATTTGTTTTCAAATTCGCCCACGAATACACTTTGAGACGTCTCAACAACGGTATAAGGCGCTATATCAAATGCAAAGGTTTCTATTCTCCAATTGTGTTGCCTCTACTTACATAAAGCAGGTTGGGTTTTCACCCAATCTTGATCTTCATCGCAATAAAGAAAATCCTCTTGGACGTTTCAAATCATTGCCTTCAATGATCAGAATATGCTACCATCCAATTTTCCCAACTCCTCCACGCTGTACATATATCTTGTGGGAAGGGTTGATCTCTGAATGATGGCACTGATGTCTACCTTCATTGTTGTTTCACAATAGATTATAGTTCCTTCGTGACATGCAACCAGTCCTTGATTATTAGTTATTATGCATGTTCCATTGATATTAATGCAGGTAATTAGAACCTTTTACCCTTTGGGCAGCCTGTGGGTGTGCCATTGTTTGCTGCATGTTCGTATCTAATTTAAATGTGTTTGGCTTGTTTGTATCACACACAGCTCTAATTAAATGGATTGAACTGAGTTTTAAATTGTTCTTGAATATTTTGTCAAATGAATTCTGGAGATTTTGTTTGTCCTTTGTGAGGCTAAACAATGAGTTACGTTATCTTTCTGATGAGAGATTTCTTTAGTGGATTCCGCCTGACAGGTGCTAGGGCTGTAAACCATTTAAAGTATGTCTTTTGTAGATTGCGATGTGTGAGTACCAGGTATTCTTTCTTTATGCGACTTCAATAATTCCTTTATATGGATCGTGGAGGCATTATTTCATGTCTGTCTGCATACTAATGCTGCTCCTAAAATATTTGCTTCACTTTATCTGCCTCCAAAGTAATCTGTAAAGTCTTTATAATCTCTTGATGCACCAAATCCTTTATTGGGTATAAATTAAGGAAAGAGGATTTTTTTTAAATGTGAAGCAGATGATTGTTAATGAGAAGTTAGAATATTTTGCTGGTCTCGGTGAAATGAGTGTATTGTGGGTAAGACACAGAGTGGTTCATTGGAGCTTGTATCTGCAACTTACTTACTCAGAGTTTCCATGTCTTGACTAATAAATTTGTTTTGCCAATATTTGTTTTAACCTCCGAGAGTTTATCTACGTAATTTCTTTTCAAAATAATAATCCCTCCAAAAACAAAAACAATAATAAATTAGTCATTTCAATCCACGACTGTTCGTGGGACACTGCTGTGTGCAATTGGCTGCCGCGTTTCGCCCACAAATATACAGTCAATTCACTTTACAGCATATTCTGTGAAGCACTTTGAGACGTCGAGAAGACGTGAAAAGCGCTATATCAAATGCAACGATTATTATTATTATTATTTGTTGCATTAGACATGTTTCAGGTAAAGAATGAATCCGGAATTTACAGCTTTATTGGAGGTGAGAAGAGGTTTTCTAATTTTAAGCATGTACCTCTGGTCTGCTCTTAAGGTTTATTAACTAACCTGTTTCTATCTAGCTCATTTATTCCTCTTGTCATTTTTAAAATATACAGTCAATTCAATTTACAGTATATTCTGTGATAGCTTTGAGACGTCTTGAAGACGTAATAAGGCGTTGCATCAAATGCAAGGATGATTATTATTATATTAAACCTGGATTAATTTTCCCCTTTTTGTAATGAGAACAAATACCAATCTGGGATTCGTCCCTTTATAGGTTAGAATCAGAAATTGACAGCACAGAAGGAAGCCATTCAGACCATTGAGTCTGCATCAGCTCTCAGAGCAAAGAACTCATTCAATCCCACTGCCCTGACATACCCCAAATGCAAAAAATTCCATTCACATATCACTCTTCTCTTCAACCTTCTCAAATATTTTAATGTTCTTCAGTGTTCTTTCTGCTGTTGCGTGCCCTAACCTGCACGCAATATTCCAAAGGTGATCTTGCCAATAATACTGTTCATACAAGTGGTTCAATAACTCATGCCTCAACAGATTGATAAGGCATCGTATCAAATGCAAGATTTTTATGACCAACCATATAACTTGAAAATCCAAAACACAAGTCCTTTACAAACAACTGAGCTTTTATATTAATTCTAGCTCCAACCT